GATGCAATGGCTTGGAGCGCAGTAAGGGCCAAAGTCCGGACCTTTGATTGACTGTCGTGTTGCAAGCCCTGCAGATCGGATCTCCCTATGCACCCAGTCTGTCAACCACACATGAGTGGGGCCCACAGGCTCTAACTTCTAAAGCAGAATGGAAAACGAACCGAACTACTTCTCCTTGGCATCGAGGTCGTCCCAATCAAAAATCGATTGGTCCGAAAGCATCGATTTGCCGTGCGTTGACTCTATGCACTTGACTCTCTGCGCTCGAACTGTATGCACTTAGTCCCACGATATTTGCGAGGGTTTCGACACCCAGGAATTCGAGTCCCACGATATTTGCGAGGTTTGCGGGGCCCGGAATTCGAGTCCCACGATATTTGCGAGGTTTTCGAGGCCCCGGACTTCAAGTCCCACGATATTTGCGAGGGTTTCGACGCCCTGGAATTCGAGTCCCACGATATTTGCGAGGTTTGCGGGGCCCGGAATTCGAGTCCCACGATATTTGCGAGGTTTTCGAGGCCCCGGAATTCAAGTCCCACGATATTTGCGAGGGTTTCGACGCCCCGGAATTCGAGCCCCACGATATTTGCGATGGTTTCGACATCCCGCAAATCGAGTCCCACGATATTTGCGAGGTTTTCGAGGCACCGGAATTCGAGTCCCACGATATTTGCGAGGTTTGCAGTCCCACGATATTTGCGAGGTTTTCGAGGCACCGGAATTCGAGTCCCGGGCGTCCGCGGCGTACTACATTTGTAGTACAAAAGTCGACTTTCCAGCCACGGATCGAAGTCCCTGGCGTGCTACGTCTGTACTACAAAAAGCGACTTTCCAGCCACGGTCAGAGCACGACAGAGGAGGATTTTGAGAGCCTTAAAAGAGCCACCGGCCCTAGACAGTACTACTTTTGTACTACAAAGGACGTTGTCGGTCACAAGAAAACGCAAAAACATGACGGTTTTGGCCGCGACCACGCAGAGACCCGCAGAGGGGTTGCGTTTGTGTGTGAAAAAACGCAAAAACACGACGGTTTTGGCACCGCGAACACGCCGAACCCCGCAAAGGGTTGACGCGCGCCCGCAAAATGTGCAAAAAACGATGGTTTTAGCACCGCGACCACGCCGAAACCCGCAGAGGGTTGTCCACGCACAGCAAGAAACGTCAAAAAACGACGGTTTTTAGCACCGCGACCACGCCGAAACCCGCAGAGGGTTGTCCGTGCACAGCAAGAAACGTTGAAAAAAACGATGGTTTGAGCACCGCGACCACGCCGAAACCCGCAGAGGGTTGTCCGCGCAAAGCAAGAAACGTAGAAAAACGACGGTTTTAGCACCGCGACCACGCCGAAACCCGCAGAGGGTTGCAATCCCGATTGACGACGTCAACCCAGGTCGCCGCCTCAAAAAGAGTAATTTTAATTAAGAAATGTAGGACTGGGTACGAAGGTCTACTAACTTCTACTAAAATCTTGTAAATTCTACTAAATTGTACTAAAATTGTACAAAAATCTCGTAAATTCCACTCTCTCATACTAACATCTCGTGAATTCTACTCTATGCACTTCACTCTTGCACTAAAATGCACCTCACTTCGCTCTATGCACTTAACTCTGTGCACTTCACTCTATGCACTTAACTCTATTAACTCTATGCGCTTCACTCTATGCACTTAACTCGATGCACTTGACTATGCACTTCACTCTATGTACTTAACTCTATGCACTTAACTCTGCGCACTTCACTCTATGCACTTAAACTCTACGCACTTGACTCTATGCACTTCACTCCATGTACTTAACTCTATGCACTTGACTCTCTGCACTTCACTCTATGTTGTTGGGTCAGAGGGCTCCGCACGGAAGAACCCTTCGCGATGCTTTCGGGTATTGGGAGTCGATGCTTTGCATCTTCTCCTGTTCAATCCAACGGCCGCTAGGACGGGACTTCGAGGGACAGAGGAGCAAGGGGATGCTATGGGATCTTGCACCAGAAGCTGCAAGTGCATATCCACCTCCTGAAGCTTGTCGAGCTTGTTTTGGGCAACTTTCTCTTGTCGCTTTTGGGCAAAAGACATTCAAGCAGAACCGCCCATGTCAGTGGCCAATGCTGCAACTGGGGGAGGGGAGGAAGTTTGACTATCAGCAAAATGTTGCTGTGAGCGTAGAATTGAGGGCTTACTTCCATGATGTGGCCGGGAGCGGCCAACCAATGTTGGGGCGTATATGTTGGGTTCTTGCTTAATGAAGAGGGGTGTGAGGGGTCGAGGATAGGCTGTGCGGGGGGGGGGGGGAAAGCAACTGAGAACCCGGCCTTGCAGGAAACAGGCAAGGCAGCTTCTCCGACGTTGAGGTCTGGGCAGAGCAGGCATGAGGCTTCGAGGGCTTGTAGGGTTCAGGGGAGAGAGACTCGAGTCCTCCGGTTTAGGGTGCGTGAGCCACAGCATTAAGGAGCAGATTCCACGTGAGCACAGGGGTGGGTAGGGGGTGGGGCCGGCACGGTGACCTGGTTTTACGCACGGGTTGTGGCCGTTGCAGTTTGCTAGGTTTCCGGTGTGGACGGGAGGGTCATACCAAGTCATACCTGGATGCGGAAACCCCGACGAAAAGAAATCCCCAACCCAACAGAATCCACAAGAAACGGGAAGTGGGCAGAGCAGGCATGAGGCTTCGAGGGTAGGGGGCTGAGGCTTGTAGGGTTCAGGGGAGAGAGACTCGAGTCCTCCGGGTAAGGCTTAGGGTGCGTGAGCCACAGCACTGAGGAGCAGATTCCACGCGAGCGCTGGGTAGGGGGGTTTGCTGGGGTTCAGGTGTGAACGGGAGGGTCATACCAAGTCATACCTGGATGCGGAAATCCCGACGATAAGAAATCCAACCCAACAGAATCACAAGAAACGGGAAGAAGTGGGTCACTGCTGTGCCCAGAACCCTCCATTGCTCTATCGCCAACATTCGCCAACCACCCAGAGCTCTGAACCCGAAGAGCCGGATCAACTGTGTTTTGGCTGTTTTGTGGTGTCGTTGGGGTTGATAAGTGTCGTTGGGGTTTTTGGGTGTCAAGGGGGGGTTGACACTCACGTAATCACGACAAAACCGGCTCTTCTCGCCGGGTCGCGCGCGCTGTGGGTTCTCCTCTTGGGCCTGGAGGAAATGCAGTTCAGGCTTGACAGGGTTTTTTAAGGGTTAAGGGTATAGGGTTTAGGGTTCAGGGGGTGCATTGAACTCATTGAACCCTCTTAGCATGTGTAAGAGTGCGGCGGGCTGAGAAGGCTCAAGAGACTCAACGGGTTTACGGATTGCGGCGCAGGCGTGTGCAGGGTGGCAAGAAGCCTTTGATGCTTTTTCCGGGCGCCGCTGCAAGTTGGTGGATCTGGGGTCCATAGTCGACACTGCAGAATCTAGGTACAAATCCTACACCTTTTTTACGGCACTTAACCCCAACTTACGGCACATTACGCTTTCCCTCCGGAAAAGCAGCACGATAGAGTAGGTGCCCGACATTCTTGGCGGTAGTGACAAAAGTTTCTGGCACTTGGCAAGGCCGCTGCTTTTTGGCACAAATCGCGGCCCAGCTAAACCCTGAACATGCACCGCTTCCAATCTGTTTTAGGGTTCTGTTGGAGCGTAGTAGCAGGGTTTATAAGAAGGTTATGCTCGAATGGGCCTGTAAAGCTGCAAGCCCGAGAAATCCTAAAGGCTGTACGTAGTTAGGACTTCGAGGAGGCAGCTTGGGCTGCTTCAAAGGGAACGGGGGGTGTGAGTTGGCGGGGCCTTTTTGGTCGGTTTTGTAGGGCGGGTTTGGGGGTGTAAGGTTTCTCGCGTAGACTGGAAAGTTACTGAGAACCCGGCCTTGCAAGAAACAGGCAAGGCTGCAGTGACAAAACACTGTTGAGCCAAGCAACGTAGCCAGAGCAGCTATGAACAGGATTGCATGGCTTCTTTTAGAAACGAGTTTCACTTGAATCTTGGGATTTACGAGAGCGGGGGGGAGATGGCGGTAGTTGCGAAGAGTGTGCCGCGCACTGGGGTTCAAGTCGCATGCATTCTCCACCCAACGACTGCTGGACCCTGTGAGGCTACAAGCCTGTGGGGTGTAGGGTTTACAGTCCAGGGTCGGGTTTAAAGTCTAGGGCAAGAAAGCACGATCTTTTGGACATGCATTCAGGCATCGCCTACTTGGAGGTTCAGGGTACTTAGTAACCGAATTAGAACTGTACTTAGAACCCAAGTATAACCATATTAGGGGCTGATAAATGGGTTACAAGTCCTGTTGCAATTGGGTTGCCAAGTACCCTGAACCTCCAAGTAGCACTAGCTGCTCCATGAACTCTTTGACAACTTTGTTTGTTCGCGCCCACCGCCATGCGGCGCCCGAGCGATGCCCCCTCATAATAACTTCGACCCTGGATGGTTGCTTCCTCAAGACTGTTGGCATGGCGACAGCAACCTTGGCGGGTTTGGGATTGCCACGCATTTCCCTGCAGATTCTGCACTCTAGCCAGCAATTCCACGCACATTTCGGAGGTTTAGGTGTTACAATTGGTGTTACTCTATCCTGCACAGCCAAACAAGACTAACAACAGTGACCTTGCAAGCTTTTTCCCACCATTTTCTCCCCCGTGCACCCCCCTTCACCCCCTCTGTTGCAAAATGGGTGGCCCAGACCCCAGACAATAGTTCCCACACCCTCTAGGAATTGTAAAACCATAGAAGTTGCCAGTGGTGTGCCGACATGCGGCGGCGGATGTATGCACCGATGCGGGCCGCACGACCGATCAACAAAGGATTTAGGTTTCCCTAGGCACTTGAAGCCCTAGAGATCTAAAGCCATGCGAGCATCAGCACAAGCTCTAGAAAAGCAGAGAAGTGCACCGGTATGCGGGTCTAGGGCAAAAGGGGCCAGCTTCAGGCCTTGGGGTCTGGGCAACACGTGCCTTTTGTCAGCAGTTTGGATCAGCCCATGCATCGGTCAAGCACCTTTGGCTTGGTAAACACCTCCCCCACATCAATCAGCGGTATTCGGGGCAAGCATGCAGCCCATGTGGACCCCTTCATTCTCGCCACCAAAGTAAGAGGGCAAGCATTCCGCGCTCATGTGCTCCAAAAGCCTCTCGCCTAGGTTGGACATGCAAAACCGCAGGGCCTGCCCGGAGCGGGCATAGTGACTTAAACAGGTTTATGCTCTTCAGGAGATTCTGTTCGCTGTCACTCTGCTGAAGCTGATCGGATACACATGTACGACAAGGCAACTTCTCCGCTGCAGACAACACCATGCCCGTTCTTGCCCCTTCTCACCGGTTGCCAATCTCCCCTTTCACATCGACAGGCTGCGGGTGTGGCTGGCATCCGCGATGACCACTTTGCGTTGTGAGACAGGATGCAGCAGCTGCTTGAGAATGGGCCACAGCAAGGTCGCAAATGACCAAGCCTTTGCAGGACAGGATGGCACAGCACATCACATCAGCGCCGGGTTTGTTTCAAGATGTCGGGGTAGCCGATGCCATGGGGGAGTTGCTGGTTCTGTAACTATGGCCCTGAAAGTCTTGGCGCCTCAGGCCTAGATGGAATGTTGTGGACCAAGCCCGAAGTCTTGCTTGCTGTCTGCGAGTGTGTGAGAGTCGACGCCAGGCGGCAAGATTTCACCAGCATGCTGGAACGGATGTAGCTAAGTCGTTAAGTCGTTTGCTGACATCAGCGGCAAGCAGCTGCATTGACCACCAGGATGTGGTCTAAGGTTTCCGGGTATAGGACCACAGTTTGCTTGACGGCAGCTGCTAAGAAGTCCCGCGCGAATCGGAAATGACCACGCCCCAGTCCCCAAAGGTCAATTATCCTTGGGTTGCTCAAGCTGTACACCTCTTATATTTCGACTCCCACGGGGGCGCCTACCAGTGTGATTCAACATGTCGCATTGCTGAGCCATGGCCGGTACTTCTAATGCGTAGCCGAGCGTCAGGATGACCCGATCCACAAGACGGCCTACTTGTTCACTGGCTTTCGGGACCGTCTGACGAAAGAGGCACTCCTCGCATCGGAGGAAGCAAAGCACCGCGGCGTTGACCTTGGATGGCTCCAAACTGCGCGCGCGGACGACTGCGGCCGTCGTGCTGTTGCAAGTGCATGCAAAAAGCATTGCAAAACAATTGCAAAAAAATTGCAAAACAACCATTATGTGAACATTGCATTTGTCGCTGGCCGCCGCAAATGCAGGGCCGGGGCTCTGCGCAGGAACTTGCTGCTCTCTGGCATTCGGAGGCCTAAACCCTGCAACATCCTACAATCAGTATCAGGATATGACTGTGCAGAGCACCTGTCAAAGATAATTTGCTGCAGATTCGCCTTGCTGTTGTTGGCTTGGCATCTGGGATCTGGGTATCGCCTCCCTGTAGAGAAACAACCACCCTAACTGATTCGAAGCAGCAACCTGATGAAGCCGAGTTGCATCACCCACAGAGAGGGCATCGCCAGAGTTCAAAAGCTTGCCCATTGCAGCGGGATCTATACTGCCCGCGCGGATGAGAACGATTGGCCTTGCTTCCAGGTGCAAGTTGGCGCCCGAATTAGCAAAAGGGCAGAGTTGACACCGCAAGCCGAGGCCAACCAAAGCACATGTGCCATGTGGCGTATTCCAGAAGTGAGTAGGACTCTGACTGTGACAGCAAACAAGCGCGCAAGCTGCGAGCGCGCGTGCAGGCCGTCAAAGCGGCGCGCAGACCAGCATCTGAGCATGGATGTAAGCGTGCCTGCCTGTGCAAGCACGCGAGCAGGCATACCGGCAAGCAAGTGTGCATACGCACATGAGAGCATGTGCGCATACGAAGTGTGCTTCAGTGCGCGCAGAACACGATTTCGTCTGAAGCCGGCGCACCAACCCCATGGCCACCCCTTTCCCTTGCCCCGTTAGGTGCCCTGATGCGTACAAGAGAACCCACCCACCTTACAACCCCCGAGTTCAACCTCGCCCGGCATTCAGTGGCGCACCACCCCACGACCAGCGGCAATGACTAGGAACATTTGCTGCCAAGTTGCTGACCCCTGAGGCCCAATCCATGGTACGTCTGAGGAACCGTGTCAATGAAGGACGTCCAAAACTCGTCTGGAACACTGCGACTTCTCAGAATAGTATCCAGGCCCAACCTTTGAAGCAGCAGGTTTCTGAATGTTTCTGACCCACTCATCTTGACTGGTGGTGTTAACGGAGGCCGCCCTGTCGATACTGCCAAGGGACAACAAACGCCTCTCTGAACATTGCTGTAGAAGGTTCAATGCCTTGCCAGCAATGGTCTGCACATGTCTGCTCTGGGCAGGCGAGCTTACACTTTCAATGCCACTTCCTTTCCGAGAGCAGTGCGTCTCAATGCATTTCGGCATTTAAAATTCCTGATCCACCAAGACCCCGGCCTCTTCTGCGCAGAGTTTACCCGACAAGCCCAGCTGCTTTGCCTGCCAGCAAAAGCGCCTCGGATCTTCAATGTGTTGACTGAATGCTTATGCTTCGAACATGGGGGCCAATAGGAAGCAACCGAGGCTCCGCAGCGTCGCCACAGCGTCTCCGTGAATTACGATACAGTCCTCAAAGGACACTTGACTACAATACCTCAATGCAATGTTCAACAATTCTTATGCAGCTTGTCAAACTCATGACGGGCATCCTTTGCGTGCTCCTCGAGCTCAGGCTTGGCGCTTAGAAGCTGTGCCGTCAGGTCAAGCTCTTCCTTGCTAGGCACCGCACGGCTCACGGCCACTGGATTACAACTGGCAAGCCTTCCACGGAGTGATGCTGTGCTGGAAAATGCCGTGCTGAACAAGTCCCAGTAGCCTGGGATGGTAGATAGTGCCCGAAATATTTGTTGACGAGCGGATCGTCCGCCAACATTTGCCGAGGCTCCGCAGGTCACAGAGCTATTGGCTCCCCTCCATAGAAGGCATCCGTTGAACAGTACTTATGGTCTCAATCATCCCCAGCTGCGTGAGCTTGAGGAGCAAAATCAAGGTTTGGAGAAGCGGCGGAGGAAAACGGGCGAAGTTTTGAACGCTATCGGTGCCATGTTCAAATGCAGACTTGCACTAGCAGCCTCATCCCGTGACCTCACACACTCTGCTTCCCGAGGCGCTAGGCTGCTCTTTTTTTGGCTCGCGACGCCATGGCAGTCCACAGGCTGTCCAGGATCGGAGAGCTGAGATCCGCAGTGTAGGAGACCGAGCCTCGGTGCTCTCTCCTGCATCTCACATGAGGGTGCGCAGGCCCTAAGCAGCGATTAAACCACGCTGCAAGGCCAGAACCCTAAACCCTACAAGATGGAACCCTAAACCCTACACCCTAAACGCCAAACCCTAAACCCTACGCCCGAAACTCTCGCCAAAATGAGGGCGGCACACTTGGACATGGTCGTGCTGGGCCACAGCATCCACGGCCAAGTGCATGGTGTCCAGGTCCCCTGCCAGCAAATACTATACGTACACATATATGTAATGATGAACATAAGACAGCTTACGGAGCATATTATATTATATTGTAAAGTATAAATATATGTGCGTGTACATATCTTGTCTTATTATATAGTCTTTTGCTGGCAGCGACAATGCCGTACGCAAGTTACGTGGCCACCATTCCCAGCCTTATCTACAATGGCCCTTCCGCCTTCGTGACAGAGGCGCAGAATCACGGAATTCCAGGTGTTGCTAAACGGGGTTTCCCAAAATAGGGGTCCGCTCAATATACCCCAAAACAACATATTCCCTACTATGGGCGCCCTCGATGATACTGTTAGCAAGCTGGGCTTTTCTTGGACTTTCCAGGTCGAATGCGTGACCAAAAACGTGCCAAAGGTAAAGCTGAGATTATGTTGTTATAGTTTCCTTCATGTTTTCTTACCTTATTAAACGGCAAAAGCAAAGGTCTGGTGTTTTATCTTTAGTGCTAGCTGGTATTTTTGCACCTGTAAATTAAGGACCTTTCGAATTTGACCACCCCATGAAAGAATCAGAACCAAGGACAGCGATTACAAGGAATTTGAATAAGCTCGTTGCCAAATCTCTGCAACCCGTGCAGAGTGAAGAACAATCCGTACCAGCCTTTTTTTGATGGGAATTTGCTTCTATCTTCATAAAAGCCTTCCTCTGAAACTTGATGTTTATGGATCGAGAACACAGTGAAGCCCGACTAATATTGGGATCCCACACCCAGTTACCCAGTTTCCCTGAATGTTCATTCTGTCGTCTCACTTTCATTCGTGTATTCATTTGCTCCCAATCAATAGAACACGTGTGCTGCTTGTGGAATTCACCAGACTAGTCTTTCATAGCGGCTGCACATCTGGGCCTTGCTGGTCCCCAGCGTCTCGAAGAAATTGATGCCACTGCCTGTCCAAGATTATGGCGTGCCGGCTGTCTTCTGGGCCCCAAGCCCTGTATGTACATATATACATATATACATATATACATATATACATATATACATATATACATATATACATATACGTATACATATATACATATACGTATACATATATACATATATACATATATATATATATATATACACATGTATTCACTATGTGTGTGATGTTCGTACTCATCACATGAGAAGAAGCAGAAGCGCATGCTACGTATGTACTGTATACTCAAGAAGCAGAACGAATATTTCACTACACAGCTCCGGCCTTGAGATCCTTCTCACCTTCTGGACTTCTTGGAAAGACAGGTTTCAGAGCCTTGGGGGCAAAGACGTGGTCTGCCCTTGACTCCTTCGAAGCTGACCACAACTGCCGAGATTTCCGCTTGATGATTCTTTAGGCTTCGACTTCTTCCGTTCCTGACATCGATTGGGGCCTACCATGGCTTACCACATCCTACTGCTGCCGCAGCCATTCTGGAGAAGCTCCCCTTTGCCTTGCTTTGATCTTTGCTGACCACGTTTTTGGACTCTTTTTCTTTGCCTTTGGTCTTTAAGCGTGAAGCTCCGGAAGTCTTTTCTTTTCCTTCCTTGCCACGGGAGCCGCGCTCGCTGGGTCTTTTCTCCTCAGCTGCCCAGATGATGCCCGCCCGCCTCCACAATATGATGCAGTATACTGCCAGGTGATGGCAGGGAGATTCGCTGAGCTTTCGCTCATGCTCGCTTCTCTTTTTCATTCTTTTCCAGCTCACACACTGCCTATGAAATGAGAGTTGAACGAGCCCTCGGGCAGGAGCGGCCGCTGAAGGGGTCCGGCATTGGCCCTTGGCCTGGGACGGCTTCCGGTGTCAGAGGCTTTACTTTTGAACAAGTAGTAGGCAGGACAAGGAGCATCCTCCGAAAAACATGGGGAGGGGGGGGGGGGGATGGGGGGGGGGAGCTACAGTAGAGCAACTGCCAATTTCTAGCAACTCCACGCAAAACATGATGCCCAGGGCCCCGCAGCTGCTGAGGCACAGACGCAAGTACAATAGTAGCAGCTCGCCGTATGACACCCTGGGGCATGTGGATGAACCTCACGCGGCAATGTGAGCATAATGACTGCATAAGTTATAAAGTCAGGCAGCTTGCGTGTCCAGTGGGTAAGGCGCAAGCAAAGCTTGGAAGACCGGAGCCACAACAAGCATGAACATTACCTTGGCTGATATCTCTTCGGGCTCTCCCACGTGGTGCTAAGCAAAGAGAGCCAAGCTCCAGGCCAGCGGTGTGACCATGGCAATCCACGTGAAAATCCCGGACCTGATGTCGTGGCGGAACCGTGGACACAGCTGCAATTGCACCACAAACACCATGGGCCTGCTGTGTGGGATGAGCCAAGGCTCCCACCAAGTGGGCCCCGCAGCCTGAAGGGGCACCATCAGCTGCCTCGGGCGCAGCCAAGCATGTAACCTGGAAGGTAGTAGTCCGGAATCCGGCATCGCTTCCGCAGACCTGAGGCCTTTGCCGGCGAACCTCCGGCGAGAGGGACAGCATGTCCAGAAAGTTGACATTCAGTAAGTAGCTGCCCAACAGATATCGCGCAGGCCATCTGAAGCAACTCCATCGTGCCAGTGGTCTGCAAAGGCACGCCAGAGACAGCGTCTGTATAACTATGAGAAAGAGGCTAGCGAGCCGTGCCACAAAATAATGCAGCGAGGATGAATTTGAAGGGGCACGGTTCTCGATGGCACACTGCGTTGAGAAGAGCCACGAGAAGAGACTTGACAGGCCGAAGACCACAAGTCCCGCGAATGTATTGGCTCTAAGGACCAGCGATGAACAGGCGGAGTTGAATCGGACTGCACCAGCATAGAGCACTGCACATATCAAAACCTGGAGCAGGGCTCGATCGATGCTCACCGACCCCGCACTTGCATAGGAGGGTCGCCTCTCTGAGGGCCCGTTGAAAACAAAAAAACTGCTCTTGAGCTCCCGGCCTTTGGCGTTAACAGACACGATTGGCAGTTCGGCCACCAGTCCGTGGGCAGGAAATACTCGCCACCAGACCCACAAAGATCCACAAAGCAAAAGGGCACGAAGATGTAGGCGGCGAGCAGCAAGCCAAGTGCAGCAAAGCTACCTGGAGAGCTCATTGGATGATGACCAAACTACAAACAGTTTCGACGACCTCTGCCTGGCCTCCGCCGCACCAGTGGTCCAACACTAAAGTCGATTTTCCGAAGATCAAGGCCAGCAAAAACCATCGCTGAATTGTCTCCGCATGGAACACAATGCTGCTCCAGGGCTTTGAGAAGAACAGAGAGAGCAGCATCGGCAGGAAGCCTGCTGTACACAAACGACATGCGTTTTGGTCTGTGCTACGTTTACATGGCTGACTTTCACGTGCAGAACTCGTCAATTCCAGCCAGCCCATCATGAACCCGAGTGCAACTTGTGTTGAAGGTCTACGACTCTGCGCCCGGTCTGGACGGATTCTCGCTTCCAGGATTTGCCAGTTTCGGGGGCCTCAGGCTCCCCATGACACCAGTTACTGCCCCTCCTTTCTCTGCTTGCTTGGAAAGCTGGGCGGGGATTCAAGAGGTGTTTTGCTGGTTCCTCAGAAGTCGGGGAGGCAGTTTGCTCTCAATTTGTTTTCGCGGCCCTCAGACGTAGAGACCATGCTACTTCTATAGGACTTGCTTCATGGGCGTGTAGTAGGAGGCATGAGCCGTTTCTGCAACAACAAACCGTCGTGACGAAGTTCGGGTTCGGAGAACTAGTAACCCCCCTCACATAGGACATTAGTCCAGCAACAGAGCTATCCAGATCTGCGATGGGAGGCTGGAGACTGCTCTCGGACCTCATTCTCTTTGGTTTAACTGCGTCCTGAAGTCTCACACAAAGAGCACGTCGCCCCAATTCCCGCCTGCGTAGAAGTACAAGATCAAAATCGCAAGGTCTCTTTGCGTGAAAGCCGAATGTTCGCTGGATGTGTGAGCCGCGGCCGCGAAGCAAAAGACACCGTAAGCCCAATCTTGGGTTGCAAGCCGATACGTAAACATAGTCCAGTCTGGCACTGGTATCGCCGGCATGGGCATGGAATTTTCCTGAGCCTGACCCTGAGAGGGAAGTTCATAAGTGCGGGGCTCGACCAAGACACACCAGAACCAATGAAAGAGGATCACGTCCGCCATGCCGAGCACCGCAAGGCAGTCCCAAAGGTTGTACAGCTCGATCGTCTTTCGGCTCACGGCACGAGCAAAACCCAAAGAGTCCAGGTAGCTCATGAGCTTGTCTTCCAGGGCACCTTGAGCCAAGGCATCTTGTGCTTGCGCCCGGGTTGTGAGGCCTTTCGTTTGCATCCTCAGGCCCATGCGGTCGACCTTCTGACTGGCCAGACGAGGCAGCGCCGGTACTTCCACGAAGTGCAGCGGAACCATGTACTGAGGCAGACGTTTGAGCAACTCCTCGCTCATCTTTCCGCGCACGTCTTGCCTCCCCACGCTGCAGGCGACCAGAAAGGCAACCTTGGCTACTGGTAATAGAGGACAAGGAATCAAGCCGGGTTGGGGCTGCATATTTTGTCAAGACACAAGCGTCTGCTCGTCTTCCGCAGCCTGAACCACAGCAGCTTCTTGGCAGAATGGCTCCAAAGCGGCCTCGATCTCTGCAAGCTCTACCCGCACACCATGGAGCTTGACCTGACCAAGGCTGATTGAATTGAGCCTTTGTCAAGCACTCACGCCCGAGCGTGCACAGCCCGTTTGGTGCACTGTTGTAGTATGTTTCCTATGGTGCGTTCGACCCTTGCACTCCCGGCCGGATAGGGCCGGCAAGGCTTATTACAGTTCAAAGGCTATGAACGGGTCCATAATTCAGCAATTAGTGCAACGCCTCGGTACTTCTGATTCTGTTTCAGCGTGGGCATACTTCCCTCACATTCGCAGGACAGCGGCTTGTTGTAGACTTTGGGATGGTGGAGAGTTCAGGTGACAACTCTGGGTATGGCAGAAGGGAGCAGTCTAGATTTCCCTTGAATGGCAAAGCGGGCTTAAGGCACAACAACTCCCTCAAAAGGTACCAAAACAGTAAGTACCGTGGGGATGCATGGCGGGTCCGGGGAGCTTCTTGGGACTCGCAGCCATTTTACATTGTTCGTACCTGCTGCTCCTGAGCTGAGTGCGAAAGGGTGCTTCTGGATTCATGTCTGGCGCATGGAGGAGCACCCTGAATCCTTACGGCAATTGATGAAGGATGACGCTCAATGATGCCTCTTCATAGGTGCAGAGCTTGCATACTTATGTGTGCTTGCGGCTCTTGGCGGTGCTTGGCGCCGGCCGGTGCCAGAAGTGTAGTCGTGGAACGGTCATGGGTCTGAATAAACCCTAAACTCTAAACGAAAAAACCTAGCCGAGCCAACCCTTGCATCGTGGTCTGAAAGATGGGTGGGGCAGGGTCCCGGAAATGGGTGCCAGTTAGGGTGGCCCAGTCTTCCTGTAAAGCCTCCAAAGCCTTGGCACTCCCACAAATCGATGGGCCATTCTTCTGTGGCTTTACCTTAACTCAGGTTAGACTCTCCGTTCCCCATTGCCAAAGCGGGGAAAGACGTGTTTGCCTAACAGTTTTTGATTGTCACGAAGGCCTGGTTGTCAATACGACCACAAACTTCCAGCTCGTCGTTATTGTTCCACATTCCAAGGTCACCAGTTCGGAAAGCGGCTCGGCCATCCACCTCGTGGCCAGCACAGACCCCCACCCTAAACCCTAAACCCTAAACCCTAAACCTTAAACCGTAAACCGTACACCCTAAACCCTAAGCCCTTTTTTCCATCTGGGCTGGGTGGGGAATGCCGGCCCTAAACCCTAAACCCTTGACTTAAGCCTTAATCTTGAAGCGACCAACCTGGAGCAATCTCTCCGCGGTAAGCTCGGGCATGTTGAGATAGCCACGGAACATGATTCCGCTGAAGAGGATTTCACCCTGACGGGCGTGCCGAGCTTTTGCATCATGCAAGGTTACGTGAATCGACGGCTGAGGTTTCCCCACAGGAGCCACGGAGCTCTCAGGAACAGCAAGGCAACGCCATGTCGTCATGCCCGTCTCTGTCAAGCCATAGTAATTTCTCAGTCGCATCGATGCTTGCAACGCTTTGGTGCAAAGATGTCGTGGCAGCGGCTCTCCAATGGCCACGACATGTGTGCGCGACGCGAAAGCAGAAAGCGAATCCATCATGTGCGTGAGAACAGAAGGGACCCCAGCGAGGACACAGATATTGCAGTCGCGGACAGCATCTGCAATGTAGGCCAACTGTTTCTGAGAACCATCAGGCGTAATGAAGACGCAGCCTGCAAGACAAAGAGCGGGAAACATTTCATACTCTGCTGTTCTCCACTGGTATGGGGTCTTCCAAAGAAGGTTGCGGCAGTTTTCCTCACCCAGATCTTCGGTAAAGCAGCACACCGAATGCCACAAGCAACTGTGATCGCACACCACACCTTTGGGCCGTCCAGTCGATCCCGACGTGTAAATCACCATGCAAATCCGGCTGGGATCTGGAGAAGCTCTGGTCAGGCACCTGCTGGTTCCGGACTTTTCAAAAGTTTTTTCCAGAAGAAGAACTGGCGGGACCCCTGGGATGGAACCGGCCATGTCCTCAGAATCGGTGAGTACGAGTGATGCATCCGCACACAGCAAAAGCCGACGAGGGAGTGGCACATCCTTTGGCACAGGGGTGTAGGCACAGCCAGCCTCCCAAACAGCCAGAACGGCCGCGAGCGCGAGCGCCGAGCGATCCAGATGCAAAGCGACCAGCAAGACTTCGCCACACATCCCTGGTGATGGCTGCAGATTGTGTGCCGCACAGGCATGCGCGATATGCCTGGCAATATGACTCGCCCATGCCAAGAGTTCGTCATACGTGAAGGAGATGTGGACCTGAGAAACCACATGTCAGGTACTTCTGGGCTTGGTAGGAGTTTCGGGAACCCCCCAAGTTGCAGCCCACCCAACTGCGAGCCTGCCCCTGGCTGGTCAGCTCCACAGCTGCGCGCGCATGTCCGGGGGCACGTCTCACGTGCTCCAGGACACTGCCTCGAACGCAGCTGCTCGAATGCAGCTGGCGTGCAGCTAAACCCATATCTTAAAACCAAGTGGCTGTGAAAGTCAGCACGGGTCCGAACGTCAGCACCCGACATGGCGAGGAGATATCGGAAACATCTGTGCTCCAAGTTAATCGTGCCTAAAGGTGCCCAAAATACATCCTGCCACAGATTCAAGAGACGTGTTGCTGCTCGTGTCCAAGTACCGTCCTGGCTAGAATCTGCTAACGATCTTATCAAACAATCGGCCACTGAGAGTCCTTTGAATTCTTTGGTTTTGCCTTCTTCTTGGACTCTTTCCTTTGCCTTCGAAGGATGGGTCATGGAGTGGTACTTGGTGCGTTGCACAACACAGCGGCGTTGCGCCTTCCCGAACTTCGCTTCTTGCTTCTCGTCGCCTTCTCCTCAGCCCACTGCTTTATTACAAGTAGGTCTTCGCTTGTGCCTAGTTCTTGCTGGCGACGCCCCTCGGCACTAGGTGAACATTGGGACAGCTGGGGCCAGAAACGCAGCTGCTGGAGCTCGTGCTTCTGCCTACAGGTGGAACGGTGGAGCTCTGGCACGGGGGGAACTGTGTCCATGGGCGTCCTCACAGCAAGGAGCCATCCCAAGCCCTTCACCCGTCTCCGATGCGGTGCCAGTCTCAGATGCCTCAGATCGCATCTCCGGCATCGATGTCCCTCGTCTCTCGCATGAGTGCTCCCTTGCTTCGGCTCTTCTGCCAAGGAACTCTTGCTTGCATGGCCTCCTGCGCTGCCGCATAGGCCTTGCTGCGCCAGAGGAACCACACAAAGATCCTAAACCCTAAACCCTAAACCCTAAACCCTGCCCGACATCCGCAGAGCCAGCGCAGGAGCCGACCTTGGCCTCTGCTTGTGCGCGCGCTAGCTCCGCAGCCTTGTGAGCTGCGACCTGGATCATCTTATATTATTACCATTCTTTTTAAATATGGTTCTTGTTGTTGTTGTTGTTGTTATTATTATGATGATGATTATGATTGTGACTACTACTATCATTAGAATGTTCTTACTACTACTTCTTGCAGTTGGGGTCGCTCCTGGCCTGCGCGGCCTGGAGCGCTGCAGCCTTTTGGAGCGCAGCCAGCTGGGCCTGGAACCCAGAGAACTTTGGACCGTTCAACGGCCCTCGTGGTAAGGTTTAAGGTTTTTTGGTTGAGGGTTTATTGCTTAGGGTTTAGGGTTTCGGGTTTAGTGTGTAGGGTTTAGGGTGGAATGCGCCGGCAAAATCAGACAAAGCAGACATGATAAGCGGCTACGGAGGATCAAGATGCGTCAAGACCGAGGACACATTAACTGCAACCCAGATGGGTCCGGACTCGATATCACTGTCTTGTCCACTTCCTTACCACGTCAACTTCTGAGCATTGAGTTCCACTAGCTAAATCTTATACTCACTGGCTGAACCTAGTACGTACAATTGCGTACTACTCTGTTGGAGTTCCAGTCCGAGCATTCTGCAGACGCTGCCTTATGAGCTCAAGCTCCAGCCTGTGCGGCAGACTGCTTGGACTCCTCCTCTTCCCGAATCTGCAAAAAAGCAAGTCCGTACACTGGCACTGGCAACACACCACAGGTACAAGTGTGCCGTGTTGTAGGATCCAAGTCTTCGACAACCCACTTCCAGCCACTACCTTCGTGCCCCTTCGGTGCAGTCTTGCCACCCTGGCGCGGTGTTTCACGGGGACTCGGCTCGACGCTTCAGTGATTCAGGGTCCCAAGCTTGGTCTCGAAAGCATTCGAAAGCGGCCTCAAACTGGAGAAGCGACTGAGTCTCCCCAATCACACGAACTCGTTGTCCTCAAGTTCACAAGCCACATGGCACACCGTCAGCAAGATGCTACACAAGTACCGGGGCGCGTGCCCTTGAGGCATCCGTACTTGGCCTTCAGCATCTCCACGACGCCTGCGCAACCATTTGCTGGCAAGCATTTGCTGGCAACCATTTGCTGGCAAAGCTCTACAACTCAGCAGGGTCTGCATAAGCACGGCATGCCGCTGCACTTCAGCTTGGCAGCTTTTAAGCTCTGGTGAGGCTTCTAAGATCTTGATGTGAAACAGATCATTCAGGATGGCCCCTCTAACGTCTATTCTAGACGCAACAGCGGTCCATCGAATCATGGGCTGACAGCATGCAAGGACGGACGCCTTTGTATGAGCGTGACACACTTCGCCATTCTCCCTCTTAAGCTGGCTGCCTTTCTGCTTCGAACGGGGAGGAAGGTGGCGTTGAGTGCATTATCACGGCCGCCCTCCAGGAAGGAACGAGGATCGCTGGAAAAAAACGATGTCGGGGCAGCGCATCACAAGAACACATCAGCAAGAAACTCTTTCGTCAGAATTCTACATAAACTTGCACAGGTAGAGAGGATGCACCGGCATCTGTGGCCCGCATGTCAAGTCCGTCACAGCTGCTTCAGCAGAGTGGGAACTGTCAGGGCTGCATCCTATTTGCGCAATGCTTTGCGTTTGAGACAACCGAGTTTGGTGCGCAAGCCTGGATCTAAGATCTATCGCGTCTGAATTCTTTCACTTTCTGTCATGGAGGATCACGGAGGGTTGGTCATCAACGCCACCGGCTTAAGCTCTTCGATCACAACGCAAGCGATAATGAACAAGACGTAGAGGACAGCCATGCAAGCGCCGAGGAATTTGTTGAGCTTCCACTTGCTAATCATGATGCTCACCACCGTGCCGAGCACCATCCCTAGTAGTAAGCAGGTGTAGAACATGAGGAATGGCGACCTGGGCCATTCCGACACGATGCTGCTCGCGCCCTCACGCTGCATGAAATGTCGGCAGAGACCTCCCCTCTACGAACAGTAGAACGAACAATGCAGCACGCCGAATAGCAAATCAATAATATACTGCGCCATCCAACCCTAAACCCTAAACCCTAAACCCTAAATCCGAGGGGCCGAATCATGACACCTTTGAACTCAGGATTGGAGGCTTCGAGGGCGCTCTTGAGGAGCCAAGGGATCGGAAGTCCGACCTGACACGCGCTTCGAATCTTCTGTGAACACAAAGAGACCATCATCTAAGAATGTAACAATGTAACAAGTATAGCAACATAGTACTAGCACAGAATAAGGATACCAGACTACCAAAAAATTGAGCCATAGTATGATCGTATAATCATATGATCGTAGACTCATATCAGAATATGATGATACACCTAGTTCGCTAACCATAAAAGAATATGATGATATGATGGATATATAACCACAGGCAGAATACTTTGATGATGTAATGCTACCCTAAACCCAAAATGTTGAATTGGCAGGCGGCGAGGATATCAAAAATGTTGGAGCCGACGGAGGAGCTGACAGCCATGTCTGCTTGGCCTCTCAAATCGCCATGTCTGCTGCCTCCTAATGACCCTAATGACCCGCTCCCTAAACCCTAAACCCTAAACCCTTTGGGCATCTACATCTGGTCGCTTTGTGAAGCAAGCCCGCCTTTGCGAGCCACAGCCATGGAGCTGACTGCATCTGGAATGGAGGTCGCAGCCGCCAGGAAGGTCAAGCCGGAGATGATGGTTGGGATCTGAGGACAGAAAGTGTGCCTACGCTCTCTACCACCCTTGCCCAAAAAACAGCGCGTCCGCATCTGAGGCCGCTGCCCCGATGACTGCCGCAACCTTTGCGTTCGACACGCAAGAGGACGGTTGTCTTGCCCTATAACACAAGCAAGCAACCTGGCTGACTCTTTGAAGCCAACACGCCCAGGCACAACAAAATCACGTAAACCCAGCCCTGCCCAGACCCCTAGAAACATGGGGGGGGCTCCAAAAATAAGGATTATGGTAATTTGTAGGGTGCCCCTGAAAACGTCGCGGAGGATGGAAACTTGGAGCGGTTCTCTTTGGAGTTGTTTTTTTCTCAAACGTTGTGGACTAGTTTCTCCGAGTTGTTGGCCTTTGGCCTGTGGTCTTTGGCTTCCCCATGCAAAGATTGCAGCTGACCATCACACCCTTCCTTCCAACGAGCTCTCACCCCTGTGCCATGGATCCAGAGTGATTTGTCCAGATGGTGACCCTTTTGGGGTCTGCATCCCCGTTGAATGCTCATAGATCCATGTACATACTCCAATGGTACCACTCAAAAAATGGTGTGGCTAGGGGGGTGATGTGGTGAGGGGAGGGGGACCTCCTCTAAATTGAATGTCATGATCGTACGGATAGTTCTGTTTGTGGTCGTCGTAGTATGGGAAAAAAGTAAGAAGAGCGACAAGAATAAGAATAGCGATAACAGTAAGCACAAGTAGATTTCCAGTAACAACAGTAACAATGGTACTCATATGCAATAAACATTTACAGCGGCAACTATCGTGGAAACGAACATAGCAGCAATCGTTGTATTCATCGTAGTCATGCTTATCATAGTAGAAATAATTGTAAAACTCATCGTAGCAATGCAAGTGAAAATCACAACAACAGTAGTAACAAGAATAAAAAGAACATTTTAGTCGTGGGAAAATCGTAATACAACGCGCAATAGTACTGGCATAATGATAAACGTGACGGTGATGATGGCCGGCATCTATAATGTGATGATGGCAATAAAGTTAACTGTCATCATAATAATTGTAGTACCGTAATGATGGCCATCACCGTGAGAATGTGGATGTTCGTAATCGTACTACCTGTAGCAAACAGCTGTCATCATCGCAGTAATCGTGGGAATACAGGGATAGTAAAAGTGAGTACGAAGGCCGTCTTACGCCCATGCGCCATTGCGCCGAAAACCCTAACTCCTCTCTCCCTCACAGGCGCTCAGCGAATGCCCCGAAAGCTTTTTTCAGCGAGGTCTCCTTGAAGTGCCCCTAAACGAAAACCCTGCGGAGCAGAGTCGACTTAGCATGCGCCCGTCGCGCCCGTCATGCAATCCTACTATTCATAACAGCAAGGAGCGTGGGAAGAATGAGAATTGCAAGAAAAGTAAGAGCGGTGATCAGACTAACTTTAATAACAGCACTCGTAGTACCGTCAACACACATCGTGATGGTAGTAACAACTGCGACAGTACTAATAGGAGCAATGGCAAGCATGATAGCAAGTAAGGCCATGCTAACAATTGTAATTGTTATTCTAGCCGCAATAAGTGTAGCCATAGTCGTCGGAGTAGTGACAACAGAAAATAACAGAAATCATTGTATTCAGTGCTAATCGAGAATACAAGAGTCTTTCTACATTCCCTTTATCTCTTTCCTTCCATGGCTAGCCTTACCTAGCATTTCTATCTATGTGTTCCTGACTAAAACAGGAGAAGCAGAATTCTGTACCCATCTCAGCGTGCCGAGACAAAACACCGCGTGGATGCCTGCCACCAAAGTATATCTGAAAGCTACGTACAAGGGTTCCGTGAGGCACAGATGGTGTATGCCACCTGCCGACAGAGGACCCAAGGGAAGCTAGACATCGTTGCTTCGTCGGCTCTCCAATTTGCGTTTGGATGCCATTTCAAGGTGACTCTTACTTGGAGGTTCAGGGTACTTAGTATCCCAACTATCCGTGCAGCTATAATCCACCTATAAGCCCCTTAAGTACCCAAATGGGGTTTTAATTGGGTCATAAGTACGGTCATGATTGGGTTACTAAGTGCCCCTGAACCTCCAAGTAGGCTTCTAAGGCTGGAGCCGTCTCGGTCCACCAGACGAGGAGGAAGGCAAAGGCCCCAATCCAAATCAAGGAGAGCCCGAAGGTGAGCATGAACAACTTGGAGCCCTTGGAGGGCCAGGGCCTCGGAAAAATTCCGGCTCTGCGATGTTCCAAGGGAACATCTTTGGGATGTTGTTCCCCCTTATACTAAGAGTCCTTCATAGGGATTGAAATAGGGGTACTAGAATCCTTATTAAGGACTGTTAGTACAAGGGGGAACATCCCAACTTCAAGGTCTCACTCTCTTCTGCGCTGTGAGGTGAGGCCGCGGCAGCGTGTAGTAGAGCAGCACATAGATGGGCAAGCAGAAGACCCAAACCACGGTGCTAATCGTGCCCTCGGGTCGTTCCATGAAGTCGTCTGGTTCGTCGTTGTCCTTGTCGGGGCAACTTGAATTCAGACAGAAGTCAGTACATTTTGACACTCTGTTTTGGTCCACGCTTCCTCATCGTCATCTTCACCGCCTGCGGCATCCTTGCCATCGTCCTGTTAAGATTGGTGCGTATGGACAAAGAAGCTGCCGAGATGATAACGTGCATCGAGGTGCTGTACAAAGTCACCATTCAGTCCTTGCTCATGCCTTTCTCGTCCTTGTCTTTCCCCAATCGGGCCAGATTCAAGTCCTCGGGCTCGTTCCCATCATCGTCATCGATGGGCGTGCTCTTGACAACAACCTTGTCAGGCTCCATGTAGTTGTCCTGCAGGAAATTAGCTCTCCAGGCCCTGTCTTCTTTGAACCCGGACTCAGAGCAATAGCTGGAGCTTGGGATGTTCCCCCTTATACTAGCAGTCCTTAAAAGGGATTATGGTGCCCCCCTATTCTAGTCCGCATGAAGGACTAGTATAAGGGGGAACCACCAAGCTGGCCTTGAAACAACCCTTCTTGTAACTGGACTGATTGCCTGGATGCCGAGCCTAGACCCCAAAACCATATGCCATGCTGCACGAAAAGCCCTAATCCTCTTTTGCAACCAGGTCTCTTGCAGCCAGCCGGGCAAGTTCCCTAAAACCTAAAACTTACAAAGGGTCTTTTTAAAGAAAGGGTTTAAGGTTTAGGTCTAGGTTTTAGGGTACCATGGGGCTCCTTGGCTGGCTTTGGTGGCTCATCTGACTTCTTCACAGTGATAGCCTCCTCGACGGCCTCCAGTGGCTCCACCTTGTTGCTACACTTCTGCTTCTCCTGAGCCAGGGGTTTAGGGTTTAGGGTTTCGGGTTTAGGGTTTAGGGTTACCCACCTATAGCTGACACTAAGCATGCTTTTGGTTTGCTCCCTTGGTGCACTTCAGGGACTTCAGGGTTTGATCCGTGGTTCCGGGCTGATGGGGTTTTAAGTTGTCGGGTGACAGTCATCTAAACCTTAAACCCCAAAACCTATGTTCAACGAAGGCACACACAGAAGCTGCTGATGACGTGTCTGAGTCTTGGAATTGTGATTGCTTAAGCTTCAGGGTTTCGGGTTTAGGGGTTAGGGTTTAGGGTTTAGAAGCTTCGTGAGGCTCCTGAACGTAGTCCCTGAGCTCCTTGTTCAGTGGTGTGCCCGTCATCTGGTACCTTGCATCCAACTCCCAAACACAAGAGTCGTTTCGTTCCGTGCCAAACCCTTTTTTGAAGCTAAACCCTAAACCCCAAGCCCTAATCCCTTTTGGCGGAGGGCTCTCTTAAGTGCCTAAACCCTAAACCCTAAACCCTAAACCCTAAACCTTAAACCCTAAACCCTAAACCCTAATTCCTAAACCCTAAAGAGACCTTTGTGTGAAACGTTGGTGGCTGCTCCACCTTCTGCTTTCAAAAACTTTCGCGACGACACATGGCCTTGAGGCCTCCTCTGCTTCGCGGCAGCTTACAGGGTTTAGGGCTCAGGTAAGCGAAGGGTCTTGATCAGTCTCTGCACATCCCCTCTGCGAAGTCCCCACTTCCAGTTTTTTTATCCAAGGCACGCCCACACATTCAGGGGACGGTTCACCAGCATGAACAGCACGTAGATGATGTACATTGCAAAGAGAATGGCGGCCTTAATCCACAAAGTAACAATGTCACACACACCTAGTGCCTCAAAGCGCGCGTCCGCACTTCCAGTCTGTCGTCCCACCTCCCATGGCTTTACGTACTGGTCCGACACGAATGCGGCCAGGACTGCCAGGGATATGATGTAGTATGAGCAGTCCTGCGAGCAGCATGCCACAACTCTCCAGTCTTCGTGCCATGAGCCAGGAAGAGCCAGGAACAGATGCGATGGAAGTCCCGGAAGAGAGGCCACCATGTCAAGTCAATGTTCCCCTTTGCCACCCAGCCACACCTTGGGTTGTGGCGGCAATATGCGCTGTGGCGCACACACACACACACACCGGACACATGCGCGCACTTTTTGTTGATGCTCTCCAGATGTCTTCTGCATCGTCAACAGCACACGCTAACTGGGGCAGCGGGCAGGCCAACCACGAACAGCACATTGAACACGGCCGATCCAACGATAGTGCCAAAGCCAATGTCATTCTGTGCCTTGGGATGCAGTCATTGGCATGTGTCACCAAGCGTAGTCCCTAGTGAGAATCACAGAAGATCACAGATTCGCGGAGGGGCAATAGTTGCGCCAATTATGGAGGTGAAGAACTCGGGGGCCGATCCCCCAGCAGCCATCCAAGTCGCCTGACTTTGCCCACGCAACTCGGGGTCTCACCCAGTTAGTTCATGTTAATTTGCTCCACAGGAAAGCTACCGGAAGCACAGAAGGTGCAGTCGGTTTGCGCCCGCCACATCAGGGGTCAAATCCCACGCGTCGCAGAGAAGATCAATGGCACCAGCGAAATAGACGTCGCAAACAGTGTTCAATCCCAGCACCATGTAGGCCTGGGAATTTGCTGATGGCAGTCTCATGCCCCCTCCGCATGAAACGGAATCTCAAACATGGACGTCGTTGGGCTTCCGGCGATTCCGACGACGTGAAACAAGGCGAAGAATTTCCTTCCTCCAGAGTCGTCCAGGGTTCACAGTTTTGCCGCGTGGCGCAGTAGCCCATTCTACAATAACCCTAAAACCCTAAAACCCTAAAACCCTAAAACCCTAAAACCCTAAAACCCTAAACCCTAAACCCTAAACGATGGCCTGGCCTAGAGGCTGATCGAAGTATGGCTCTTCCAGCAGTAGATCCTTTGGATAAAAGCTGGATGCCTCAGCAGGCTAGACGCTGGAAGCTTTCCAAAGCTCACCCTGTCATTCATGTTACATGTTCATGCTGCCGCGGCGCAGTATGACTTTCAACCCTTCTGCAGCTGAATCTCAGCCCTCAGCCCTAAACCCTAAACCCTGTTTGTTTTTTTGGCATCCGGGCTTGGGCAGTCGGCGCCCTAAACCCCTAAGCCCCTAAGCCCCTAAACCCCTAAACCCCTAAGCCCCTAAGCCCCTAAGCCCCTAAACCCCTAAGCCCCTAAGCCCTGTTGTGTCTCCGTCAAGGTGCTTCTTCTGCCTCCGTCGCGTTCAGCCTGCGGGGCAGACCTGGCCAAGCCCTTCCCTTGCACTTGGCCAGTGAGCCCGTGTTTTTCCCCTCTTACAGCATTACAATGGTATCTTCTAATTGTATATTGTAGTAGTATATTGTAAGAGTATACTACAATAGTATATTATAATAGCATATCATAACCGTATTATGTACTAACGCCGTCTATTGCAATGGTATGGTACTACAAAATAGCATATACCGGGATATATATATATATATATATATACTAATCGCCAAAAAAAAGTAGAGTGGCATAAGAAGTTCTGGTGCGGACTAGCCCACACCCTGCCTGTGATGCCTGTGGCTGCGGTGAAGAGCTCAGCAGGATCCTGCCAACATGGGATCTCAACCGGCTGCTTTGACATGTGATACTCGTATAATGGAATATTGCAATGTACTATGATACTGTATACTAGTCTACGATTCCTATAACTACTATTACAAAGTACTAGTATAATGTCAGACTAGTACAAAACTCTACTTTTATGGTATTGTAATATTGCAATATCGTATACAAACCCGAGACACATGCTAGAGTCTGCTAGTGGCGTCCTCTGCTGTAAGCGACATTAAGCCAAAAAGAAGCCCAAATCCTCATCGATGCAACGTCACCACATTCGACGGGCACGGCATGACCAAGTAGATTCTGTACACGACCGCATCCGAATAAATGAAGTGAGGCACTCAAATGTCCAAAAACTTCACAGCAGCCAAGGTGCCCAACGATGAGAAAACTGTGATCTTGCGCTGCAGGTCTGGGCCCAAGACGCGCACCTCGTACACGCTTGAACGGTCCCCGCATGTTAAATCCAGGTTCGTGTCCCTGTCACTGCTTTTCATTGCGCAGGCCTTCTTGCTGAACCGCAAGCGAGCCATGTTTTTTCCTTTCTAGTTGAACCTCGTGCAAGTCAAGACTGAATGCAAGCCGCAATCAGCCTGTCCACTCGCTCCTCAGCATGTCAACTTGCAAGCTGTTTGTGGTCTGGGCACGCGACGTGGAAAAACGTCTGGACTCCAGCCAAAACTGGTGGGACCGGAAGAAGCTATGAAGCTATGTAACTATGTCGAGGAGTTTGAGTAGTTGTTCGCTGGTTATCCTATGCAGGGTGCCAGGTGCTGTGTCCCACTTCCTTGCTGTTCCAACTAGGGTGGACCATGGCCATGGCAAGGTCTTCAGACGCTGTGGCTTGGCCACTCTGTAAGCCATGGCAGACAGCACAGACGTGACAAGCGTCAACTAACGTGCTGAAGCGGTCAGCTCACATATCCGTGTCTCACACAGATGGGCTCGGTATACTGGTATGAGAATGCCGGGTGCGTGCAAGACTCCTCGTGCATGTCGAGACTTTTTTTTATCAGCGGGGGCATGCACGTCAACTCTGGACTGCGGACCCTCCGAAGTGAGTCGTGCGTAACATCGATGTGGTGCGGGGATGTGCAGGGCATTGCCAGCCCGGGCCCATACTCTTTACCCTTGCCACCCTTGCGCCTTGGTTGTTGAAAGCGTCCACATCGCCCGCATCTTTGATGGGACGACGTAGGAAAACAAGAAATTCGCGCAGGAAGTAGCAGAGGCTCCCTCGACACTGAAAGGCTGCAAGTATTATTGGATAGGAAGGACACCTCAGGCCAAAGGCCCGGATTGAAGAAACCGGTGCGAGAACTGCGCCCTATCGCGTGGTCTTGTGCAGTTGCAGCTTTACACCTGGAGAGCCTGGGCATTCTTCTCTGAAGTAAATGTCCAGCTTACCGAATTGTGATGCAATAACGAAATCTACAAACAAGACATGTCAATGTTTGCTGGCTGCCAGCAATTAGCTGGGATTGGTCATCAGCCAAACTGGCCGTGTCAGTTCCACGACAACGGTTGTGACAATGAACACAAAATACAAGACAGCCATGCACAAACCCAAAGCTTTTTGCAGCTTCCAGCCGCAAATCTTGATGCTCATGACCGTGCCAAAAACCATCCCAAGAAGCAGGCAGGTGTAGAACATCAAATAGGGCGATTTGATTGGGACACCCCGGAAGTCTGGATTGCCAGATTCGATGCCGCACTTCACCAGCCAGGGGATTGGGAGCCCAACCTGTGCCAAGGAGCGACTCTCGATCAGATTATTGTGTCATTCTGATCATATGGCATGTCTTCACACGGTATGTTATGGCAATGTTATCCTTCTGGTACTAGATGTTACAAGTACATTGTTTTGTTATTGCGCGAGTTTTCACACATGTTCGGATCAACGCAACATTCAGTCTCAGCGGCGAGAATGTCGAAAATGTTGGAGCCAACAGAGGAGCTGACCGCCATGTCTGCCTGACCTGGCCGGCGCAATGATATGAAAACATAACACTACAATGATATTGTATCATAGAAGTGCATCAGTATTGCGATTATGTATTTTGTTAACATTTAGACATACCAGTACATGAATATATTGACACACTAGCTTCTGCTAAACATTAGACATACCAGTACATGAATATATTGACACACTAGCTTTTGCTAAACATTAGACATACCAATACATGAATATATTGATACACTAGCTTAATCATGTAATATAATCACAATAATAGTAATAGTACTAATATGTGTTAATAATAGCTAACTTATAATACGCGCGCATGCTACGCCAAACGCTCAGGTTTGATGTGCACGCTTGGTGTAAACAAAGACAGCTTGCGGCCTTTACGGGCAACGGCCATAGAGCTCACAGCATCCGGTATGGAGGTTGCTGCGGCCAAGAAAGTGACGCTCGAGACGATGGTGGGAATCTGCAGCACGGCAAAGGCTTTTGTCGAAGCTGCAGCAGTCATGCGCAGTGCTTTCTAGCGGAGTTACAGAAGTCTTGTTCGCCACTTTTGCCCTAAGCTTTTGAGTCTTGCAATGGAGGCTGAGGCTGCGGCTGTCAACACCTCCGCAACCTCAGTCGGACACTGTGAATCTGCAGCATGGGATTCCCCAGCAGTTGCGAGCTTACCGCACATCCCTCAGCTGTGCAGCTTCCCGAATGAGAAAGAAAAAGTCCCCCCCAAAACCGGGGGTCCCTCTTGCTTCCAGTGTGCGGTGTCAGTCCACCAGACCAGCAGGAAGGAGAAGCCGCCAATCCAAAGCAAGGAGAGGCCGAAGGTCGCCAGAAACCACTTGGAGTCTTTGGAGGGCCAAGGCCTTGGGCCAAGAGGGTTTAAGCTTTAGGGTTGGGATGTTCCCCCTTATGTTAACAGTCCTTAAGAGGGATTGGAGTACCCCCTTTGGGAATCCCTATTGAGGACTGTTAGTAGGAGGGGGAACATCCCAAGTTTGGGGTTTACTCGCTCACAGTCGGACAAGCCAGGCGAGGCACACACTGTCTGGTTGTTTTGCCACCCGTCTAGCCATGCTCCACGGGGCAACTGCAACTGCACTGTCTCGTTTAGGGTGTGGTCGCTCACTCTCGCACAAGGCCTGGAGGGTTTAGGGTTTAGGGTTCTCTGTCTGCCGTTGCATGCAAACGGTCTAGCAGTGCCAGGCCATTGCTTGGCCCTTCAAGCCCCTCAAAAAAACAGTGAGCCGACCCTCAAGCAGCTGTCCGCACCTGCCAGGCACAAACCCCTGCCTCCACTATCGTGCCCCACTCACTTGGTTTAGGGTTCCTATTTACAAGGAAGAGCCGACTCAAAATGGTGGTTACCACATTGCTGGAGATATGGTCACTTCTCTACTAAATTGTCCCTTGTGGGGTCTTCATTATCAAGCGGGCCCCATTATGTAGGGTACCCAAAAAGGGGCCATACTCGAGAGAGCTGTGCTTGCCCGAGGCCAAAGGTTTAGGATAGCGGGCTGGGTCAAATTCCCTTGTGCGCCTCTGGCTTGGGAACCGAGACCATAGGCCATAGGCAAAAGGATGAATGGAGTGGCTAGAGACGTGTTTTTGGGGTGCTTTTTGTGCTGAAGTCGCCTTTGTGGCTGAGGCCTTGGCAGAGTGATCCACAGAGGGAAGTAGACAGGCAAGCACAGGACCCACAGAACGCGCTCGAGGATGCCTGCGAGTGGGTACTGAGATACATAGGTGGCACAATATGGTGCCATGAGCTGTTGCACTGATCTCTGTGCCTTCAGGCATTATCATGAAGTCCTCCGGTTCGTCGTCATCATCGTCGTCCTCACCATCCTCCTCCTCGACAGCGGAGGCATCAGGTGAAAATGCGTGGCTCCGGTTGTGGCTTTGAAAGGCTCAGCAGTGCCGACTTCGTGTCAGAAGCGGCCTTGTCACCTGATGATTTGGCTTGCTCGACGTCGGCTTTTCCGTTCTCCTTAGCAGTGGCATGGTGCCCGAAGGCCTCAATCCTCAAGCCCTAAATGGGCTTGCAAGGTAGCGCTGAGCATAAAGCATTTCATTCATTTTATCACAACACACTAATAACAGTAATAATGGCAATAACAATAGTAATAGTTACAGCAATAACAATGATAATTCTTATAAGAATAAGAATACGCTCCGAGCAACTGTTCCCTTCTTCACGACCGTGTCCGACTGCATGTAGTTGTCTTTCGCCTCTGCGGCTGCGGACTCCTGCACCAGGACACGCCACGCTGGAGCTGGATTGCTGAGAACGTGAAGGGCCTTATGTATATATATATATATATATATATGCGTGTGTATAAAATAATAAGAATCCGAAAATACTAGTAATACTAATAATCAGGATAATATGGCGCGAAGAAGGCACTTCCACCCAGCCTGCGTCTCTGGAACATTCTCGCTGCTTCCAACCTTTTCTGGCTCCACCTTTCCTTTTGCCTTGTTCATCTCCTCCACGTACTCACGCAACTCCTTGTTGAGAGGCGTGCCAGTCTTTCGATACCTCAGCCGACTGTCAGCGGGATGGCGAGAGTGCTGGCAAAAATCATACTCGATATGTCGCACACTGCGCACATGTGATGATGATTCGTACCAGTACTTTTCCCCATACCATGCAGAAAACTCTTTTCATAACCATACCTTCCAGCAGTAGCTGCCAGTTCTCGTACGACTTCTCACCGTGGAGCTACCATTGTGATAGACTCCATGCTTTCAACCGGGTCTTCACTTAGCCATGTTGCGCCCACACATTCAGCGGCTTGTTGAAGAACATGAAGCACACGTAGCCTCTAGGCAGCGTCTTTCGGCAAAGGTTGAAACTCGACTGTTGCTACAGAAGCGGACACATGCTGCAGCGCAGGTGTCCTTCCACATGAAGCCTATAACAGGCATTTCACGGCCCAGCCTATGTACATGATGAAAAGGACGGCTGCCTGCACACATAGGCAATGGAAAACAAAAGTGGGACATCCAAGCGCCGAAGTGCTGTCGTCATGAGAATGCCGTCCACGACGTGTTGGTCTCCAGCCTCCCATGCCTCTATGCTCTGGTTGTAGGTGAACGCGGCCAGCACTGCCAGAGAGCTTATGTAGTAGGAGCAATCCTTGGGAGACTTGAAGATGCGAATGCCTGCCCTCGCCACTGTCATCCACAAGTTCGAGACTCAACTGCTTAGAATTTCAGATGCCAGGATGCCCTAAACAACGGCCACCAAGTGAGCTCAATGTTTCCTTTTGCCACATATCCGCACCTTGCACCGGCAGGCACAACACACTAACAATGCCCACTAGATGCTTTCTTGTAGCAAGCTGTTTTTGCAAACGCACCAACTGTTTCTGTGTGATGGCCAGGGGCAGTCCAATCACGAACAGCACGTTGAACACGGCAGAACCAACGATCGTACCATATCCGACGTCGTTCTGTGCCTGGAACCCATGCTGAGCTTCCCCGAAGCCATCTAAGGTCCAAATTCTCAGGCATACCCATGCGACGAAGATCTGAATGTGCAAAGCTGCTATTGTGGCCCCAATCATGGAAGTAAAGAATTCTGGAGCCGAACCCCCGGCAGCCATCCAGGTTGCCTGGGCAACTCATAACACTTCAGAAGACGATGCTGGGAGCGACCGTGTAAAACTAAGATGCCTGACACGAATTACGCACTCAATCGCATGCAAAGTTCCCGGCCTCTTGCTGTGTACGTGAGGATTTTCAACTATACGCAGCACAAGCATGCTGTCTGTCAAGGACGGTCGCCCAGTGGCAGTATCGTTATGCTGTCAGTTGTACAAAACCGTCTGCAGCCAAAGCCAAGGCACACCGGCGACATCGGGAGTCAAGCTCCAGGCTTCACAGAGGAGGTCAATGGACCCCGCAAAGTACACGTCGCAAACTGTATTCAAACCAAGCACCATGTATGCCTCAGCGTGGCTTTGTCGTGGCGAAATGACTGCGCATACTTGCAGGCTTACTGAGGTAGGAGCAATGCCAAGACAGTGCAGAAGTGCGAAGAACTTCTTCCCTGCCAGGTTGAGGAATTAAACTCACGTCGCGACTGCCCTGCCGTGCTCATCCGGAGCCTATGGGCTCATCTCCATAAGGTTGATTGAGGAGCAAGTCATTCGGGTATAGCTTTGGAGGGTCCTCGGTCCAACCGTGGGACGCTGTGTCTTGAGACCTGCACAGCCTATGAGATCCGCAGCCACATTCTCAATGCAGATGTGTTGCCGCATCCGTCTCGTTACCCGCTAGCCTTCGATTGATGCCTGAAATCAAGGTAGCAGCGGGCGAACTGAGGCGAACCGACCGCTCGACATGGTGGAGCATGGTCCGGCACCCCGCCAGGATCAGACGAACTGATGGCTTAGGCTTGAAAAGGCGACTGTGTCGATAGAGGCAGGTTAGACGAGGGCAAGAAGAACAGAATAAAACCAAGATGCTGGAGGTGTCATGTCTGAATTCCTGCAAGTCGCTGCAAAGGCCATGCTCTATTCCGGGCAGCAAGCAACACGTGGCACGGCTCCGATTTCATGCTACTTCGATCAGAGGCCACCAGGTCTCCTGTGCCACACCTAGGAGTACAAGAACTGCCGCAATGCCTCCACGCACGTGAGTTTGATTTATGAGGCTCGCTGCTTGCAAACTGCAGCCGCAGGAAGCTGCACTGAAAGGCCTAGTGAGCAAATAGCATTGATCCTCCTTCGCTCGGAGGGCTTCAATCCCCGCAACAAGGCCTGCCAAGACCGGCATGGCAGGTGAATGGCAGTATGCCAGCTTGCAGAAACGCGCAGCAGGCCTGCCGCCTGAATCCGATCAGGCCCATGGTGACGGGCCGCTTGGTCTAACTCCTGCATGAAAACCTTACCTTGACAATTGGTTCCATGGTCCCGGTTGTGTGTGCCTAGATCAGCAATCGGTCCTGGCGCGAAAGCGTTGGGTCTGTCTCAACCCAATCGCTTCCCCAGCACGTTGGGCAGGCTTCTTTCTCCTTGCGGAGACGATCACACGAATTGTCGTCATGCTAATAGTAAACACGGCATTGATACCAGTATGACCATTCATAATACTCAGCCAAAAAGACTTTAATACTACTAACTACGAGTACTAACAGTATGAATACTGCAAACTCAGCATGTGCCTGACGTTTGCAAACATGAATCTCTGAGCGGCCTGATGCAGCAATCTCGCGGTGCAAGGCCACGACTTTAAGCCGTGTGCTGCTACCTGCCCCTTGAGATCTGAGCCGGTGAACGGCTACGTGAGAAACAGAAGTCATGCACAGCAAAGACATGTGGCTTACAGCTGCAGCTAAGTCTGCATGACTGTTCCATGAAAACATTGAACTCACTGGCAACGGCCTCCAACTCCTGGCGCGTCGCCCATCAGCATTTGCCCAGTTCGACCTGCTTGGTCAGCCTGGGCGAAGTTAAACTGATCCGTCTGCCTGGCCCGAATCTGCCCATCGAAGGAACTGACGCCGCTCTGGTGCACTTGTGGGGCGTGCTGTCCCGCGACTTGTTTATATAGCGGATGCAGAATTAGAAGCTCAGATGTGCTTCGAGTTTCGGGTTCTCTTGTTTTTGCGCTACGAACTACAGTTGCAGCACTCGGAGCGGCTGGGAGGCAGGTTGTTTGAAATTGCAACATTTGCAGTTGCACCTCTGTTCAAAGGCTCAACATACTGCACAATGAATCGGAGCAGCTGCTGGTGAGTTACAGCATTCTGCCGCCTGGGGCTGGTCTACTTGAGCCACTCCGCTTGGGTGCAAATCAAAGCTACGTGACCTTGCACTACCCTTTTTTACCCTTCGAAACGATTTGTTTTTCCTGGCCGCTCCTTACTTATCGTTTCGTCACTAGGAAGCCCCTGTTTTCTTGCCTGCATAAACGGAACTTACCAAAGTCAAGCTTCATGTTGTTTCCAGTCGGTTGTGAAACTGCAAATGTCTACAGATGCTGATCTTCAAATGCTCATGGTTTCGCCCTTTCACTCTCAACAACCACCCACCAAGTGTCATGTAGAAGGTGACACTGCTTAGCATTGGAAAAGTGTTCCCACATCTGAGTTTTGAGCTTTGTGTTGGTTGTTGCGAGATCCCGGGAGTCTTGGTCGGGTTGCTCTGTTGCTGCTGTGGCTCCTGAGGGCAGTTCACCGACAGGAAATCGCAACTTACAAATCAGGGGCGATGCGCCACATGGATCACCATGGCTGTTTCCTAGGATGAGAAGTAACTGAGTAGTAAATCGCAGCTGATCATAACCCTTTTGCCTAAACCCTAAACTCTGTTTTTGAGGAGGGACTGCAGTGCGATTTGCGCTCTCTTCTTAGGGCCACGGCAGAATCCACGGCTGATGCAAACCTTGACTCCATGGCCGAGACCTCCTGAAGGGGGGTTTTAAAGGGTTTAGGGTTTAGGGTTTAGGCCCCGAATGCGCACAATGTGGCATTGAGTTCTCGCAAGGCCTCCGGTGGGGCGTAGAGGTGTGCGGCTGCAGCCTCCTACAGCTGGCCCCGATCACAACACTGACATCACTGACATCATCATGGCAGATGCTGCTATGCTGAACTTGGAACCCTTAGCAAAAACACTAATTTTAGCTGTTTCTGAGGAATTACAGTACCCAATTTTTTGATATACACATACATATGTATATGTATATAATATATATATATATATATATATATAAATATATTCCCAAGAATACCTAAGCCTGCGGGTCCAGAGCCGGCCTCTCCGAAGCTTGGCGTCGCAGGGCCAGGCTTCTCATCATGCAGGAGCGGCTTTTTGCCGGCGGCCAGGTTCTGCAAGTGCTTCGGAGCTTTCGGAGCAGTTTGTACAAAAAGTAAGACATGCTAAAGAACTTTTCGGGTCCAGCACGGGCAGGGTCGAAACGAGGATTCTGACCGGTCCACTCTCAAGCGTTGCCAGATGCCCCCCTTGCCATGGATGCTCGAATGCTTCAGCATGTCCCACCTCCAGCTCCATTTCCATCTCCCGCGCCTCTCACGAGCATCCCTTGGGCCCTCGCGGTTGCCAAAACGCCACACCTTCTTGACCCGGGTCTGGATGACAGCCACAGGATCCCGGCACCCTGTCCGAACAGACAACCACAAGGGCACTTCTCCTATCTGAGCAGCAACACACACCACTCCGCCTGACATGGTCCCAGCTGTGATGACCCTTCGTTGGTCGACCTGCGACACTTCCCACTTCCCAGTGCTCTGACACCTTTGATTCATTTGTGGGCTCATACCAAAAGTGTCTCAGGCAGGAACCGGACTCATGGCCCGCAGGATGTCCACCGCCTAGCGCCGAAACTTGATCCTACAATAGATTCAGTGGACGGGGTCGTAAGTTGTATACGACCCCGCGCCGACACTTCTCAGGGCCTCTTGGAGGCACAGCTGTTCTCTGAAACTAGGCTTCTTGTCCTCTTGCTAACTCATCGACTTGCTTCCTACATGGCGGCTGATCGACATCACTCCAGACTTCGAACGTCCACGAAGCAGAATAGAAGATTACGCGAAAGTACTATGCTTATGTGACCTGATGGGCTCATCCGCGAGACGATGCTACAGCGCCTCCTCCAAATTGACCGACCATCTGTTCAGTCGCGGACAGCTCGTTTCGCTTCGTACTCACGACTTTACACAAACATCGCTACGGCCATTCTCGCTGAGGGGTGCTGGTGGCAAGCTCGGCATGAAGCCTCCCCGACAAGCCACCGATCGTTGGACTTCACAAAGGCCTCCAGCTCCTGGCGCGTCTAGGGTTGAGGGTGTGAGGTTTAGGGTTTAGGGTGTAGTCGCTCACTCTCGCACAAGGCCGTCAAGGTTCGTTTAGGGTTTAGTGTTTATATAATTATATAGGGTTAGGGTAGGGGCGCCATAGGCTTAGGGTTCATAAGATCTCGCAGTCTGGGCAAACAGGCCATCTGCACGCTTTCAACATAAGCGGCTTGCAGCCATTCTTGCAAGGTGTAGGACTTGATTGCTCACAACTCGGGTTTGGGGTTTAGGGGGTTTATGATTACTACCATTACTATTATTACTATTATTAGTATTAGTACTATCATTATTATTCTTACGTAGGGGTGCATGTGTGCTCACAGCCCCCGGGCCCACCTCGGAAGTCGCAGGCCTTGGAGAGCCCGTGGGGTTAGGGTTTAGGGTTTAGTTGGGTTTGTGGATTTCCAAAAGAAGTTGCCGTTCTCGGCCCTATTTCGACTGTTTTAGAGTTCATGCTGCGGCTGTTGCAAATAGCCTGTAGATGTGTTTTTGCCAATGACACTACAATGTTGCATATGGACAGCGCAAGCTTTTCATTCGACCACACAAAACCGCCTACGAAACAATCTAGGCGCCATAGGCACCTATGGGCCAAGCCCAATCACTTCAACTGTAGATCTCAATTGGTCCACGCTTCTCACCTGTTGACTTCTGCAGCCTTGTACAGGCAGACGCAGTTCTATATAGTGCATATATAGATATCCGCCGAGAGGTGTGTAGGTTGTGAGAACAGGCACCCCCCCCCCCCCTCCTCCCCCCCTCCTCCCCCCCTCCCCCCCCTTCCCCCCCCCCCTTCCCCCCCCCCCCCCCACCCCCCCCCCACCAAGCCGAACCGTCTCAACCCTCAATGAACCTTGAACCCTAAACCCAAAAAAAACCCTAAACCCCAAACCGTGAACCTTGAGCCCTAAGCCCTCAACCCTAAACTAACCCTCAACCCTAAACCCCAAACCAACCCAGAACCCTAAACCCTAAACCCAACCCTTATTGCTTGGGGTCCAGCGACTTGGGCGCTGCGGAATCACCATGCTCACGCGGATGCGCTGGGCCGGGCCGAGGCGGGTCGCGTAGCGTTAAAATTACAATTACGGTATATACATATATACTTACGATTACTTACGTATATTCGTATAGAATGCAAAAAAAGACTTGCATCTACATTTATGTTCCATCCGAGGTGTGAGCTTTACCAGCTTGCTCTCGAGTCCCAGCAGAACTGCCTCAGACACAGCGGGGGTCCGAACAAGGCTCTTTCTCCAAGTGGGGGTTTACGATAAAGGGGGGTGCCTTCTTGGGGTCCCTATTATAAGGGATCCTATGATTTGCGGGTCTACTTTAGGGGTCCCCCCCATTTTCGTAAACCCCCAAGCGCTTGCAACGTGCGCAAAAGCTGTGCGTGCTCACCGGGATGGCACCACCACTGCGAGCTGCTGCTTCCTCGATTTGCGGCACGCATGATCACATGACGCAAAGCCGGCTGCTTGCGCCCCCGATTTTTCGACCTGCAGTATGCCGCGGCCTCCAGATCTTTCGCCTTCCGCACGCGTGCCTTTCGCAGCGCACAGATTGCGGGAGATTGTCACCACACAGAAGCTGCCGAAGCATTTGTTCCTGGATAACGGCAAGCGGGTTCTGCACGCTCGACATGGTTCCAGCGCTGATGACCTCGACAGCTGCAGCAAGGCAACGGCAAAATACATTTGTCTCAAGACTACATAAGATTTATATATATATATATATATGTATAATTATGTGTCGTGGGATGCCCAGCAGGGTCCTGGCTCTCCTCTGATCCGCTGCGTTCATGCCTCGGAACACCTTGCCGCAGAGAGTAAGAGCGCGGAGCACCGGCTCTGCCATGCACGGCTTCACGCAGTGGACCAAAGCAAGGTCATCTCACCTTCTCTGCGTCATCAGGCAGCCAGCGCTTGTTCTGGAACACAAAGGCCTGCAGTGTGATTCTGGAGAAACGCAGTAGGAAGAAGAGGAACCTTGTCCAAAGCAATGCCTCGACTTCTTCGGCAGATGCGGGCTTCACCACCTGTACCTTCCACGGGGCATCGCTAGGCCGTGATATGCTCGCATGGCTCGGTCCTCATGGCTCCCATCGGCCCCATTTGCGCCCGTCGCTACCTCCAGGGAAAAGAAGGGATGTGTGTTCGGCATGCGCGAACGCCTGGTCATTCCGGGTAATGCATCTGCAATCTGGCCACCTTTGCGGTTCCTGTTGGCATGACGCCTCACATGGTCAGCCTGGGCGCTGCTTCAGTTCACTTTGCCCCATCTTGTTCGCCCTCGTGGTGTGTCATTGTGAAGGAAGGCCTTGAAACACCACCATGGCCACATGATGCCACATGTCTTGCCATACCATGGCAAGTTCATGACATGCTTTCTGCTTCTTCACCTTCTTGACAGTGTGTGTGTGTGTGTGCTTTCATGGGCAGCTGAAAGCTGGTCGGCGCTAGAGATTGAAGGCTTGCAACTATGCATGCTCGCGGCACAAAAACTTATGGATGCTAGCAATGTTCCTCCTTTTTTAAGAAAAGCTGGTCGGATGTTGAACCCCTGTCAAGAGCAGCTTGCCATGCGTGGAAGTGGGAAGTACATCCTGGCTCATTGCGAGACTCTGCTCGTTTTTGTCGCGTCGCTCGGCCTTCGTTCCTTCTTGGACGGCCCCTCCCATACTGCATCCACAGACATCCATGGATTCAGTCGACAAGCCCATGCCTTCGTTGCCGGCAACTCGCGCGTCACCCCACTCTCACAGCGTTATCCAGCCTAGTTGCTGCTCTCTTTACTGCAGAGGTGGGGTGAGAATGCCAGTAGTGAGAGGAGGCAAAAGTCCTCCTCAGGGAAGTTCATGGCGCACCCTATTGGTGCCAGGAGCGTGCAGCTCCGCACTACCTGTCACTACCATGTCCTAGATGCCCTAGGCTGCATCGAAGGACCTCGAAGCATGCTGGAAAATGCTGCTACGGGTCAAAGCCAAAAAAAGTCTTTTGATCCTTGATGTGACATAGGGCGTTGTGGTGTCACCTGAAGCTGCACAAAGCGTGCTACCCCTGAAAGTCCAGAGCTTTGCAACACTATGACGGCCTACATCCGTCTAGTCTAGATAGCATTTGCCCTAAAGCACTCTCTGACGTCTGACAAGGCACTTCACAGCTTCACCTAAGCGGGCTGCTACATGCTACCATCTTGCACTTTCAAAATTGCGACGTGCCCATGTGGCACAGTCGATCACAGTCGTGCTTTGAGCAAGGCTTTGAGCAACCTTGGCATGCTTGGATGAAGAGGGCTCATGCGGCTGTAAGCTCGCGTTGCGTCAAGGTCGCTTTCCGAGGCTCTCGCTTGAAAGAGCAATAAACCGATTCGCATCCAGCGTTCCTGACATCGGTCTTTTGCACCATTTTTGAACCATGGAAGTTGGGAGAGTCTCAGTGCAGTCTCAGCCTCCTGTAGGGACGGCTTAGTAGCTAAAGTCCCCAATTGCCCAACATCCTCAGCACCGCAAATCGCTTCGCTCGATTGCTTTGAGCTTCTACTCCATATCGACTCTAAGGACCCTGGCCCGAGAAAGCCTTTCTTCTTCTCAGCCTCTAAAAGACTGAAATAGACTGAAGAAGCGACAGAAGGCAGAAGGCGAGGAGGCGATCCAAGGAGAAGAAGGTGCAAAGTGACGGCTCATGCGGGGTTCGTATTTGGAGATTCACTGAACCGGGCCTGGACGGCATCATCCGCAATGGAAGCTGCCAAAGCATCTATCTCTGCCTGGACAAAGAATCCCCCTAAACCCTAAACCCTAAACCCCAAACCCCAAACCCTAAACCCTAAACCCTGCTGGACTACGACCTGGCTTCTGATCCTGGGGCAGCTGCAGTGTCGTCCCGCTTCCTGTCGCCGGATGACTTCTTGGCCTTCTTCTTCGCCGCCTTCAAGCCGTTGAGTTTTCTCACCCCAGTCTGAGTTTGCCCCCTGTTGCCCTCTTTGCAGAGAAAAGGTATTCAATATTATTCCATATGATTCAATATTACATCAATATTCTTCAATATTATTCAATTTTTTCAATATTCTTCAATATTCTCGAGATTTTGTTCGCAAAGGCGCCATGCTGCGCCACGCTGCGGCCTTGGGGGCTGCCTTGCTCTTCGCGCGCAGCTTGCTCTTTGGCATGGAGTCCTCTTGTGCCCCGGGATTCATCGTGCACAACATAACATGAGGGGTACCCTCTTTGGGGTCCTTATGATAATGTAAGGGGATCCTACTATGTGGGGGTCTATATCATATTTAGGCCCAGGGGCAGTCTTGCGATTCTTAAAGGCTGGAGAAGGGCTAGCTCCTCCTCTGCGTCGTCATCGTCTGGAGACTGCTCGCCAGCCTGGAATTCGGGATCAGCTTGACACTCATTTTAGAAAACCACCCAAGTAACTTCAACACAACGTGCCCTGAGTCAAGCAACGCCAGTTTCGGACGTGGCTTCCGCTTTCTGCAGTGTCGGTGCGGAGGGCTCCGAGTCTGCGGCCTGATGTCCCCCCATGAGAACACAAAAAATCATCATCCCTTCCCCGTAATATGAAAACACCCGGAGAAAAAAAAAAAAACCTGGCCTCAAAACCCGGTCCGGCAGACGCCCCTTCTAAATCTCGACAGAATTACCGGGGGGGGGGGGGGGGGGGGGGGGGGGGGGGGAGGTTCAATAGGAGGGCGAAGGGATTCATCTGACGTAATAATCATGTACAACTAACGTAATATTTATACCAGTATATAAGACCAAATAAAGCAGAGTATCACACATATAGCAAAATATTTACAACATAACATAACATTGAAAAACATAATACAACACAATACAACATAGCATAACACAATAACATACTACAACACCATACCACATAATGCAACATGATAAGATAACATAATCATACACAACAATATAACATAATAATATGACACAATAGTATAACATAATGCTATAACATAATATAACATATGATAGCATGGTGTATTTCGAGAGCTCCACAGGCCCCCCACCTTCAGATCGCTAGGGTCCTCCTCCAGGGCCGGCACCGCCGGCACCGACGGCTCCGCTGGCTCCTCCTGGAGGGAGCCAGGCGCTTGGACATCGGGTTTTTCAGAGCTTTTTGGGTTTTTTAGTGTTCCTTAGGGTTTTTAAGGGTTTTAGGGCTTTGGGGTTTCAGGGTTTCAGGGTTGTTTTGGGGTTTTGGGATGTTTCGGGGTTGTAGGGTTTCAGGGCTTTGGGGTTTTGGGGTTTAGGGGTTTAGGGTTTTAGGGTTTTAGGGTTTTGGGGTTTTGGGGTTTTGGGGTTTTGGGGTTTTGGGGTTTTGGGGTTTTGGGGTTTTGGGGTTTTGGGGTTTTGGGGTTTTGGGGTTTTGGGGTTTTGGGGGGGTTTTGGGGTTTTGGGGTTTTGGGGTTTGGGGGTTTTGGGGTTTTGGGGTTTGGGGGTTTTGGGGTTTTGGGGTTTTGGGGTTTTGGGGTTTTGGGGTTTTGGGGTTTTGGGGTTTTGGGGTTTTGGGGTTTTGGGGTTTTGGGGTTTTGGGGTTTTGGGGTTTTGGGGTTTTGGGGTTTTGGGGTTTTGGGGTTTTGGGGTTTTGGGGTTTTTGGGGTTTTGGGGTTTTGGGGTTTTGGGGTTTTGGGGTTTTGGGGTTTTGGGGTTTTGGGGTTTTGGGGTTTTGGGGTTTTGGGGTTTTGGGGTTTTGGGGTTTCAGGGCTTTGGGCGTTTTCGGGTTTTAGGGGCTTCGGGTCCCACTCCGGCCTCCACAGGCCTTTCCACTGCGGGCTCCGCATGTTTTACAGGCTTGGCCGGCTTGGCCTCGGGTTCCTCACATGCAAGCCATCATAGCTCGGATGGTTTAGGGTTTAGGGTTTAGGGTTTAGGGTTTAGGGTTTAGGGTTTAACCGCGTCTGAAGCAATGCTTTACGATGCCTCTGCCTCTTCCTGGGCGTCCGTTTGCTGCAAGCTCCGCAGCTTTGACTCGACCTCACAAGACGCAGCAACTAAGTAAAAACCAAGCAGCGACTTTGCTGAAGGAACCAGGTACCCTTTACATTGAGCCCCTGATAGGAACCTGCGCGTATCACATTCCGTAACGAAGACACATAGAGTTGGTGCGGGCTGTGCGAATGGCCTCTGAGACAGTGCGATCCATCTCTTGCACCTGCAGCCACGAAAGTCTCGAGGTGTCCCGACAGAAGCGCAATCATGTTGAGGTAGCCGCTGTAGCCACCAGTTCGGACTTTCTGCCCACCTGTCATATGCGGCAACTATGCACTTGAGTCGCTTGAGCGACTTCTTCAGCGGAACGACAAGCGGCGCCTTTTCCTTGACCTCCTGCGACAGTTCGGCGAAGGTCTGGCCTTTCTCCGCCATCTTGGCCTGGCTAAGAGATTGCAGTCCAGCACGGCCCCAAGCTCATGCAGCAGCGGCGGCAGCAGCAGCAGTAGCAGCAGCCTCGATCGCGTCAATTTCCTTGATCTTCTTGAGGGTGTTTTTCTTCTGTTTCTGGCAGGCCTCACAGCAAAAGCACTCATATTATATGGACTCATGGAGGGTTGGGGGATGGAGCTCGCAAGATATGGAGTGAACACGCTGATGGAGGCAGTGCATGTGAGGAAGGGGGGAGAAAGGGGACTACCCCACCGCGATGGCATGAGATGACGGCCGCCGACAAGCGTCGGCAATGCCGGCAGTCGAAATTGAAGCGCAGGGTGCGCAAACTCTTGTTCGCCTTTGCCACGACTCAGTGGCTCAGTGGATGCCGCGCACGTCGAACAAGCCGCTGCGCACAAAAAGTGCACAATATCAATATCAATATAAACATAAATATAAGTAGAAGAAGTATACATATATACATATCTATAATATATATATATATATACATGTATATGTATACAGATATATAGATCGAACGTAATTATGCGTCAGTCCAGACATGCTCGACGCCGCTACCGCTCCAATGGTCATCGGAGCTCCCGTGGGTGATGTTGCTGGCCATTCGTCGACGTGCAAGGCCATACTAACTCCGTTTTAGCTATTCTCGGGAGCAGACCCGTGGGCTCGTGTGGTCTCTGCTAACAATAAAATTCGTCCTTATATTATGAGACGGTCACACCAGCACAAGGGGGTAAAGAGCACATCATTCAGATCAACTCCTATAATTACACACCCCGCACAGCTGCACGCACATTGTGGGTAAGAAGTCTGTAGGAAAAGTTTCCCGACCTGCTTCCTCTCTTCCAGGGCCTGCGGGTGATATAACTGTCACACCAGAAAGATTTCGAATGTGCAGCCGGCAGCAGCTAGCTTTCGATTCAAGCTTGCTGAAGGGACACCGGTGGCAAATCTATGTATGGGCCGTGTATATACCCTTCTTTAAGGGAGTATGTCGGGTACCTCATTCCCTCATTCCCTAAGATCCAGCCAGATTTTCAGCTCCTAATGTCCTAATGCTCAAGGGCCCAAGCACCCTAAACCCTAAACGCTAAACCCTAAACCCTAAACCCCTCCGATCCGCCTGCTTCTCGGCCTCAAGGGCTGCAGCTGCAGCGGCAGCAGCGGCCGCTGCTTCCTCGGCGGCGCCTGGGTTCTGTGGATGCTTCTTGCAGCAGGGCTGAGCTCGAAATTTGTTCGTGAATGCTTCGAAATTTCTTTGCTGAAGAGATCTGCCCCTAAGTTTAGGGGGCGGGATACAGTGTGTTGCAACTACCTCCGGCAAACCATCACACCAGGACCCCCACGCTGAGCTGCAACCTCCGGGTCCTGCGTGCAAAAAACTCAGAGGCACAGGAACCGGGAAGCTTCAGGACGCTGTGCGCTCTTCGCTGCTGGCCTCCTCCTCTTGCACCTCCTCTGCCTCTCCTGACTCTCACGCAGGCACACAGGAAAGTGGCCAGTATCAGCGACCCTCAACTCTCCAATGTCTTAGCACGTGGCCGGCTTCGCCATCCTTGTCCTCCTCTTCCTGCTGTGCACACATTTGATGCACAAAAGTCCACTTCGCTGCGACAGTGATCCAGGGCAAGGCACCTCTACCGGTGCCTCTTCTTCAACCTGGCATGGGGCTGACTCACACTGACCTTAGGACCTTAGGACGTAGTCTTGAAAAAACAACTACTGTAATGGTGTGGATCTGGGTCGAGTGTATTGAGCGTAGCACTTGACACTCTGTCGCAGTTCATCGTTTCTACACGCGTGAACCGGCCCGCCCACCTGCACAGGCTCCTCCACTTCAACAGGCTCCTCATGTTTTGCGACAGGCTGTAGTTTTGGCGGCAAGTGTCGAGTGCAGTGGCATGGATGGCGGCAGCAGGTCCAGCTTGCAGGGAAAGGCACTGTAGCAATCCAGAATGTCTGGGAGATGTTTTCTTACCCCACCATGCTGTACATGCAATCACAGCAGAGGTCCTTCTCTTGTTCCTCCTGCTTCTGGGCCTCTTGCTCAAGCTCCTTTCGTGTACCAATAAGCTCGACTTGCCACAAGCTGCGCAGGATGCTCAGCAAAGAGGGCATGTTTTTGTTCATTCCCTCACAGACTGTCATACCAATCTGCCACAAGACTGTACGTGTGCAACTTTAGGCAAGCAATCCTCAGCCAAGCGTTCCAAATCGGCCACATTCTTCTCCAACTCTTCTTTCCGCTTAATCCTGGGTTTGCCACTGAAGCGCACCCATCTTTGCTTGCGCACTCTCTTTCGCCTGCACTACTCGCTGAGGCCAGGACTTCTCCTTCTGATCATCGGAAAGGTGAGACCACTTAACCTTCCGAAAGCACACGGACCCTCCAATGTGCTGCAACTTGCCAAGCAACAGGTCGCTACCATGGCCTGCTTTGAGGTCAGCTGCGCCTTCACCCAAGGTTGGAGAACCAATCTGCTCTTCCATGCTTCCATGCTAACTTAATTCTGTTCACCCTGCATGTGGCCGCAGACGGCTCTACTCCTTGGCTGTAGCTTCTGCATGCTCCTGCTCTCCAAACCTGCTCTATCCAGACAACTGGCTTTGTACAAGACAGGCCGGGTAAGAAAAATGTCTTTAAGACACCCCCAGCTGATCTTGGACCACAACGCAACGATCTCATCATCTGTACAAACTGTGGACCCGCAAACCGAAATACAACCTCGGTACAACTTGGATCAGCTAGCCGCTGAACCCAACTGTACAAGGTCCACAATGGCACCGGTCTCGTCAGAATGCTTGGTCAGATGGCCAGGCACTTACTGTAGCTGTCCCTGCGGCTGTTTTGCTCTGACGCCATTTCTTGTAGACCGGCTGCCCGGCAATGGCGGCATGCTTAGATAGCACGCAGCAGCTCCCACAGCATCCAATGAGGAGGAGCAATACCAGGTAGCTGTTAAGAACAAATGGCAAGCTGGCGGTGGCGACTGCAGAGGACGTCTCGTCGAACCAAAGGCAGACACTGTTGATGCAATACCGAAGGCCCGTGGTCGCTGGCCCGTCATCAAAAACATGTCCCAGATGCGCTCCGCACTGCTTGCAGTGAACCTCCGTGCTGCCAAACTGCAAGATGTCTTTCCTGTATCCAAGAGCATCCTCGACAGGCGCATCAAAACTTGGCCACCCTGTTCCAGAGTTATACTTCTCCTTGGGAGTAAAGAGAGGTTCACCGCAGCATGCACAGCGATACACGCCACTGGCATCTTTCTCGACCTTCCGGTTATGCACTCCTGTAAAGGGTGCCTCGGTACCACCAGCAGCACAAACCTTGCAATCGGGCACAAGTAACCCGCAGCAGAAGTTGCCGAGCCCTAAGTCCTTTGACCACTTACATAAGATACGCACAAATGACACCGGTCATGTGCCAGCTTTCATCCAAGGATCTGCTTGGAACAAGTCCCTGCCATCTGGGATCGGCCGGCTGTGGTTGCACTGCTGAGCATCCATAAACGTCCCCTTGCTTCCAAGGATGTCCCAACCACCAGCTGAAACGGACCTGGCAGATGGCAAAAAGGGTTTAGGGTTTAGGGCTTAGGGGAACTCCGCAACGGTCAAAAACCTACAAAAGGTGCGTGCAATTGGGCCCTCCAACTTGCAGCAAGGGGCATCCCGATGATGCTTACCAGCAAACAAATCGCAGAGGCTGCAATCGCTGCACGCGGACCACAGTCCATCACACTGACGGAGTTCGGATTCATTCAGGCGAGGGGTCTTGACAAAGGCAAATCTTGGCTAACCTGATCTCCTGATTTGCGCAAGGGAGTGCGTGGCAGAGTCAAGCTGGAGGCTTGAGGAGCTGCACTGGCTGGAATACGTCCAGCTGCTCTTCCAATCCGGTTCTCGACTCATGGTGTCTGTAATCTTGGGCCAAGCTTTCAGAAGTCGTATCGACTGCAGGAGCTGTTCGAGTGCCGGCTTTCGCTTGGCACCCGATGTCCACTAGTTAACATGCAACAACAAGTTCAGAATCCTAGTACCTGACAAGGCCTGCAGGTTTTCGATGTCCTTCAGCTTCTTTTTGCACTGCTTGTGCTGGTTCCGTTGTGCCTCGGAACGCGCGAGTTTCCACAGCCCAGAATCTGGAACAAACAAGCAACGACTGGATGAACACCACAGGCACATGGACTTGCAACGCGGTGTCGTAGGATGCCACCATCAGGCTTAGGTTTCAGGCGGCGCTAAGTCTCTTCAACGGATTGCCTGACGATTTTTGCTTCCGACCCGGCTTTCACGGCAGAATCATGCGCTGATGGATGCTGATTGGCTGAGACTTACTGGGACTGCTGCTTGGGGCGCTGGGCGCTGGAGGCTGAGGACTCTCCTCCACTTGCTCCGCAGCCGCAGCCTGATGCAGGTGAACATAAAACTTGTCTGCCACCATGAAAGTGCATTGCAATATTTGTACTGCGTTTTCGCGTTCTATATATATGCATATATGTATATATATATATGTTTGTTTGTTTGATTGATTGATTGATTGTTTGTTTGTTTGCTTGCTTGCTTGGTTGTTTGCTTGTTTGTTTGTTTGTTTGTTTGTGTGTGTATACGTATCCATATACATATCCGTCTGCATTTCTAGATATATATATATATATATGTATATATCTATATACACAGATATGAATATATGTATATATGTATATATGTAAACATGTATGTACAATTCTGTGCATCTACGGACTTGCCTAGGTCCAACTGCGCTCCAGACATTTCCACAAGGTGATGGCACACATGGCGCCTCCGCCGCAGCGGCCTCTTCTGCTTGCTTTGCTGCCAAGGCTGCCGCGGCGTCTGCACGCTCCTGGGTGGCCCCCTCCCCCTCTAAACCCTGTTTTTCACTGGACTGAAGGCAAGCCAGACTCCCATAAACCCTAAACCCTAAACCCTAAACCCTAAACCCTAAACCCTAAACCCTAAACCCTAAACCCTAAACCCTAAACCCTAAACCCACCAAAACTGCCCGAAACCTCGGCAGCAGCTCAGCACTCCTGGGCTTCCTTGGCCTCCTGGGCCTCCTTGGCCGCCTTGGCCTCCTTTGCTTGCTGAGCCTTTCCGAGTCAGGGGGCAGAGCTTTGAGAGCTCCCCCAACCGCCCCAACAATGACATACATATATATATATATAACAACATATCCAGTATACAATATACAATATATACAATGGACTATATATGTATATATATCATATATTTTCTAATGTATGTATGCATACAATGAGCCCTGAGCTTCCTATGCTTCCTAAACCCTCCGCAAAGCCCTGCACAGTTGGCTCCCTCCTCTTGCTGTTTGTGGCGCTCAGCTTGTTCGTCTGCACGACGCTGCTCTGCTTCCTCCTCCTTCTTCTGGCGATCGGCCTCCTTCGGACCAGAGTGTGTCTACACGTGCAGCCGCAAGTATCGCAGGATAGCGGACATCGGCCACGGCCAACCGAGAGCACATGCTATGCACGTAGCAGGACAGGCACCTCACCGAACGAGCTTTTTGACAGCAGGAGCTTTGGCTCTTTTTGCAGCTGCCGCAAGGCCATAAGGTCAAGCTCACAGAACACACTGGGCGGGGCCCAAACTTCTTTGGTTGGGCTGATGCAAGCACGGCTCAGGACCAGCCAAATCTGCTCCAAATCGAAGAGAGCACCTGCCGGCTAGCATCGACGCACCGCTCTGCAACTTTGCAAAGGCAAGTCTGCCTCGGACTGCACGTCCGATTGGGCTTGCCTCAGCAGGTTCTCAGTTCACATCATACGCAACCCTAAGCCCGCAAAACATGACCACCCTGCATCCTACATCAAGCTTCCAAGCTCTGGTAAAGCGGGATGCTTCTTCTCCTCTTTTTGCAACTTCTCTTGAGCTTGCAGCTCCTTGGCTTCAACGCATGGGGCGATTGGCCTGGCCTGTGAGGGTGCCCTGCTGTTCCGGTCAGGCGTCCTGCTTTCGCAACTTCTGGACCTTCTGCTTCGTTGCCTGCGTCCGACACGCACAGCTGAGAAATGCATGCCAGCAATACAAAGATAGCGCTGGCATGCTGCCTTGAGTGTGGCTTTCCTCTTCTGCAGGATCTTCTGCAGACGATGCAGCCGCGTGGCCATTTCCTGCTGAAAGCACTCAGGATGCCAATACTGATGTTTCGGCAAGGGAGCGATCCAAAACCAGTCCTAAAACCGTTTGTGCCCATGTGCGCTTGAACCACCTGACTGCCGTTTGCCCCTTGTTCGTCAGGGTGCTTTTGGCTCACAAAGAGCAAACCCTAAACCGTAAACCCTACAGCATGTGTGTGTGTGTATGTTTGTCGGCAGCAAAGAAGTCTGCTGGGGAAGCAAACCTTGGACATGTCTGTGAAATCAGAGCACTCCGGGTAAACTTCCCAATAGACACAACCCGTGCATTGCTGACCTCAAAATGGTACTCATGGTACAGCCAGCAAGGCTGCTCACTCCATGCAGGGTGGTGTAATACGTGCAGTGGTGACTGGGCGCAGAATCTGCAGCCCCAGCTCCCCAACCTCCCCTAATCAGTCAGGATACGTTATCTTACAGGTGCAGGGCTATACTTATCGGGATATAAACAGGAAACAGCTGCCGCCTGTCCTGCACCTCGTGGGCAGTGAAGGCGGCCTGGTGCGCAGGATGCAACACACATGAACTTCAAAACCACGAGACACAAAGTCATGCTGGCCCACCTTCTTTTTCTGGCTGTTTCCAAGCTTCATGGCCTCAATCCTCTGCATGCTGGCACACGCAGACACAAACAAGAAAGCAGCACCTTGTTCTGTGTCGAGTCGCTGTTGCTCCTTCGCCTTGATCCTGTTTCCAACAACCTGAATGGCCTGAAGCGCAGGAATGCACATAACTTTTGCATACCCTATTAAGATACTAACATACTAACATGCTAATAGACTAGTTACTAACATACTAATATATTATGCTAATATACTACTGGACAGAAGCAGAACCAGCAAAGCTCCTCCTGGAGCTTTTTGACCTGACCTTTGCCATATTTGATGTCCTCCTGCACGCGGACATGTGCAGAGGACTAAATGGCTTCTTTTAAAACTCATATAGCAGTATACTAATATACTAATAACATACCATTAAATATGCTTGTATTCTAAGATACTAATAATATACTAATATATTAATATACAAATATGCTGATATACAAATATACTCAGAGGGTCCTTCACCCACTTCACGGATTCCTCCTGCCAGTTTTGTTTGGCCTTCAGTGTGCTGATGACGCCCTCCTGCTTCTTGGCCAGCGCACGTGCCTGCAAGTGGTACACCTCACTCTTTGCAACCCATGCAACAAACGCCGGATCACCAAAAAGACCTGAATCATCTTGTCCCGGAGCTGCAACTCTTTCTTTTGCATGTCCTCCCGGAAACATTTTTTTGAAACGTAAGCTGACTTTGGGATCACACAGCCTTTGAGAGGGGCGGTCGACATTTGTCTACACCATGATGGATCAGTCCTCGAACTCCTCTTGAGCGATGACGGCTGCTTTCAGCGAGTTCTTTGCCTAGCCACATGCAATCTCGTCTCTGCTTCATTCTAGTCCACAAAGGCAACCACCAAAAACATCTCAATTGAACTTTCAAGTGCCACAAAGCCAGTCAGGCCTGCTTTTGCAAATCACGACGCTGCTTCCTGGCAGGAGTGCTGCAAAGTGGATTCCAGTGGCTGCAAAAGTGCTTTATCCACAGTTTGGAGTTCATAGATTGTAGAGTGCTTAAGGGCGGGGGGTTCATGGGGCACTGCCGTATGGCTCAAATCTGCATAAAGAGTCGAGGCCTTGGGTTACACAATGGCTTTCAACTCTCCATCCAAACCCTGCCCGACAAACTCAAGAGTACGAGCAGTGGCCTCGCTGCATCATAGTGCATTTGGGCATCCCACTGGCCGTGGTCTGCGGTGTCATCTTTAACGTAGTCTGCCTCCGAGAGGCACAGCAGGTTGCGCGAAGGATGGGTCTATTGGGGCACATGTACTCTCGATGCGCGTTGCTTTCTTGCCTCCCAATCTGGGCCTGACCCAGGTGGGTACCTCGGACTGCATTCCATGTTTTCGTTTGAGGGCTCTCAGCTGGAGGGAACCCTCCGCCGCTCTTTCAGCAAAGGCTCAACGAGTCGAACATCAGTTGCCCTTGACCTCCCTGGCAACAAAGTGGGGCGAGCCCAACATAATGCCATCACACACGCGGCTCAAATGGAGACGGTCCTCCTCGTAGCGTTGGATTGCGGCTTCATCCAACCTGACCCCGAACAAAAAGCCAGACAAGCAGATCACAGGCAGTAGGCTTACCGCGTAGAATCGCAGAAGATCATGTCCCCCCTGAACCGTAGATTTAAACCCTAAACTCTGACTCTAAACCCTAACCCCTTAAACATGCGAGCCTTGGGGTCTCATCGGCCAGGGCTCCAAGTGGGTCAAGCGCAAGCGCATCCGCCCATGGAAGCCAGGCCGATGCCTGAACTCTGCTGGCTGTAGTGGCTTCAAGGGGGGGAAGGAGCCGGTGTCGTGTAGCATGTTCATAACAGACAAACAACTATAGCCACGCAATCTAACAATCGAAGACTGTGTTCATCTAAAAACAGAGCAATCAATCATCATCCAAGGCCGCAGCAAGAGCCGCCCCCAGGCTCCGAAAATGCCAAGGGCCCATACTTCGTTGACCAAAGGGCCAGGTGTGGCCCCCTCTGAGCCAAAACGGCCCCCTTGTGGTTGATCGGTTCTGGATTCTTAGCAACTTTCCCAAAGACTCTTCGCTTCCTTGGTCCCAAAGGCCCCAGATCTGCTTCAGTCAAAATTGGAGTCCATCACCGAAGTCCCTGTGATTCCCCGAGCCTGCTGCGCCAGCTGTGCCTCCAACTGCGCTCGCTCGCTCTCACGCAAGGCCTCGGCTTCCTGCAGGGCTTAAAAAGGCTAAAGTTTCAATGTGGGGTTTCCGACAAAAAGGGGTACCCGTTCTGTTCCTCGGAAAGGGTGCTATCTAGTATTATTTTGGGGTATATACAGGCTCCCTACCCCCACTTTCAGAAATCCCCCCCAATTATTGCAGCATAAGTCATGTCGACTAGCAGGGAGCTTCCTGCTGTCGTCGGCGCTCTTCCTCCAAGGCTTCACGTCGGGCGACCTGTGTCAGAAACAGAACCCCATCTCTTCCCCCATACTTCATATAGCTCTTTAAGGGATTGTTCTCTCCTTCCTACTACGAGGAACCTAAGAGCCTGCAAGTCAAGACGCTTTTTTTATGTAAGCCATGCAAGGCGAAGAAGAAGAAAGCCCGCGGCCACGGCCTCGGCCGCCTTGATCTCCTCGGCCTGGATAGTTTGGCCTTGACACATGTATCGCTCACACGGCTGACATGTGGAACGTGGTAGAACGTGATGCCGTGCTTCCGCATGAAGTAAGAACCCTCTGCAGTGGACTGGCTCCTGGCCTTCCTGGACATTTGCAATCGCAAGCTTCACCTTCCAGCACTGGTGTCCACACGCCACTTCCACGTCGCATTCTACTATTTGCTTAAGAACCCCAAAGATATAAAACAATCATCCCGAGATTGCCCTTATAAGGAAAATTGTCTGTTGTTTTTGAGGGGCTCTTAAGCAAATGGTACTGTTCCCTCAAGCCCTGAAAGACCCCTCTCCTCCCCCCGGTTCAGGCCTCGGTGTAGCGCTCCTCCTCCTTCAGCTCCAGGCTGCTCACCTGGAAATGTCATATCATGTAAGACAAACAAAGTAAAAACAATTGCACAAGCCTTTTTTTCATTTGCAAGCATATTTGTATAACAAATAACAAAAACAAATTAAAACAAAAAAACGAACACACAAACACACACACACACACACACACACACACACACACACACACACACACACACACACACACACACACACACACACACACACACACACACACAGACACACACACACCCGCGCACGCGCACGCGCACGCGCACACACACACACACACACACACGCACACACACACACACACACACACACACACACACACACACACACACATATATATATATATATATATGTATATATACATATACACACATATATAGATATACATATTCTGTATGTACGTACGTCACACGTACAAATGTATGCATGCTTGACTGTATGTATGTTTGGTTGTATGTATGTATGTATGCATGTAGCCTATGTATATGACTGCTCTCTCTGCTCTCAAAGAGGAGGCTCTTGCCATTGTGTAGCTCTTAACTCTGGCTTCTAATTATCCTCATGAAGAGGTGATTTCCTCACCCTCATGTGGGAGACTGCTGGCTTCCCACTTGTAGTTGCTTTGTATTTATGGGCTCGAAGTCCCCACAGCCCAAGGGGTTTATCCTTGCCCCGCGTCTAGCAGCCCAAGAAGGGTTTTGGGGTTGAGGGCACACGCGAGTTTCTTATCCCCGTACCCCGTACCCCAAACCCTAAACCCTAACCCTAAAACCCTAAAACCCTAAACCCTAAAGCCCAAACCCTAAACCCTAAACCCTAAACCCTAAAGCCCAAACCCTAAACCCCAAACCCCAAACCCTAAACCCTAAACCCTAAACCCTAAGGTCCCGGGCCTTGCCCTCCAGGGAGGCCACGCGCTCGTTCACCTGCTGGCAAGAAACCCTCGCATGGTTCTCTGGGGTGCCCAGGGAGGATTCAGAAGTGGGGCGATGCCAGTTGTTGCTTTTGGGAGGTTTGCGGTTTAGGGTTTAGGGTTTAGGGTTTGGGGTTTAGGGTTTAGGGTTCAGGGTTCAGAGTTTAGGCCCACTTGTCCGGAGCCGTACGATGACTGCCCAACCCTGTGTAAAGCCACGGAGCAAGGTGGAAGAAGCTAGAGGATTCACACGCATGCGGCCCCCGCCATGCAATTTCAAGAAGGACTTCTCAGGACTTCTCTCACATGCCTGCTTCTCCAAGAGGGCAACACGAGCCGATTGGCTGGTGAGCTGTGCCTCAGGCCAGTTGCAGTACATGACATACGGCCACAACCTGGCCACAACCTTTGCTTAGCAAAACTTCGCGTTGCGCCTCTTGATCTCGAAGCTTGCGCATCGCTTCCTCAACAGCCTAGGATCTGGGATGTGCTGGACACAAGAAGTGCTTCGGTCAAGATGATCCGGCACGCTGCGTAGCACCAAACTCTGATGCAGGCCTTGCACTGCTCTTGGATGTTTTCAAGCTGTCGCTGCAGTTCTGGCACCAATGTCAAGGTGACCTGGCAGTGCTGTGGCATGGCAAAGGCATATTCATGCGTCCAACGGACAATTCTGCAGGAAGGACCTCCTGCAAGCCTTGTTCGAGCGTGCCGAGCCGATTGTTGGCAGTCGAGATCTGTTCATCCTGGAAGGAATCGCACAGGGGATCAGGTCAGCCAAGGTGCCTGCGAAAACACACACACACAGACACAGAGACACACAGAGATACAGATACACAGACAGACACAGAGGGACACAGAGAGACACAGAGACACACAGAGAGACACAGAAAGACACGGAGAGACACAGAGAGACACAGAGAGACACAGAGAGACACAGACAGACACACAGACAGAGACACAGACAGACAAACGCAAGAGAGAGAGAGAGAGAGCAAGACGCGCAAGCGCTTGTACGCACGCACGCTTTCGTCCGCACGAAGGCACGAGCGACCGGCGAAACATGTTGCGATTGCAGCATCGCGCAACTGGCTTCTCCTGCTTCTCCTGTGTCACATCCACTTTGGCCTTCAAGTGAGGATATCTGGAAGGGATGGCACTGTAGCGGTCTCGGCACTTACCCTCTGACACAGACACTTGAATCTGCGACCAACCTGCTCCTCAGCGAGGCTCTGAAGGACTTCCTGCCAAACTGTCCCCAGTCTAGGAATGTTGAGAGCCATGTATATAATTCGGGTTTAGCGGGCTCGTGTCTTGCACTCCGCCATGCGAGCGACACTGTTACTGTTGCAAGCTACAAGGTGTCAGGCCTGTAGCTTCGAAAGTCCCAGAAGCTCTGACATGTCTCCAATCCTCGGAAAGAGAGGGGCAGCTTCCAGGGGCACAGGGCCCTAGTTTCCCTAAACCCGAAACCCTAAACCCGAAGATCTTTACAAGATTGAGTCGGCTGCCTGCTGGTTGCGCCATTACCATTGTTGGCGCCTTGCGCCGCCATCTTGAAGGCGGGCAACGACCTTTCCTTATCGCCGCGAGTGCGACAACACCAGGGCCCCAAGAATCAATGCAGGCAAGTGTGGCATGCTGGGATGTTAGCAGTCCTTCATGGGGACTATAGGTCCCCCCCAATTTATAAGATTGCTATTAAGGGACTGTTAATATAAGAGGTAGGGATTGTAGCACCCCCTATTATCGGATCCCGAGTAAGGACTGTTAGTATAACAGGGAACATCCCACAAGTGGCATGTCCCCCTTATACTAGCAGTCCTTAAAACAGCGATTATACTAGGGGGCACTATAATCGATGTTGAGGACTGTTGTACAACATTGTATAAGGGGGAACATCCCATTGTGTTCATTGATCAGTCCGTGCGCGCCCTCTGGAAATGCTGTCATGGGTGTCAGGCCAAGCCACCGGCCCCGCGAGAAGCTGCAATATGATCTACACAGGCTAGCAAAAGTTGATCTTCTTCGAAATCTTGCCGTGGCAGCGGAACGTAGCAAACAATGGCTGACGCACAGAACGCACAACAGAGCTGACACCTACGCGCTGCAGTCACGAAGTGCGGGCCAATTAGTTTTCCTCGCGGTCTTCCACACGCATCACGGAGAACAACAGGTTGCCACCTGCGAGGCAGGAGTCGCAGTGTTGAAAGCATGGGAGCACAACGTGGTCGCATGAGTCGCATGGCTCACAAATCGTGCAAGGCCTGAGCAGCTCGTCAAGAGCTCCAGACATGGGTCCTGGCTCTGACAAGACCCCGCATGACGAAGTCTGACTTTTTATCACTGGCTCTGCAACCGGCCATCCAGCTCAACACCAGGTACGCGGCACATGCGCACCCGCGGGGCCTTGAGCCACCCACTGTCTCTCGCTCTCTCTGGGCAACGGCACTCTCCTTTTCGAGCGTGCACAGGTGTGCGTCTATCTGTAGAAAGTACCATGCGGCGGCTCAGCCCCACAGTTTTCTGTACGCGTCACTCCAAACTGCCAAGAGCACTCGGCAAAAAACGGCCTCGAGCGCTGCAGAGGAACAACCCCTAAAAGCCCCAATCGCAGCCCCTGCACTTCAACGTTGAGGATTCCAACAGGCAAGCTCTTACATCCAGCAGGCACCGGGATAGTAGTCAATCTATGCCAGCCAAGCTGCAGTACGCTGCAGTAATTAGGCTCAGCCGTCCATTCGTCTTGAGTCCGATCGCAGGTCCGACAAGAAGTCGTTGCCATCGGGCGAAGTCCTTTCACCGTAGCCTGCAGCCACACATGGAATTACCATCAACCACCATCAACTGCAGCATACATCGAAGGAAGTAACCAATCGAAGCCCTAAACCCTAAACCCTGAACCCTAAACGGTATGTCTGAAACCACAACATCCTCTAAATCATCCACACGAGGACTTCGTTTGGTTTGATTGACGATTGCTTCGACTGACGTTTGTCCCATTGTGCTCATTTTTGCTGGCAAGAGGTACCACATCATTTTTATAGGGTCGCGATGGCCTCTACCCACACGAAAAGGGCTTCCTGTCCAATGTTCAAAAACAAAAAATCACAAAAAACTCACCGGAAAATCAACCCAAAAAAACAAACAAACACCGACCCAGAAACACAGACTCAAAGGAAAACAAAAAACAATCAACAAACAACCAAATAAAAAATCAAAAAACAATCAAAAATAATCAGAAAATAATCAGAAAACAATCAATCTCCGAAAACCCCAGAAAAATCAAAAAATCAGAAAATAATCAAAAAAACATCAAAACAATCAAAAACAATCAGAAAAATATCAACACCCGAAAAATCCCATAAACATCAAAAATATTCGGAACATAATCAAAAAAAACAATCAAAACATAATCAAAAAACAATCAGCCTCATCCCGGCCACAGGCTCCGTGTTGTTTTGCTGAGTCTCTGGGATTCGGTAGGTTCTGAGTTGATTTTTTTGGGCGAGTGTTTTTTTGATAGTTGTTTGATTTTATTTTGTTTTGTTTTGTGAATAGACCCACAAAAACCTTTCGTGTGGGTAAGAGGCCATCACAATTATAGGGTTCGTAAGGGAGCGGGGTTCAAGAGGGGTAGGTACCTGGGGAAGCTTAGGGAAGCTTAGGGAGTACTAGGGAGTATTAGGGAACCTTGGGTTACATACCCCCCCCTTGAAGCCCCCTCCCTTAAGAACCCTTTTGACCCCGCGAGCTCCCTTAAGAACCCTAAGCTGACAAAACCCCAGTGCTTGTCGAACGTTGCGCAACATGCTTGCTGGGCCCCTCATCGATTTTCGAGGATTTGCACCCCGACACATACAGCAGGTATCGTTTTAGGGCGGGCCCCTATCGCTCTTCAAGGAAAAGTCTACTTTTTTTAAAGTACGACGTCAAGACAAGATTGGATCTGCATTAGCTTTGTCCGATGCTCATATGAAGAAACCCGAATTGTGTTTCTAAGGTCTTTTGGAGGGGTTTTAGAGGGCCCTTCTGACCCCTTCCCCGGCGAGGCAGCGGCCTCCGATGGGGCCAAACATGCCAAAGGGTGAAGAGAAGAGAGAGGAGTTTGCTCCAGGCTCGTTGAACATCCCCAGGCGATCCAGGGACGAGTCGAAGAAGTCCTGCAAGCTCAACTATGCTCCCCCCCCATCTTATCATACATATATAGATATACAATATACAACATAATATATATATATATAATTTATCATATCATATATACATACATATACATACATATATATATATATATATATGCACAGACAGCACGTGCAGTACATGACCGTGCATACCATACACACCGCGCGTGCTATGCATGCATGCGCATGTGCGCAATGTGCAATTTGTGCTTTGGGGGGGGGGGGGGGGGTGGGGCAAGAATATTCGGGCATAAGAGCAGTGTTCCGAGGCCGGATGAGTGGGTGGGCTGCTGAGTATGCAATACAGCTTCATCCTCTGCCTTGGTGGCCTCTGCGCCATGCGCCCGCGTGAGCATGTACATGCAAATTTACCTGCAGATGGAACCTCTCGAGCTACATCGCATCTCGAGTTTTGACATTCAGGATCATAGGACTCGGATCCCTTAATAACCTTGAACACCGTCAGCTTGCTGCTCCTGCATCCCGTTCGAGGATCCGGGCTGCTGCTGAAGCTGAGGCTGCTTTGGCATGCCGGGCGCGCCGGGGGCGATGCCCGGTGGCAGGCCGATGGCACCCAAGGTCCCGAAGTCCAGCCCTGGGGCTCCGAAGAAGCTGTCTGTCCCGAGCCCCTGCACGGCTGAGACTGCAGCAGCTTCTGCTGGAGCCAAGCTGCCAGGATCATTGGGGGCATATGGGTTGGCAATGCCTGGTGGAGGCCGGAGAGGTTGCGGGGAAAGGCCCGGAGCGGGGCCAGTGAGGAGAAGCCCCAGGTCAATGCCTGGAGGTGCTCGTACACCTCTTGCTTCACCCATCTCCGGAACTGGAATGGGGCTCATGGGACTCATGGGACTTATGGCCTTTGGCTTGACAGCGGCTGCCTTGCTTGGCGCCGGCGGTGGTGGAATGGAAGGTGGTGGCGGCAACGGCATGGACGTGGATTCTTCCGCCTGCATCATACCGCCGCTAGGTTGACTCATGAAATCACTTGGAGACTTGTTGTCCATCCAAACAGAATTCACAGAATTCAGGGGAACAGCAGTGGGTTGCACCGGCTGGGTCTGCACAGGTGGTGCTGCTGGTGGGAGAGTCGGTGGTTGCGGGGGAGGTTGTGCGGGTTGTGCTGGCTGGGAATGTGAGTGGGCCTTTGCTGGCTGAGCCGGGGGCTGAGCAGGGGGTACTGATGGGGGGTGACTGGGCGGAGCTTTTGTTGTTGGGCCTCTCTCTTGCTGTGCTTCAGAACGCTTCATCTTGGACTCTTTCTGTTCCTTCTCCTTCTTCTTTGCAGCTTCTTCCTGGGCACGCTTAAGCTGATTCTCTCTCTTCGTTTCCTCCTCACGCCTGCGCTCCTCCTCCCGCCGGCGCTCCTCAGCGCGCTCCTCGTCGCGACGTCGAGCTGCAGGGGCTGGGGTTGGAGCTGGGGCTGGGGTGGGGGCGGCTTGAGTTGCCACGGGCTGCGCCTGCGCAGGAGGTGCTTGCGGAACTTTGGCTTGGTGTGGTGTCTCCGTCTCATGCTTCTCAGCCTTCTTCTTTGGCTTTGGCTCCTCCACCTTCTGAGGCTGCGACTGAGAGGGGCGTCTGTCACTGTTCGCATTGGCACTGCTTTGCCCAGCTGCCGCCTTTGGAGGTGCGCTAGGAGGAGCTGAGCTCTTGGCGGGCACACTGGGGGCTTGGGCGCTCTCCTTTGCTTGTCCCTTGCCTTCCTTCTTGGAGGGCTGTTTGGCTTGAGCTTGGCTCGAATTTGCCTGGTTCTGTTGGTTCTTCGGAGTCGCAGTCGGGTTTGCCGACTGCGCCTTTGGATTCTTTGCAGCGGCCTTCGCTGGTGGGCCATCGGAACTGGATGCTTGTGTTTCTCGTGCTTCTCGTGCTTGTGCAGGTTGAGTACCGGATAAGTGCTGTTGTAAGTGCTGCTGTTGGAGCTGCTGCAACTGCTGAAGTTGCTGAAGCTGCTGCTGCAACTGCTGCTGCTGCTCCTTCAGCTGATCTTGCTGCGAGGCTTCTGGCTGCTGAGGCCGCTGTTGTGACGGCTGCGATGCCGACCTGACATGCAGCCCGCATGGGCCCCCAGCTATGTCAAGCCATGCGGGTGCAAAGCAAACATATGCAAGCATGGAGGGGCTTGATTGACTCTATCAACAGAACATCCGAATCCGAGGGATGGGCGGCTCTTCCTGAAGATGGACCCGCTGCACCGGCTCCTTTTCCTGTGGCCCGTGAAACGAATCCACACACACTCACAAACACTCACAGCAAGCTCTCATTCCATCTCTTTCTCACTTCGCAGCTTCACCTCGACTCCGGCAAAAGCATCCACGCTTGTCCAAGAAAGCCTTGAGAGGAGCAATTCGGAGTTGAGACCCTTCTGAACACAAACGCGTGTCAAGTAAATAGCCAAAGGTGGCAGCTGCACAATATCTGACAAGACACATAGATACAACGTCACCGACTCTAGCTGCAGTCGAAGAATAGGCATCCGTGCCAGCTGCGCCATTATTGAACCTCCCAGTGTATCACAAGGTGATGCTAGCTTTCGAGGTTTTTTTTGCCTGCAGCTGAGGCCGCGGCAACTTGTTGTTCAGCTGTCCTGGAAGTCGAGTATTGTGGCGGGGCGGGCTCATGTTTATCCAGGCCCGTGGTCCTAAAGTCCTAAACCAAACAAACAACCTGGACATCGAAGAAGGATGCGCTAACTGGGCGTCAACCCTTGTGAACTGCCAAGGGGAAGCCCTGCCTGGGGCCGGCGACCGAAGCGCTCGGAAGCCGTCCATGGCCACAACAACCTGAGTGATAGGACTCATACGAAGTGTTCTCATAACCAAGGCACCTGCCCAAGGTTCAGTCAAGCCACCAACATCAGAATCGACACAGCAAACGCCGTGCCAACTACAGCTCTCCTCAGAGACGCCTCTGTCTGATCCCCCAAGATTTGAAGTGACCTCGTGCCCGAGATCTCAACAGGTGCTTGGACATGTTGTTGTAGCGATGCGCGGGCGCCGCAGAGCAAGAGATGTCTATAAATACAATATACAACAATAATATATACATATATATGTACATATTCATATATATTATTCATCTTTGCATTTATATCTGTTCTTGTATTTATATAGATGTCTAAAGCACATGTGCCAGGTCACGTCGGCAAGTCGCTAAGCATGGGCAGCAGCTCCGGGGAGAGGTTCACTCGGAGCGGCACCTGGCAGTTCCAACACTCTCGGGGAAAGAACCGATACTCCCCTCACCTTAACAACAAATGGGTTTAGGGTTTAGGGTTTAGGGTTTAGGGTTTGGGGTTTAGGGTTTAGGGTTTAGGGTTTAGGGTTTGAGTATTCCCTAGGGGTTTATATAGATGGAAACTAAAACAAACATTCCCAAGAGGGCTAGGGTAGTGACGTGCCGTTTTGTTGCCGTCTCTCGCACGCGGCGCCTGTAGCACAGCTCTGCCTGATGAGCTGAGGAACCGAAGATTCCGCGCCTCAAGCAGCAAGCTATCGAGGTGCATTTACGTTGTTGCTTATTTGATTTTCGCTTATTTCTTGTATATTTGTGTATATATATATATACACATATAATTATTTGTATATTATATATATATATATTGCGACTTCCAAGCCTGGCACGACACCCTCGCGCTAAGTTTGGCCAGGTGACCCATCGTGAGGCCACAACTTCTGGAGTGAAGGATACAGAGAAGGCGACACTTTCATGCGGAGCCACTGTAAAGGGCAACCGGCAATCCAGCACCTGTCAGCAAGATTGGGTGTCTTGACCAAAACGCACGCAGAAATCCGCTCGCGCGCCTCAAAGCCGAAAGCGCTACAGCCTGGGATGCCGCCGATGTTCACTTCTGTCACCTCTGCGGGAGGCTGCCCATGACACACTCACCCAGCAGGGAATGTCTGTCCCTTTTGCATCCGGACTCTTGTGGGTGTGTCTGTCCCTTTTTTTGCATCAGGACTTGTGCAATCGCCAGAAAGTGTGTCTGTCCCTAAACCCTAAGCCCTAAGCCCTAGACGCTAAACCCTAAACCCTAATCCCTCCCCGACCTCGACCGGAAGCTCGCAGTCGTTGGTGGCCATGAGGCTTCTGGTCACGGCAACGCGTCGATGCTGGCGCCACCAGGAAGGCTGGGACCTTAAGGTGACTGCTGGCTAGAAGGGAATGAAGGAATGAGGTACCCTATATAAATCCCTTAAAGGGTAGATATATATATATATATGCATTTCTTTTTTAAAGGGGGATTTAGGGTACCTCATTCCATAATTTTTTCCTAACCAAAAGTAAGTAAGGTGATACGGCCTGTGGCCCACCTTCCTCTTCCGTATGTTAAGGGCGACAGTTCATAGAGGAGCCATGACATTTCGGACAAGACTCCCCAAGCCATCTGCGTCCGATACAAAGCCTCAGGAACAAGATTTTCTGCACGGGCCATGCAGCATGCCTGTAGCATGCTTGAGACGTTGAAGATGTTGATAGGTTGTAGGGGTTGTAGGGGTTGTAGGGGTTGTAGGGGTTGTAGGGGTTGTAGGGGTTGTCGGGGTTGTAGGGGTTGTAGGGGTTGTAGGGGCTGTAGGGGCTGTAGGGGGTTGTAGGGGTTGTAGGGGTTGTAGCCTGGCCGTTACAGCCCTGTTGTGCAATTTCTGCTCCTGCTAGACCAAGAGGCCCCCCTGGCTGCCATTCGAAGCGGTCAACCAGGACAACCATGCAGGTTCGCTACCTTCTGCATCATGTGTGAAGTTGCCATCCTTGGCATTGAGGCATGTATTTGTGGAAGCACATGCTGCGGTTACGTGTCGGCGGAGCTCGTTGCAAGGAAGAATCCGACTGATTTCTTCTTGCTGCAAGCTTTCCCAAACTTTGGAAGGCGCCTTTCCACGCTCTGCACACGCACCATTCTCCCCACACTCCATGCTTGTTGGCACAAAGCGCTCCTACATCGTCGGCCCCGAAGTCGGCAGTTGTCAGGTTGAATTCCTCAGACGTCGCAGGCGTGTCCCTTCGATGTGTCTTGCATCACTCAGAAGAAAGCCCTCAGGCCTGCCAAGGGCAGGCGCGATTTTAGCGATTTCAAGGCGCAAGGACTTTTTGCTGACTTGCAGCGCCATACCGACCGACGGCCCGCTGTTTTCGACACACGAGAGGATACGGTACGGGATGCACTGGATTAAGCCAAGTGGCCAGGACACCTTCGGGAAAAACAAGGCGGCTCGAGCCACCGTGGCCCGTGAGCTCGACTTGATGCAGTGCAGTGAGGTTGTTTCGCACATACAGAGTGGTCCGGTACCTCGGTCAAGGGGCAACCCGCGCAGAACTCGCGCAGTTTGGCAGCTTGGCAATAGTAGGCCGGCAGAAGACATGGCCAAATGATGTCTATATACTTTGTATGTGTGTTCGCGTTTATGTATCCACAAAATTATTCTTCCAAACGTTCTATATAGATATATACATACATACTCCTTCATTCTGTATACATGCACATCTCACACATTGCCAGATTCTGCCCGGGCACTGCGCGTGTTGGAAGGGCTCGAAGATGATCGGGCCAACGGAGGCTTCACCTAGAGCCTCGACGTGCCACACCTGCCCCGCATTCACATGGCATTTTTTTTGAACCCGCGCTGTGCTACTGCCTTAGACGGGAATATACTATGTAATAAGTAATTATTTATGTAGTAAGTATGATACACCTACTGTACTACCTTCTTTCAATCAACGTGTCAACGTTGTAGCTGTGAGTACATGGAGGGGAGTGCGGCACCCGTGGACTCCGCTGTTGGTGGAATTGGCACAGTACAAGCACGCAACGGCCGAAAGTTGGGATGTTCCCCCTTCTAAGCGGGTACTATAATCCCTATTAAGAAGCTGCTAGTATAAGGGGTACTATAATCCCCATTAAGGAGCTGCTAGAACAAGGGGGAAACCTCCCAAGCCGAAAGTTGTAAAACGCAAGAATGGGCGCGGCCTTGCCATCAGCTTCGGCTCCAAGATGGAAGGCCCTACCACCGGCGCAGTCGGCTGCCAGGCTGGCTGAGCTCCCTTCCTGAGAAACTCCACACTGATTATAATATTTGGTATTACATTCTTTTATACTAGTTTATATTATATTATGGTATGTTATGTTATATTCTGTTATATTCGGTGATATTATATATGGGAATGACAGAACATGCCAGACGCTGCCTGCGCCAGGGAGGACACAGAAATCTGGGTGTCGTTGTCTGCGCTCCCACGAGACTTCGCGGCCTTGTTCAGCGTCCAGATACATGGCCGTCCCGATACATGGCTTTACAACGCAGCAAACGCTAGGAGTACTTACTAACTAGCTGCTTCGTCAACACCAGGTGTATTGGTGTTATACAACGGCTTTCGGACGGCGGCTGCTGCTGCTAAGGCAGCGGCAGAGCAAACCGGAAACACGAGTTGCAGCGCCTCGACTCGTGGCTCGTGCAAGGGGGCCGGGAGGTCAACAAAGAAGAGCTCTGCGAGGATGCGGAATTGCAGCCAAGTGACCAAGGGAGACTCCGATGGATTTTGAACTAGCAGCCAACCTCACAGATGAACCACGACATGCAAGGTGAGGTGCACGAGAAGGCCTCTGGGGTGTTTACGAAGCGACAAGGCTTAAGGCTCTCCGACGCATTCCCACTACGACCAAACCGCCAAGCTGGTTCAGGTTCTGTTAGCCACCACCACATGGCTGAAGATGATCCCGGGAGTTAAATTGCGACCCCAGACCCCACATCCAAAGGCCTTGATGGCAAACCCAGGGTAGAAAGCAAACGAAAGCCAAGCGTCGGGTCTTTGAGGCACCCACTTGAGTAAGGTCGAAGGACAGGAGTGGCTCGAATAGAGAGTGTGGTTGCATCAGAGATGCCTGTACCTCCGTGCCCCAACAAGTTCAGCATGTTGCCGCAGATTCAGCCCTACATCAGTACATTCACTTGCATCGGTGTTCCTACGCTTGCGATCACGTCACAGTCAAGGTGGCCCCAGCAACTATGTTCGTGTCGAATATCAGCGTCGCTTCGATCTCTGACGTGCCTCTACCTCGCCAAGGGGCCAACATTGCGGAGCGCAAGACAAGTCCGCTCTAGCAGTATACTTTGAGGTTCACGGTACTTATAACCCACTCATAAGCCCCTTAAGTGGGATATAAGCACAGACATATATATATATATATGCAATTGGTACATGCACCTCCAAGTACTGGTGCTTGCAGTGGAGCAGCCATTGGAATTTGTGACTGACTTCTGGCGGGCCATCCACTTCTCCAGGAAGTCCAGCCTAAGAATCCATGAGATCAGCTCTGCTGTACTATACTATACACAATATACTATAATATACTATAATAAACTATAATATACTATAATATATACTATAATATACTATAATATACCTGAAAATGCTATACTATACAAAAATATACTATGATATACTATCATATAATGTCATATAGTAATTAGCTGATTCCGGCTATTCGCGTCAACAGCCGATGCTCCAGCGTTCAGCAACACCTAACACTGGACAATAGTAGGATTCCCTTATAGTAAGGACCCCAATAAGGTACCCCTAATTTCGGAAACCTCCGGTTCATGCCGAAGATTTGCCAGAAAACGTCAGTGGGGAGTCCCATGGAACAGCTTCGCCGGAGACAGCAGCAGCAAGCGCCCCACGGGAGGCATCCTGCTGGAAGACGCAGGAAGAATAAAAAGACTTGATCTATGAACTTCACGTGAACTCAATTATATTCTACTGAATTTGCTATTGAACTTCTATTGAATCCTATTGTTTCTCCAGGCCCCGGATAAGACTACTGGATGGGCCTCAGCTGCTGTTGCGCCTCGGGAGTCGACATCTGATGCACAATCTTCGTGTGGCCCATAGAAAGTGCACGGCCCTACCCAAAATGCTTCCAGAGCGCCGTGTAGCGGCCCAAGCGAAGCCGCCTTCATCTCACGCTACGTTGGTGACGCAGCTTACGATGTGGGCATGTGAGGCTAGAGGACACAGGAACGCATAAAGGCAGGAGTCATACGGATGCAGAAGCATTGCGGGCTGCAGGGTCTCAGTTCTAGGGGCTCCCAACTAGCAAGCATGCGAAGCATCTGCGGCGCACCTTTGCTGGGTCGTAGTAGACCCGTACCTGGGCAATGATGGGGCATGCCAGGCGCTGAAACCATCCCATGTTCGCCCTCGCTGCAGCCCTGAGATCCTATGCTCTGCAGACACTCCCATTCTCATGATTATACACACCCTTAGGCCTTAGGCCCGAAAAAACTATCACAGCCACATCTCCACCTTTGCGGCCGGGCTGCTACCTCGGTCCGCGCCAAAGGCTTCAGGGTCTTGGTAAGGAGCTCTGGAGTGATCCGGCTGTCGGTTGAGCGGACTGCGCGAACAAGGATGCTCTACTGAGGGCCATGATGGGCTCTCACATGGTTCTGGGCGTTTGGGGGACTTAGAGGGGGAGTACGTTCACATGGGGAATTAGGGGGTGGGGAGTATCCGCATCGAGGCCCTCCAGACCGGCTCCTGCATTGAGCTGCAGGGGCTGCTCGAACGTAGAACGAGCTGCCACGACGCGGCTCTGCACCTTGTCTCATAAAATCCGACAGCTGAGGAGGAGAATGGGATCTAAGAATCCAGCATGATCACTGAGTGGTACTTGTGTTGGCATCGGCTGCTCTTGGTTTGGCGGGGCAACTCAATCAAGCAAAACTAGAATATGCAATCAGCAGTGGTGTCGCCACCAGCGACAGCACCTCAAAGAAACGCTGATAGCAAAACAAACATCATGGCTTAAATATCCTTAATTAGGCTTAATTATCCCTAAATGGAGGGGGGTAGTAGGGAACCCTAAACCCTAAACCCTAAACCCTAAACCCTAGACCCTAGACCCTAAACCCTAGACCCTAAACCCTAAACCCTAAACCCTAAACCCTAAACCCTAAACCCACGAAAACAGGCTGCACCTGCCCCGGAAACGACGCTTCGAAGCGTAGGCTGGCAGGTGAGAAACTGAGGCTGCCCAATACACTCTCATACCTGCAGGGGGGTGTAGGGTTTAGGGTTTAGGGTTTAGGGTTTAGGGTTTAGGGTTTAGGGTTTAGGGTTTAGGGTTTAGGGGGTTGCTGATGCACCGCGCTTCACCATTACACAAATTCTGCAAGGTCAGGTTCTGTTGAACTGGGTAGAGCAACCGCCCGTGCAGAACCCCACCTGATCCTCAAGACGATTTTTTCGCCGCGCTTTGTGACCAGCGTTACGCTGGCATTCCTCGGCTGCCATGTCAGAAGCTATGCCTACAGAAGCAGCTGACAAAATACTGCAAGGCGGCAACGTTGCTTGCACCAAGTGGCACTGGAGGTGCACTAGCAGTAGTGGGCTCCTGTTGCATCTCTCCTCTCATCCTCCCATGAACATGCCAAAATGCCAAAACTCGGTTGCGGTCCTGAGCTAGCACCTCAAGGGTCAAAGCTAATCGATGACCGGCTTGCAGTGTTAGCACCTTGGCATTCGAAACATTAGGACTTTGGGGGGGGGGGCTGCCTTGTTCCCACCACCCCTTCTTTCATCCCACGGGAGATTGAGGCTTCCAAAGCTTGGATCGCCACTTTCTTCGTGTGCGACTGCCTGGGTATTGGTCTGGATCCTCGAATCTGCTGTCCCTCCCGAGGCGCAGATCATGGAAGGGCGCAGAAGAAACAGGATGGGGGTGCAGTCAGCACCGGGCCTGGGGGCTGTAGATGCCATCCATGTGGAGGCTGATGCTGGGATGACTGAAACTGAAACTCTCGATGGTCACGTTGACCGGGTTCGGGTTCCTCGGCGTGGCCATGTGCCATCTCCCCCCCCCCCCAGGAGTGCACGAGCAAGCTCGGCTTATTTCATGAAGCGCCATAAGGAAGTGCACTGCCTTGTGCATCCAATTGGCGAGATATTGATTCCTCAGCTGCTTGCATGTCTGCAGAGGAGGCCGAAGGAAAGTGTAGAAGCCAAGGGTGTATAGCGATCCGCACATAATTGGGAAGATATCCCTCTTAACCCGTAAACCCTCCGTGGGACTCGCAGGGAACCTGCCTAAACTGCAGAAAGCCCAGCGTCGAGATCGTCGGACCTCTGAGACACTCAGCAGGCCCATGTCCTTGACAGCAAGGAATATGAGTGGGGGCGAAGACTTGGCACGAACATCCTAGATTTGATGGGAGGGTGAAGTGTCAGAGCTCCAGCTCTTTTTTGGAAGCCGAAGACACGACAGCAACTCAGGCTGAGGAAGGGCTGTGAAGAGGAATCAAGGAAACGACATCGTCAAAACCGCAAGCTCACACCGAACTCAACGAACTCTGGACGTCTTCCACTCTCATACTTCGTTGTAGCACAAGTCAAAGATATTCACTTGTGCAGCTCAGCTGCCAGTGCCAGGCTACTTGTTGCCATACTGCACTCCTGCACCTCGCCATGCTCTACCTGGCATGCTGCGGGAACATTGCCTTTTCATCGACCGCACGCGCACAGAGATGCTCAGCCTGGCATGTTCAATAAAGGGTCTCTAGAACTAGCATTGCTTACGAACCCCCCGAAAAGATAAAAAATATTCCTTACAAGGGTAGTATAGGGATTTATAAATTCTTCTTTTGGGGTTCTTAAGCAAATAGTAGAGAACCAGTCACGTGCTCCTGGGATCCCTCATGGTGTGGCGGGTGCTCCTTGTCACTCATGGCTGCCAAGCTAAGCTACAAACCCACCGCACCTGACAGTGAAGCTTCCCGTGGTAGACTTGCAAGGGGATCTTCATGGCCTTCAGAACTTTGAAGTCTACGAAGGGCACAGGGCTTGGGGATGGAGAGGCAACAGTCCGCCAGGGCCCCCACTGTGACATTGGTCGCCAACTCCAGGTCTCTTGTGCAGAGAATCTGGGTCAAGCAGACCATCAATCGGCGCTCTGCGGCTGTTGTGATGAAAACAGCGTCTTCTTCTCAGCTCGCGGCACTGCTTCCGTTGGAGGTGTACTCCAAGTGCATGAGGGATGTCGCCTTGGAGGGGCGGCATGCAACATCATGATGTCTCCCTTGCTGCCATCTCCACTGGGCTGAAACATGCTGCAAGCAAGACACCTCCCCCGGCTGTAGGACAATATCTGACTGGAAATGAGAGATCTTGAAGTTGGGATCCTGTTGCAGGTCACGAACCTTCTGCGCAACTCGCCAAGCTGCGTCTTTAACGCTCAAGATGCCTCGATCTTCGCAGATTTTATTTGGATTGGAACCTCAGCTCACACAAACAGCTATCCAGGGCAATATACTTTCGCCATATATATATATACATATATATATATACGTATATACTTATATATAAGGAAATATGAGATGTATATATATATATAATACATAACATACGATTGCTGTAGAATGCATACTACATCATACATCATCTAAAGCACACTGTATCTACGTCCTGTAAAATGCAATATTGCAAGATAAAGGTTACGTAACATATACTGAATACTACTAAAGGTGTGTGTGTGTGTGCATACATATATGCTACTACACAAACAACATATTACAAGAAGTAGTGGGTATATACGGTAACTCAAAGATGTCCATTTGTTTACATACTGTGCATCATATTTTACGATGTATAACTATACGTATGATCACGGAGGGGTCCTTTCTGCAGCACATGACATTGCTTTGCCGAGGCTCGGAAAAATTGTTGGAAACCATGATTGCTCGCATCGTGGATGTGACCCTCCCTGGAGTAGACAGAAACTTGGTCTTGTCGTTCATGAAACCTTGCACTCGTTGACTGGAAAAATCACCATCATGACGCAGGCACTTCCCTCGCACCCGCAACTGCTTGGAGGTGACCCATCCTACGTTTGCGACCAGGTTGCCTAAGGAACCATAGAGCACCTCAAGGCGTGTGGCAGTTTCGCAACCAGGCTCGAGATGATTGTTTACTGCAGAAGCACGCAGTGCCCCTGGATTTTGCCAACGAGAAGAATCACGCGCACTGCGTCTACAGGGAGATTAAGCATTCCAGGGACTTCGATCGCGGAGCTCAAGCGGATACCGATCAGTCGGGGAATTCCTAGGCATCCTCAAAATGTGTGTGAGGTCAAGATCCCCAACCACATATGGTATCCATTGTGTTTTATGTGTTGTTGTAGATTCTATGTTATCTCTTGCATGTTGTATAACAGTATCATCCACTAGAACAAGAGCGTTGGAATGCTAGGGCCATGTGATGTAGCTAACATCACTCAACCACCTGCACACGACATAATGACATAGCACACTCACATCCGGGGCCATTTGGTCCAGTGCAGCCATCACCCCGCAGATCTCCGCAGCTAAGGCGCGTTCGCCTTGTAAGGCACGTCCATGGTCGCGGAAACCGCATCTGTGTCGTTGACGATGAGCTGTAGCTTGCCTGGGTGCTTATTTTTGGTCAGTAGGGAATGGGGGAAAGAGGTACCCTATATTATCCCCTAAAGGGTATTATATAAAGGGATACGACGGCCCTAATTCTCTCATTCCCTGCTAAGCAGCAGTAAGGGTGTGAGGTTGTGCTGCACTTTTTCTCCAGCTTTCTGCGCTCGGATAACTATGGGTACCTCGGCCCTAGCCCGAGCAAGCCAACGCAAACACCAAGTCATAGCCTACCATCTGCTTAAGAACCTCCAAAAAAGAAAAAACATGATCATCCCTATATTGATTCTTATAAGGGAAAATTTGGGGGGGGGGGGGGAGGGGTTCTTGAGCAATTGGTAGTAGCCAGGTTCATTTGACATAGCCAAGTGGCCCTGGACTTGGCCTTCTCTGGAGCCATGGTATGTCACTTTGGCGAAGCGCACTTGTGAACCAGAAGCCACACTAATGCCTTCGGGAATATGGGAATCTGATGGATCAAGAACTTCCCTTCCTACGTGGCAAGTCACCTGGCTCCTTGCTCTAGGGCACTACGCAGAGGAGAAACATCCGAATCTTACGCTGACTTCAGGCCGCACCCGCGATAAGGCACTTAACCGCAATTTCGGTAATCCATCGTGCCTTTCTTGTGATCGAAGCCAGAGATCTGAAGATTCGGATTCCTCGACTGTGTTGAGCCCATTGCACATTGACAGTTCCCTGCTCTCACACTAGGTCTCACAGCTAACGGGATATGTGTTCCCAGCACAATGCGGTGGCAGGCTTCTGCGTTGGATCGAAAAGAGACAGCAGTTGTATCGGCTGTGGGTTCAGATTCGTCACGGAAAGCCAAATAGATCCTTGGCCATGCCAACATACCAGACTCCAATTCAATTCAGTACGTACCCTACCACAGCCTATCGCACCAGCCTGACGGCCCGGCTTGGACTGCAAACGGCTTGCCCAGACTTGCAGTCCAGCCGCTAGCCTGGATAGAGGAGACCAGCGTCTGGAAATCAACTATGTCAGGTGATATCCTCGGCTTTTCCAGGTGACATCTTCTCATGAGGCCCTCAGGTAGGACTAGCAGACAAGCATCTGAAGTTGCCTTCGAGCGGCTTGATACCAGACGATCTCACTACCCCGAGGGTCACGGGCACCACAATACGTGGCACTTCCGATTCCATCTTTACTTCCACAAATCCTTACGATCAGTCAGCCGGTCCGAGCTTGTGGGCTACCTCGTGAACACATGCTCCAGCTACGCCTGGGTGCACACGATGCCTATTCAGCCTATTCAACTCCGGCTTTTCTCTGTCATCGTTGACATGGACCCGTCTGCCAAGCTCCAAAAATCGCTCGGCACAACTAACCGCTTTTCAGCTCAGTGGCCTTGGTAGTGACCTCGGCAGGACTGACGATCTCTCATGTCACGCTGCACGTCACGCGTTCATCTTCACAGCAGTTTTCGGCAAGCTTCCTTGCTGCAACGTGAACTTCGCGTAGCCCACAATGCCATGTTCCTCTGGCGGAACAAGCCAGTCCTGGAGAAGGCACGTGCACGTGCGCGTTTACATGGGCAAGCACATGTAAATTATCCAATGCTTGTCTCAGCAGGGTTCTAAACTGCAGCTTGACAATGCTCGAGACAAGCAGCTCTACCGGCCCGCTCGGCCAGGATAAAGCTGCTGCCCGTGGGACTGTTCTTGTGGCCAACCTGGGATGGCAGGAAGCGTGTCCACAAAGCATGGCACGCTGTTTCGCGACCCTTCGCATGGGGCCGTTCGCTGCCCTGCGTACTGTATCGTCTGGCAAGGCAGTGCATCACTCACGGCTGCTTGGGACTCGGAAAACCACACATCATGCCTGACTCCCCCCACCCCTAAAGTCTCCAAGATGCAAGCTATTTCTTAGGCATGGCGCTTGGCGAAGTTCATCAGGCGCAAGCAGCTGAATGAAAGACTCATTTGTGGAAACCTGGCCCCCAAGCAGACACCCAAAAGAGACCTCGCATCTTGTTTACTTTTCTACATCGAATTCTGAACAGCTGCAGTCCCTAAACCCTAAACCCTAAACCCTAAACCCTAAACCCTAAACCCTAAACCCTAAACCTAAACCCTAAACCCTAAACCCTAAACCCTAAACCCTAAACCCTAAACCCTAACCCTAAACCCTAAACCCTAAACCCTAAACCGCCGACCGGCCCACCTGGCTGATCTGTAAGGCTTCTTTCCAGGGGTTGAAGATCGAGAGTGGGTGATGTACAACCTCGCCAGCCCCAACCTCGCACAGGGAATTTCACCACGTAAATCGCCCGATGGCTCCATTGTCCCACAGCCCAAGCCTTCAGATTGTAAATCGCTTCGGCTTTGTATGGGTTGCTGGCGGCGTAGCCCTTAACCTGGTAGTGAACCAAACCTTGGAGGCATGTTAAGGACGCACGCTCGAACATCGGAAGCGCTAGCAGGTAGCTCCAAGTGCGGCCACGGCTCCCGCTGTGGTTTTCACAGATATTCGCCCTCGAACTTCGCCCGGCTGAGTGGCCAGAAACATCACATACATGATGCCCTGAGATGTGCAGATTTGGGAGTTGGGCCCAAGTTGGGCCGCACCCGAGGAAGAACCACATAAAAGCATCACGTGCATGTCGAGAAGAGACCGTATGGTGGAGAATTCTCCCGAAGTAAGGCACACTGTCGCAGGTTGGCATGGTGTCAAGCGCTCTGAGGTGCTGACAATGGTTGGTGACTTCCCTTTCTTCTTGGGCTGCTTTCCACTCTTTGGCACCAGTGCTGGGTAGACAGCCTCCAAGTCTGATGAGACCGAATCCTTCGGATGCCAGGACTGTGCAATTTGTCGGAAATCTTACTGCAAAGGACAGGAAAAGGCCAAGCTTCCACTGAAATGATGGCGTGGCAGCCATCGCAGTAGATGCGAACTTGCGCGTGATGAGGAACACAGGTCAACTCCTCACAATGACTGATGGTTGCCGCTGCCGATGCCGCATCGGCCGGCTGGCATGCTCCAGAGTCGCAAACAGCAGCACATGCCGACCCGAGCTGTGACAAATGCTGGCTTGGTGGCAGGTAACAATTTCCGGCGAGGCATGGCAACAGGTCACAGCCAAGAATCATCGTTGAACTCCAAATCGGGCGGGTCAAACCGCATGGATCCCAGCTTCACTCCTCATTTGCTGGACCCGTCTTCAACGTAAAGTCACGGCAAAAATAAAGGAGGAAGCCCAAAAAAAAACTCGCAGGCGCCAAAAGGACGCCTTGTTGGCCCTTCCTAAGAAGTCCGAGGCCGGGCGCCTGGAGATCCCGGAGGCGGCTCGACGCTGACGCTGGCAGGGGCGCAAAGACTGAGCAGTGTCAGAGCGAGCAGAGCCTCAGACAGAAGACATTCAGACCATGCAAGAAGAATCTTAAAAGGGTACCTTGGGCTTTTGGCCCGAAAACGGTTTCAAGAAAGGAAGGCCCCATCCTTTGCAAGACAGGATGCTCTGCATCGCCGCTCAGGACGCTCGTGAGCAGCCATTCTCTAAGGCGCTTTGTCTATATCCCGACCAGCTGGGGCCTATCGGGAATCTGTAAGCCACACCACTGCAGATCATCGCGGTTCGGCTGAGAAACAAGGCAGCAGCTCGGCAAGTTCCTTTTGTCTGTATAGCGTCCCTTAAAAGAGTTGAATATTTAATGTTCTCTCCCTTCCCTTGCGCGGCACTTGTCCTGACCAAAGGTAGCCAAACTCAGCGTGCCTGCCGAAGCTGTTCCTGACACGCGCGGGGTGGCCACATGTGCAGTCTGACATGTACGCGATGGTGTCTTGGCCAACATCACATCAGGCTTTTTATACGAGAATTGCCCTGTGTCTGCAGTCGCTAGCAGGGTGACAATGAACGGTTGGAGCCGTGAACCAGGCTTCCTTACCCCCCTTCTCAAAAGAGTGTGAAACGCTTCTCGGGGGGCTTTGGAGGCCACTCATACGGAAGTTCGACGCTTTCTGTGCTCCCCTTGGCGGAGGAAGATCAGAAGGACCTTCTGAAAAACGCAAGCATACACTAATCACTGATCACTCCTTCCATCGACTGGCTGCAAATATGCGGAGATGCATGTTGCAACTCCGTCGGGAAGGACATTCCAGGCAGCTTGTTCGGAAGCTAGGTTGTTTCAGGTGGCGGCCTGCGTAGAAACGTCTCATCTAGCTGGGTGAGCACTACAGCTACAGCGCCAGCTGCCTGTGAGATGCAACAGCTCAAAGAAAGCTGAGATGCTGCAAAGTCAAGCGATCCTATCATCCTATCATATGTGTTTGCGTCCGGCTGAGAGAGGGCACCGTTGGCACCGACAAACACCAGCTTCTGGACGCCTATACGCCCAGCCACGATTTTGAGGTAAGTTTTGCAACCTCTCTTCAAGGTCCTGCATTCCAAAAGATTCAGTTGAAGTTGGCGATGGAGCTATTTGCCAGCTTCTGCAGCTTCACAACAACGCCTGTCACGAATTGCAGCTGGCAGCACCGAGTTGACTACAGTTTCATCTGCTAGCGTCAGCACTGTTACTGCCTTGTGACCTTGTTTTTTCATGCTAACAAGGGGAGACTGGGATTGTTACCATGCTGACACCAACTACTTGTCACGACAAGACCCCAAACTGTGGAGATGTGGAGCATTCCCGAATTTGCCCGAAGGCTTTAAGTGGAAACCACCTTCTACCACCGGCCTGCAAAAGAGCGATCATGGCTGCAACAGTGCTGGTGAGCTGCATCACTGGTGACAGTGATCTGTCCTCGGCCACCAGGCAGACGTCAAAGACAGAGCGCGAGAACTAAGGAAAAAGGCACAGAAGCCAAGATTCCTCAGCCTCTTCTGTGGTGGTCGAAGCATTGGAGCTGTTGGTCTTGCTGCCATTCCTGACATGGACGTGCCGTGCGGGCGTGACTACCACAGGGTGCAGGCTGTATGCTTCCAGTCAATGTCGCCCACGCACTACAGCTACCTGCTACCTCATGCAGGGACGTGCTCACGAGACTTTCTCCAGGTCCACGAGCCATTGCAGCCAACTGGCGTAGCATAGGCAGATCCGGACGCGGAGTCCAACGCTTGCACCTGAAAGGCAGGCTGAATGCTCCGGCACCTCATGCGTTCAAGCGCCCTGGGTTTAGGGATTTTTTGCCACCCGCCTAGCTGAGCCCAGGGGGCCACTCTGCAGGGACAAGTCGGGGACACGCTCGGAGTGCTTCGCACTTGAGAGAGGGGCCGGAATATCAATCTAAGCCACTAAGCCTTGCAACAACAAACCTCAACAAGGACCATCCCTCTCGAAAGCCAGTTCGTCACGCCTCAGAGTCCTCCCTTCCCATTCATCCATCACATTCCATCACCACAACAAACATCGCACTTGATCACCACAACCATCGCAGGGTTTAGGGTTTAGGGTTTAGGGTTTAGGGTTTAGGGTTTAGGGCCTGGCCTAGCAGCCCCAAATGAAACATTTGTGCGCAGCCAGGCAGCATTGTGGTGGCTAGTGTTGTCAGGGAGCTTCATGGGCACCACCGGGACAACCGAACGCAAATCGATGGGCATGTGATAGCCTCACTTGCCCAAGAACCATGGCAATAGTCAAAGCAGGCCAGGATCAGCAAAGAAAGCAGTCTCGCTAGCCCTCGAATCAAAGCTAATGCCACTCGGCCACGCTCCTCCAAGCCACATGGAGAGCATCCAAGCATGTGATCCTGCGTTCTGCCGGTCACTGAGCCAGCACTGACGGTGGAGTAGGTGCAGGTGCTGAAGCAGACAATATCTGTTTCACCCCATCTCCTGGAAGAAAGATCCCAGCCACACCTGCGACACCCGCATCCACGCCGGCAACCTCTCCCACCTTCCATGGGCACCAGAAGAATAAACAAAGCGACACAAATCTTACGAATCCACTGGGTGCAGGGCCACAGGTTTGTCAAATGTTCACCGTTTTGATGGAAGACGACGTCCTGCATCACGGGGCTTACAGCCGCGCAGAGCTTGGAAAACCAGCGGAGCCTTTCTTGGTCTGTAGGGCCTAGCGCAGTTCAGGGACATCTAAGGAGTTCCTGGTGCAGGCTTCGGGTGTCGCCATGGTACATGTCGATGGGGATGAGCAGGCAGCCGGCCTGGCAGGATGCGAACTTTCCCACACAAGCGCATGGAGTGTTGAAGGCAGCCCTCTCACATGGGGGTTTACGAAAATCGGGGGCCCGAAAATAGACCCCCAAACAGTAGGATTCCCTTATAACAAGCCAATAAGGTACCCCTGATATCGTAAACCCCCACATGAGCTGGAACTGAACGGCCGCAGAAAGCACCTCTCGGTTGGCCCACTCAGCCGCCGCTCCACACCAGGTGGAGTCGACACCCCAATCCACTCCCAGCGTTCTCTGCTCCATGATGATTCCACTCTGCACCTGGTCCATGCCAAGCAGCACAGCCGAACGGCTAATCCTTCGGCTGATGCTCAGGGACAGCTCAGCTGCCGACGACTCTGCGAAGATACCTGAGGCGTCTTTAAGTTCAGCTTCGGAGGCATAGCAGCCGCGCAGAACTGATGCAAGATGATGCGAGTGCTGAGCCCTTTTTGGTATTTTTTCAGTTCATCAGCAAACAGGATGATTGTCCGACTTTGGTTCCTTCATATCCATGTTCGAGATCGTCCGAGGGACCAAGTCGCAAAATTCCCGCTGAGCATCGCAAACCTTGATTGAGGCACTTGTTGGCATTATCCAGGCAAGGCATGTCCCTCTGTCAACACAGCGGCCACTGCTCCACCAAGTCCGTCTCAACGAACCGAATCCTAAAAGAAGCAGATTGCACAGACGCAAGTTGTAGGAAGTACAACGCTTCCTGTCTCTCTCTCACACACACACATAACATCGCACCGTGCCCCATGTGCTCGTCCTGCTTCTATTGCAGCGCGTCCACCAATCAGCCTTCAGTGGATAGAAAGGAGATCGATTCCGGACCTTACTCGGCTCATGACTGGACATGCCTGGTTCTTTGCTCTGCGCACTTTGCTTTGCCGTGCTTCTCAGAATGGACCACGTACTGTTTGCTCGGCATGCCACGGTGCCAGTAACTGGTGCAAACCCCCACTTTGAAGCATAATTCTCGTAGCGCCGGAAGTAGTCTGCCCACGGGAAGGTCGACAATCCCATGTCCTCATGTTTCAGGGTGCTGGCACAGCTCGGGACATTTTTTTTGCGCCTTTCACTTGGTGACCCTGATCTTGAGAGCCAAAGCACGGCATCGAACACCATGAGGTAGTCATAATTTGCAAACTGCTCCACGTCTTCTGTGTAATACACCTGCGTTAGCAAATCACCTGCCTATACTTTGCTTCATCCACCACACCCTGAAGCTAGGAGCAAGGCCCACTTCGAGAATCTGCCAGGCGATACCCCTCAGTACGACGAAACATGTCTGCAGGCAAATTCGAGGGAAGAGCCCCCGAATGTTCTCTGAGCTTGACACGGTAGAACATTCGCACATTCGGTTGCCGCAGTTCCATGAAGCTCTCCAGACCCGGGCAGTTACCATCTTCCGACGCATGTGCAATGATGACCTGGATGGTCATTGGCATGGGCAAATCAAGCATTCCCTTCACAGGTCTGTGCACTGTGCACCCTCATACTGCGACAAGGCGCGTAAACTGCCCAGGTAAAGTTGTAGGGCGCCATGGCACGAATAGACGCAGCAATTGAGCGGCTCTCTCCGTCGAAGCCGGTGTTGTTTCGGCATACCAACGTGGTCATGGCAAGGAAAGAGGACCTTGGAATCATGTGCGACTGACGTGAATGCGGGCGTGGTAGGGGGCATGTTTTTGGCTTAAAAGGGATTGACGGAAAGGTGACTGACGGAAAGGTGACTCGGTCCCTTCAGTGCAAAGAATCCAGTGTCTTGGAGCCTGGGGTCTGAGCAAGCTGAGGTGACTTGCAGCCTGGCAGCTTCAAAAGTCTTTCCGGAGTCTCGAAAGCTGGGGCGGTCGGGAGCAATCGTCCGCGATGGCGCTGCATGAAATTGGTCTGCCAAGCAACCTGCATGTCAGGACGATGAAACATGATGAATATTGATGAAGCAAGGCACGACTCATCGAGCAAAAGCTCACTGAGAAACCCCAGGGCTGCCCAGGCACACTGGACACGGCGTACCAATCGGAAGAACTGGACATCACGTGGACTGTGGTTGGGAACTCCATCAAGTTGAAGTAGAAGTGCGCACTGGTGTATACAGTGCCTGGCAGCAGGCAGGCTGGCTGTCCTACCTGAACTGCACATTTGTCGTACATGAGTTTGGAAAATTTTCTCGTCTTGCAGTGCAATGATTCAAGACGGGATCAGGGCAGGTTATACCAAGTCCGCTAGGACCTTTTCGGAGTTACAGCGGCCAGCCCGCCCGTCACCAAAGATCTTCACTCAACAGGGTTTTTGTTTTGCTTTAGGGTTTAGGGTAACCCTAAACCCTAAACCCTAAACCCTAAAGGGTTCAATACTGCACACGACGTCTGTGAGGTCGGCCTGCATCAAGCGCGCCAAAGAGAACTCCTTCTGCCTTGCAGGTGTCAGCACGTCAAGGGGCTATCCTGGCACACCACCACGTCTATGGAACTTACTTTGTATTATAGTGCTCAACACATAATATATAGTGCTGTGTGTAATATGCGTATTAAGATACGATATTATACATCAACGGCAAGAAGAATCGCCTGAAGTGACCCCGCGCCAGGGAGCCAAGGCTTTCGCTGAAAGTGCCGCGTTGCCTCCGAAGCAGCTCACCGGAGACAGCTCTGATGTGGCATCTCTAGAATATGGTCCCCCTTGGGGGTTTTCATAAGGGTGCCCAAAAAGGGACCACCTTTTTGAAAACTGACCATATGATTCTGAAATCGGCAGCGCAAGAGACTGGCGTTTCTTCCATCTCGGGTTTGACTTCAACGTGGACGTGTTCCTCATCATCCTGCTAGGCCAAGGCACATATCGATCCCGAAGCTGCGCCATTCCGGACCTTAGCGACAATCACAACGTGCACCGCTTCCGAATCTGGAGAAACCCAAAAAAAGTCCCAAGCATGTAAAAGATGGAAAACGACACTGTATGAATGCGCGCTGTTTTTGTGCTCTCACCGTGCTTAGCCTTAGTACTTTCCATCTGGGCCCTGCGCTGAGAGATCATGTAGGACCTCAGTGCCGCGCGGAAGTTAAGCTGATAGAATAACGTAACAGTATAAAAATATATTTACATCATAATATAGTCATATATACAATGAAACAACGAGACAGCTCCCGGCTCACTTCTTTGTGCACGCGAGTGCGGTCGGGCCACCCAGTGCCGTAGAAATGTGGCTCTCGGGGCTGGAAGGCTGTTCCCGCACTGGCCAATTGCAGGATGGCCTGAGACCGCAGAGATCTGTACCGACGCTTCTGAACAAGCAAAAACGTATTTATATGTAGAAATATATATTATACATGTATGTATATATATATATTATGATAGTATAGTTAAATAATAGTGAATATAGTACGATGGTAATAAAAATATAGACACCAATAATTATTTAATAACAAACCGATATAAGAAACTATCAATGAAAATTTAACAACATATGAATGCAATGATACAATAATGCAGTAACAGATTAGTATCAAAATATGTAATACTCGTACTATACTATTACTAAGAATATCATGTTATCAGCATAGAATCATGCAATCACAATCGAATCATATAATCACACAATCATGCCACGATCTAGCAATGTTACAATGCAGTACTGCAGTACTGCAATGAAGTAATAATGTAATATTGACGAGGCATTGTGCAGAGAGCGCATCAGAAGCCTTCGTGTTCACAGTGGACATCTGCAAAGCTGACCAGCCTGGTGGAGCACAAGAACGGTCAGACAGTAATCCAGGAATGTTGAAAATCCGCGAACTGCGCCGCATTGTTTGGCCATAATTCCACGGCAATCCAAGCACCTCAAGCCGAGACTGAGGCTGAGGCCAGCCGGTGCCTGTTCCAGGAGCTTGTCCAGATCTCTGCCGAACTCTGGGTATATCTCGACATCATCCTTCAGGCACGATGGAATCAACACATGTCAGCACACCTACCCAAGCAGTCCAGCAAGACTACAGGGCCGGCAAAGCCAGATGACTTGAAGCGAACTCAGCCAGCAGTTCGCCCCAATTGCCTCCATGATGAGTGCCAGTGAAGGGTTACCTGCCAACATCGGACACCGCCTGAAACTCTCCTTGAAAAACCCCCCTGAACAGATCTCTCGCCCCGAGAGACCTTCTGAACCTGGCCTTGGCTCAGAGCCAGCTCGATTGCGCGCAAGTGCGAAAGGCTGCAGGCCAGCTCGGTGTACAGCAGCTCACCCCTGCAGCAATTTGCCACGAAGCCCTCATGAGCCTTCATACATTTACTTGGGTCTAGTCATGTCTAGTCTACGCCGTTGCTCGCTCAACCCTGCTTCAATGCGCTGCGGCCTGGCGTGGTGCTCGGGGCATGCTTCCGAGCATGCGTCGATCAACGTGGCTTCCACAGCCATCGTGCTGTTCGACTGCATCGCCTCTGCAACCGGTACTGGCACCGCACGCAAGGGTCCACCCAGCAAGGCACGCAGGGAAGCAGCCTTGACGTCTTGCGTGGTCACTGCAGGCACGCGGACCACCTGAAGAGACAATGTTGCCGGCTTGGTCTCGCCTTAGTGAGAAGTGTTTCCACGAGAGTGTGCCATGCTATGCTTCTATTACCATAATTCATTAATCTACGACTGTATTGTTGGACCATATTCATCTGCTATAGTATGATTGATCTTTACAACAGTACTTCTTGACATAACTCTTACGATTACTCGTATTCTACTCACATACTCTAAGACTTCTACGGGTGACTCGGGGCAAGTCGAGGCTGGGAGTCCGAGCCAAGCTTGGCAAACATCTTCTCCATGGCGGCGCGGCGATCTTGCGAAGAGTCCAGGTTGATCCAGTAGATCTGTCAGGCAAAAAGAGATCGGGTTTAGGGTTTAGGGTTTAGGGTTTAGGGTTTAGGGTTTAGGGTTTAGGGTTGAGGGTTGAGGGTTGAGGGTTGAGGGTTTAGGATAATTGTTAAAGTGTAATATTACCAGACTGTAATAATCGAGTAGTATAACATGAGAAGACTATCATATGCAGCGGCAGGGAGTGCACGCGCTCGGTACCTGTAGAGTCCTGGGCTCCTTGTGCACAACAGGCGTCTGATCTTTCGCTGCCTTAGAGTGGGGAGTCAAGGCAAGGCTGCAAATCAAGGCAAACTCTGGCTGCCCCGAGCAGGCTAATGAGAACAGTGGCGAAGCGATCCGGCAGTGGCATGGCTTCTGACGAGGATGCCTTGCCTTTCTTGCTCCCGCCGCGGCCGGATGCCTGTGGCAAGCTTGCAGGAGGGGCTGCGACGCTCAGACTCGCACAAAAGCTGGCAAGGCCATGGACCTTCTACAGGAAAAAACCATGAGAAAAAACAACAGATGTAAGTGCAAACCTGGCAAGCGGGGAACCTGAGTTGGAATCTCCCTCCAGGGTGCCAGCCTGGTCGGGGATCAGGTGGGACACGTTCGGCTTGCTGACTGCGCCCCGGTCTGAGTACCTGAAAGCCACCGGTGCGACGTGAGTGCCATCATTTCACACTCTTTGGGGTTTTCCGACATTAGGGGTACCTTATTGAGGTCCGTATCATAAGAGAGTCCTACCATTTGGGGCTCTATATTGGGGGGCCCTCACTTTCGAAACCCCATCTAGGGCGAGTAGCTTGTCTGCCAGGCGCTGGCTCCAGCACTTTGTCTGAGCGCCCTTCTTCCCGTACACAACATGCCTGCCAGGCGCATGCGGGGGGTTCAATGGGGGACCACAGGTTGGAAGCGAATATTCTGTTATGACATGATGATCTTCGTGTAATAATAACATGATACATCGAAGTATGGTTTTATAATGTTGTGTTCATATGGTACTCTACTATGTTAGAAAATCTAATTTGTTATATTCTACTCTTCTATCGTTATATTCTCCTATTTTCCTACGATTTCAATTATTCCATTATTCTAGTACTCTGTTGTATGATAGACTGTATTATTATGCTATTAAAGTACTATCTCATTTGGGCATTACTTCTTATGTTATTATACGAATATAATATGATATAAAACATGAAATAAAATAAAATATGATATACTGTAATATAATGTAATGGGTAAATTACTATGCTATTATGCGATTATGCTAGTATGTCATTTTGTTAGTTCTTCTTATGTTGTTCTTTTACTGTGTTGTTCGCCTCGGCTTCCTGCCGAGAAGCGTCTGGAACAAGCAGACCCGGATCGGGCCTCCTTCCCCCTAACCCAACCCTCGTTCGCAGGCAAAATTTCCTGACGCCACCCCCCCCCCGCCCTGTGGGACCCCCCCCCAATCGCTTGGAGGAGCTGCAAACCGATGCCGTGGAGGGTCCCGGCTGTCGGTGGCTCCCACAGGGCCCCCAACCCACTTCCCCCCCCCCCACCACCCCCCCCCCCCACCCACCCCCCACCCACCCCCCCACCCACCCCCACCCCCCCCTTTGACCCCGCTGCCCTTCCTCCCCTTTTTTGCGAAACCCTCTTTCCTCCTTTCCTGTCCTGGCCGGCCCGGCTGCCGAGGCGGCGCGCGCAAGCGTTTACAATTATGTTACTATGCTATTTATGTTAGAATGCTATTCTGTTATTACTATGCTACTAGGTGATTATGTTATTGAATGCTGACATATTCTCATAGCAGCACCGTTTAGTATAACGCAACTCCAAAAAACATCCTGATTGCTTCGGCAAGCTGCGATTCTACCGGTACAAAGTCGCCGGGAATTCTCGCAACCGGTGGACAAGTCGCCCAGCGGTCATACAGGTACTGCTGAAACGAGCACAGCGAACCATCCATGTCCTCAGCAAGACGATTTTTTGGCAACAAACATGGGATGAACCGGTGCCTAGTGTCAGAATCTCTCTGAGGCCACGGCCCTGTTTGCCTGGAAGCATGTAGGCAGCACACGTGCACTTTCTCTGCCGGACCCGCAATGCGAAGACTTGCACTAGTACTTCTGCTGGGCTGCAAATTTCTCCTGCAAATACGGGTTGTCGAAGTTTTTGACCATCCAGTCCAGATCGCCTTGACTTCTACTAGGTTCTATGATGTTTTGTGCTGGACAGCATGAACTGCCAGTGTCAACCAGTCGCTTTCGCAATCTGGATAGAGTTCCTCCAACCACGCTTGTGATGGCTCCTGGGCACAGTGAGCAACCCGTTTCCCCGGCAACTTGATGCCTGACATCAGTATCTACTACTTAGCTGACTGACCCGACCCCAGAACATTACAAAACGACATCGTCAAGGCGCCGTGGCATTGCTGGAGCACGAAAAGTCAGTCTTGACTTCGCCTTTCGATGTCAAGATTCCGTAATACCTCTCACTGGGTCCTTGGAAACCCCACGCAGAGCACACCGAAATCATCACACCAGCTTGTTGCTCTCCAGCTGTCTGCTCACTTGTGCCAAGGTTCGTGTTCCTTTCGTCTCTTCATCGAAAGCAGTGAACAACTGCCCCGAGATAATGCGTCCGTCGGAAAGGCTAGACTCCATCCTTGGTGGATGACCCATGACAGGGGCTCGGGATGTTCCCCCTTATATCCCCTTATACTAACAGTCCTTAGTTGGGATTATATTGGGGGGTACTCTCATCCCTATGACAGACTGACTGTTACTATAAGGGGGAACATCCCAAACAGGGGCAAACGACTCGGGAACACCTCGAGGCTCTCTGCCAGGCCAAGTGTCCAACGCGCGACATTCTTAAGAAAGCGGTTCGCGTAGTCGAGAGTAGCGAAAGAATATGGAAAAGCACGGGCAGCCCCACATGTCGGCCATCCTGTTTCACCTGCATGGTTTAGGGTTTAGGGTTTAGGGTTGACAGCATCAACAATGGAAATAGAAGTCTGGCCGGGGTAAGACTTTGGGAGATCGGGGATTCGGGAGTACGAACGGATAGAGCTACTTTGCGATGATTTAACCCTCAAACTAGAGCTTCGTCCCAATGGCAAGCAGCTGACGCTAGGTAGCGGTGTTGAAGGGCAAGCCAGGGACTGGCAATTTGGTGAACCTGACTCTGCCTTTGAAACGAAATTGTTACGTTATGTCTCCCGCTTCTTGTCATCACAGGACTGCTACACCCGCCCGATCCGTGCACAACCCCACCAGCACCCAGACTCAGATCCCCAGTCTGCAGCATACCCTTTCCTATGCCTCGCGGGAGACCGTACAGCCGAGAACAGCCCAAAGCTTATCTTAAAACCCAAGTAGTCATGACTTGGATGACAAAGCCAGCGTTCTGAAGCAAGGAGCCAATGGCAAGAGGCAATTTGTTGTGGGGGAAGTCGCGATCCAGGGCAATGCCTCGGCTCAGGGCCGCGCATGCCGTGCTGTGGGCGCATTTTCGTCGCTCAATTCTTCCATGTAAATCTCTACTCGGCTCAAATGTCTCGCAAAAGCCACCCACAAAGAACCCTCGAGGAGCAAGCCACAGCAACTGCTTAAGTCAAGCAATACAACCAAACGCCCACAACCGCCCACAGCTGCTCCAGAAGGGAACACCTGAAGTCCGCCACCGCGCTCATCTCTCTAAGAGCTCCTCTCTTGTGTGCACCCCTCAAACAATTTTCGCAGGCAGCCTGGCCCTGCCCGGACCAGCTACCCAGCGGATCGCTCTAGTTGGGAGTGGAGGAAACCCCCATTGCCCCGGGCCGGAGCACCTTCTTCATCTCAACCTCTTTCTGTCATCTATAGGGCGTAGGGAAGTCACATGAAGCCCGAAATGAAATAGCCTCACCGAGACGGTATCTCCCGCGCCGGCTTTGGCATGCCGGCGTTCCCTTTGCCATGTCGGCAGGTCATTTGGCCAAGCCGGCGGACCGTGACTTGCTGTCGGTGGATTAGCTTGGGCATGTCGGTGTATGTTGACAAGTTGATACATGCTGGATCATTTTGCGTCCAGGCTTTCCGTGATTTACGGTTCCCAGGGGTACGTTCTTGCCTTCTAGCGCCACCGCGATTGCAACGATGGTGGTTGGATTGCTGCTTGGAGGGGGTATCGGGCTTCGACTGAGCCAAGCTCTTGGTTGAACTGAGCAGCGCAGGGCAGAGATCTGGTCGTTCAAGAAGTTCATGTCTGGGCCAGTGAGGTTCTCCATCGCCACGCCGCGAACACCACAGCTCAAAAAGGGATAAATGTTGATGGTGAAGTAGTCCAGTATGGGGAGGACATCCTTGTACCTTGATGCAAGCTGTGGCTAGGATTTGTTGACTGTGGCGGGGGCGCAAAAGCCACCATGACGAGTTTCCAGTCAAGCCCTTGAACAAAACACGAAGATGCTTTGACAGAAGCAAGTCGCTTTTCGATGAACTCGGCCTCCAGTTTGGACTTCTTCACAGGGTGGCTCCTGTGCATAATCGAATATGCGAAGGGAACGGTCACCTCAATGCCGTGCAGCACAGGCTCGGTGCTTCAACCCAGAACAGCAAAATCGCGCATTAACCACTTGCTCACATTTCCAGATTGAGCAAGGCGGCATGCGCTTCCGGAATCTCTGCTCGAATCGCCTTGATCACTTCAATGACTCGATCCTGAGAGCACCAATCCGCACTGGACTAGTTTTCTGGACCCTTTGCTGCTACATGGATCTGCGCAAAGTTTACTGCCTTGGGTGCTGACCGAGTGAACACCGCTTCGATCCGGCTCGTTGCCAACCGCAATGTGCAAAGAGCCTAAAAACGGAGCCCGAAGCACTGTCAAAGCGTGGCACAGATGATGCTGGCGTTGTAGCTGGCTTCTTTCTGCTTGCTGCGCGCTGCCTTTGAAGTCATCCGCAATGCTTCGGAGCCATTCCATGTCCACAAAGGGAAGCTCCTGTTGCTGACGGAATAAACCAAACAGTCTCAATTTTGAACCAAGGCAGGCAACAAAAGACTAACGGTTCTCCTTGTTGCCGATACCAATCACCATCTCCTTGATCTGGACTATGCTCGTGCCATCTGTCTTGCTGGATTGACGCACAAGCTCCTGCACAGATGCCAGCATCATCATATGGGGGTTTGCGATATGAGGGTAACCGTATTGGGGTCCTGATTACAAGGGGATCCTACTATTTGGGGATCTATATTGGGGGTCCCTTATTATCGCAAACCTCCATATGCTCTGGTAGTCTGCGAAACAGTATAACGAAGGCACCTCAACAATCTCGCGGTTTGACGGCGCGAGGTCGTAAGTCTTGACCTGGGCAATAGCCACGACGTTTCGATCACAAATGAAAGAGGGTGTTTGTTAAACCCATATGGGGGTTTCCGAAGATAGGGGTACCGTTGTTGGGGGTCCCTTTAAAGAGATTCTACTCCATTTGGGTACAAAAGGGGTACCCATATTTGGGAAATACCCATACCTGTTTAAAGAGCACGCGTTTAAGTGAGTGTTCTATAAAAGGATTTTTGCATTTGCGCCCACTTCGTAAGACTTGGCCTGCATCTGAGCCCAGAACGCGCTCAATCGGGCGTGACAAGCCGAGATACTCCTCAACGGCACGAGCAATGCCAGCAGATTAAATGCAGTAGCCATAACTTGCTGCTGTCCATGAAAGGCCGGACTCTGCGCGAAACTTGCCTGTCCTGTATCCGGGGTATGGCAGCAATTGCCTCGGCCAGCTGTACTCAAGAGGTACACTGTCAAGCGGCCGGCTTCCTACACCGCATGGGCTCTATTTAGGGTTTTGTGTCCAGTACCACTCGCACAAACCGGGTGCCTGTTTGACGGGCAAAGGATTTTTCATCCACTTGACGGAGAGGTTGATACCAACCTGGCGGCCAATGACCAACAACAGGAAGCAAGCCCCCCTCAACTGCAGGCGCTCCGAACATGCGGGGGTTTACGAAAACAAAGGAACCCCTAATTTAACCCAAATAATGAGATTCCCTTATAAGGACCCCAATAAGAAGGCACCCCCAATTATCGCAAACCCTCATGTAGAGAGCACAGTGAGAGCACGGACGAGCATGGCGCAGCGCCTTGCTGGTCGCCGTCTTGGCCTCGGGATGATTTACAACTCCAACCTTCAGGATTCCCCAAATGCTCAGCAGAACTCAGCAGATGCTGAGGCACTGTTAGGCCCCCACCTGTCTAGAAGCTGCACTTCCGGAGCTATCCGGACTGGCCGGCTGTCTAGGTTGAGCCTCCTCCTCAATCCGCGAGTCGCCCTGCCAAGCACAAGCACAAGAGATCTCGCCACTTTTTCAAGAACTCGCAACTTTGCATGCCACACGGATGTGCCTGCGAATCGATGCGCACTACTCTTCGGGAGGCGTCCGTCTGTAGGAGGCCGGAAGCCTTTCCAGCACCCCCATCCCGTCATGCTAAAGCAAAGCAGCTTCATCTCTTGCACCCATTCAGGCACTCGGATCCCAGCCTCCAGTTGGTCGGCGTCTTGCGCGGCAGCGCACCGAGAGTCTGCCTGACAGGAGGATCGCCTGCGAATCCGCTTTGACTCCCTACCGCGCCCCATCCGTCCTCGCATGCATCCTGTCCACTCGCCAGAAGCAATAAGAGGGCCAAGGCCTCGTGCTGGAAACAGGAATACCGCAAAAAAAGAAAAAGACATTCCAGGAAAAATCAAGCCAAACAAACTGCTTCGCGCTGGGGTCCCCGGCACACGGCCTCCAACCACGGAACATCTTTTGCATCGAGACGTGCGAGATAATGCTTTGGCAAGAAGGGGTATATATACCAAATGGAGACGAGCAGGAAAGGTTTGACACCCGCTCTGAGCCTGCTGAGGCTGCGGAAACTCAGGAGTTTGTAGCATCCGACCTGCAACCCTTTTGGCTAAACCCCTTTTTGCAAGTCCTGTGTCTAAACCCTTAACTTATCCTTTTTTTTGTATTTGGTCTACGTTGACTCAGCCAGGACGAAGACGATGGGACAAGGAAGTCACACCTGACCTGCCCCCAAAGACTATTTTGCATCCAGGCCTCTCGAAGCAGCTAGGGGAAGTAGCACCCCTTAAGACTTGAAACCCCAAACCCTAAACCCCCCGGAAACCATACCTGGACATCCACTTGTTCGGACGGTGCCTCGAACGGAATGGTTGTGGAAGCATGGCCGTGGTTTTGGTGGCATACCATCAGGCGCTAGGCCTCGCGTGAATATGCAAGGAGGATGGCAATGCGAACTTGTCAAAATCCTTTTCGCCGGCACGAGGGCATCCCACTTTCTTTCCGTAGTTTGTCGAGCTGGGATTCTGTACAATCTCATTGAGCCTACGGTGTGTTGCCACGGTTCAGCCGATAAACACTCATCACACATGCGTACAAGGAGATCAGCAAAGACGTGATCAAAAAAACACATGCCCGGCCCTCTTCGGCGAGGAAGCATTCCAACTAAGAGTAGTGAGTAGTGCTGAGGGCTCCTGTGATGAATGTGCCTTGATGTGCCTATACGCTGCAACTTCCTCGGCGCACACTGCGGCGATCGGACAGGGGAGGTGAGCAGGCTTCCACTTTATCGCATGTCTCCGGACAAGCTCCACTACAGCACCTTCGAAGCAAATTGAAGCTGCCATCACCATCAGCTGAATCCTGGGGCATGCCACTTAAGGGATCGGGTGAGACGAGCCATTCCCGGTCATGGTGAAACGTTGTTTCCAGTTTACAAGTTACTTCCCACCGGCAAGTGCGTGCTGGCCACAGGAACCCCCATTCCTCCGGTGTTGCACGAATCGTTGCAGATGCCAGGTTACTGTATTCCTTTTGCCGCTGGCCGCTAGCACAACTTGCACAAGATGGCAAGTACATCAAGTCGAAGAAGCATTCGATGCGCACCCTTCTATGAGGTGCACGCATGTGCACGTTGGCCTGCTGAGCGGCCATGCCACAAGCATAAGGTCCCCTTCCATCTTCAACCCGTGAGCGTTAACACACAAGGATTGAGGACATATGGGGACCTGAACTGCAAGAAGAGCCTGCAAAGCGCAACTCCAGGACGAGAAGCTCAGTAGGAGTCGCAGCCAGCCCAGTCAGCCCCGGCCTGTGACGCATCAACGCATACAGCTGGGCACACTTCAACACGACGTTTTTCCTAGAGATCCAAGAAGATCCCCAGCGCCCCATTTTGCTAATGTTCACGTCCAAGTTACATTGATGAAATACACTTGCCCTTAGAGAGGGCAGTCATGTTCAATGATGCACCGGGATGCGCTGGGCATGAGGCACTGATCACACTCTTTCTTGGCCAGGTAGCGATTACGGCCTACTGGAGGCAAGGTTGGCGAAGGCGGTCTCACGAGCTCCGTGCCCAGGAGAGGGAGAAGCCTGCATTTACCAAAGCAGCTTAGCTTGGTTCAGCAGATTCTCTTTTTTTCACAAGCAAGTATGCCCAGCAAGATCTCGGGCCCAAAGCCAGCAGACCACGAACACGAAAGTCTTCAGATGTCTTCACCTAAACCCTAAACCCTAAACCCCAAAGCCTAAACCCTTCACCCACGATACACGGTGTGCCTTTCATGCCCAGGCTCATCTTTGCCAGCGAACCGCCACTCGTCGGCACCCTGTGGCGGCCCAACCACTCCAACGGTCATCTCATAACCTGCAAGAAACAAGAATGATATTACCATATCTTATGTTCCTATGTTACTATTCTATTCTATATCCGCCGAGGCGTATAGGTTGTCCCATTTTTCGGACCCCTACAGAGGCAGTTGAAGCCCCTCCCAGCAGCCCCCCCCTCCCCCCCACCACTGCTTTTCCTGAGCGCGGATGCAGTACAAGAACCTTAAACCTGAACCCTACCCCCCCTGAGGGGCCTGGCTCAACCCTACGAGCGCGCGTGGTTTCTTGGCCCAATCACCTTGTAGATAGCCCAACCCCTGAGCACAGAAGGTAGCCCAACATGTCAAGAAGATAGCCCAGAACCGAATCCCGAGGGCACACAAGGCCCAAACCACGCGATAATGATAGGAGAAACTCTCTACCTCTTGGGCATAGCATCTTGAGACTAGGATGCAAATATGAAAAAACGCATGTTTTGCGGAGTCTTCCTGCAGGGCACAGCGATGAAGCAAAACCGCTGCCATGAATCCACCCGTGAACTTTTTTTTGACGCTACCTCTCGGTGATAGCCACGTGAGGCTAGCTTGAATAGCTGACAAAATGCCTGTTTCGCGGAGCTTTCCCGCAGGGCACAGCGATAAAACAGAAATGCCAGTTTGAAACGCAACCTCAAGAAATGGGCTTTGGATGGGGGGGTCTGTATTGTTGTCGGAACGATACCCGAACGATACCGCGAACGATACCTCGGACCTATCTTGGCAAGGCCAAGGCCAACATGTACTCGAACCTATTAGTGCGACGTGGCTGTGGGTTTGAATAGGGGTATGTCGCGGTGTGCCCCCCTTTGTTACATGCGTTCGACGTTCCCTCTTGCGTCAAAAAGCCTGCGTTGCAAACTCCGGGGGCCTGTTACACACCCTGGACTTCTGACTTCATTACTACTAGTACCCTGAACCCTGATTGCAATGAGCGATGACACCCTCGCAGGTGCACCTTGGCGTTTCGATGCGTTTCGTGCATCAAATGCAGCATATAAAACGGTCGCATATGCACATGCTCATTGCTAGCGTGCCCTCGCATTTCGTGTTCCAAACGAAGCTTACAGAACTATAGCCTGGTAAGCACCAACTATGTGAATTTTGCTGATTCCGCAGGGCACACAACGATTGGGTTATCTTCTGGGCTTGCGGGCTAATAAACCACATCGACCCAGTACGATCACTCCAAGCCGAACCCTAAACCCAAAAAAACCCTAAACCCCAAAGCGTGAACCTTGAGCCCTAAGCCCTCAATCCTAAACTAACCCTCAACCGTAAACCCCCCAAACCATAAACCATAAACCCGGAACCCAACCCTAAACCCAACCCTTATTGCTTGGGGTCCTGCGACTTGGGCGCTGCGGAATCACTCACGCGGATGCGCTGGGCCGGGCCGAGGCGGGTCGCGTAGCGTTAAAATTAAGGAAGCAGCATGTCAAAGCTTTCATCACGCTGGAGAATACATCTAGCTTTCACCATCAAGCATCCGGGTGTACACTGCTCCGTGCACAGAGCAACGTAGTGCGGCATCTGCAGCCAAGCGGCTGTATGCCGTCACTTCAAAACGCTGGACGTCTGCTTCAGATCCATCCATACGTCGTACGTGCGCAAAGCTCTGAGGGGTCTTGTCAAAGCACACCTTCTAGCATGTGTGGGTTCCAGGTGCGGGATGAGAGCTCATGGTAGTTCAAGACTATCGACAACACACCTGCTGTAGCCATGAATAGGCTCTGCCAGGATGGGCACAGAGGCCCCTTTTTTAAGGGCTATAGGGGTCTAACAGCCTATCCTGGGGGTTCGCCGGTCAAAACGATGCTTTCTTGCGACTCGGGTGGCAATGGCTCCCTCCAGGGCATCTTCCAAGCCAGCAAGAGGCACGCTCGTCCGGCCGGTACGGAAAGCGGCTTCCAAGCGTTCGCCGGCCTCCTTCTTAAAGACCTGGATCTCCTCAACAACTCAAGGCACACGGGACAGGGGTAACATCCCAGTGTATAGAGTCAGAGCAGGAAGAAGATAAAATTGGCTGCGGCCAGTGCTCGCCCGTAGCTCTGTCAAGCGCCAGCCAGACCTGACAATGGCTATCATGATCCAGTGCATCTTGCAAATGAGACATGTTTAAGTCGCGCCGGGAAAATCTGCGGTTCAGCTATCACTTGATTTCGACCCTGAGGCTCTGGCTGCCCTCGTCTCCCCACGCCCTGCTGCGCCCTTCAGAAAGTTCCTCATAGCACGCTTGTGCGGAGGGGTCTCCTGATGCCGAGAGCAGTGAGAGGTCTAAAGCACAGCTGGCTTGACAAGTGCGAGCAAGCACCTCTTCCCTGGTTGTTCGAGGAGTCTCCATGTTGATCGGCTGAATTGGACTCCTAGCGTGCCCACAAACACAACATGCTACGCTTATCACATCTTATCACCCAATCGCACTTGAAAGACTTGGGCCTCGTGGGCTGCGCGCCCTGCGTGCCCACCTCGGCCCCCTCCGTCGAAGAATCCTAAGCAGCAAATCTCCCGCAAGATGAACTGCTTGAACAAGGGCTTGAAAGTAGGTGTAAAGTTGGGTCCGCATGGGTATGCAATGGTATGCAGCTCTGGCTCTTGTGGGCCCAGGCTTGATGCCCGCTTGCTGGTGTACCATTTGTTCCTTTCACGAGACGGAGGAAGACCGGGCCTCAGCCGGCAAAGCGATCTGAATAGCGGTGCGCACCAGATGTCAGTGCATGGCCAGAGCACGCACGAGAGCTCGCTGGAAGTCCGAGAGACCGGAGACGCGCACGGCGGCCCTCACGCCGATCATCACTCGGCCAGGTCTGCAATGCCACGTCTGCTGAGCTGGCCTGGCAAGACTTCTGCTTCATGGATCATGGTTGTCAGTCCTGGTTTAGCAAGTGAGTTCTCGCACCCCGCTCGAAATACCACCAAGACAAGCGGCCCGGGTTGAGGCACTCGCACTCCGCAGTAGCTTGGGCTTGCGTCCGTGGTCCGGGGAGCTGTTGGCATCGAACTCGATCTTTCGCGGAGAGAGCGCGTGGATGTAGACCTGTCCAGGAGCACCAAGATGGGTTAAGATGTCCACACTGGCCTACTGGCCTAGCGAAACCACTACAGTCACCATAGGGTATATATGGTTACATTAGGTTACATTAGCTTACATATGGATTTATTAGGTTTCATATGGCTACATGCGGTTAGTTACGAGTTAGGGAGCGCCTGGTTGAGAACAAGGTCCTCCACGGTCAGTTCGCGGAGTTCATCTGGGTGGCCCAGGCCCTCCCAAGGATCCCTGGTGTCAGCACCTTCCCTGCAGATCTTCGCGAAGTTACTCTTAAAGGAGAGCTCGAAGTCCCGAGTTTCTTCGACAGGAGCTAGCTTCGGGACATCTTCCACAGGTTTTGCTGGTGTGCTGATGCTGCACTCGCGTAGCTTCTGCAGATCACTCCCGCAGCGACGCAGGTCTTTCTCTGTCACGACGATCTGTTCCACCTTCTTCGGTGGCACAGGTGGTCGCCTATTCGCGTATCCCTTGGCCGCTGGCTCTATGCGAGTGGTGCGCACGAGGTGTGGCTGATGCTCTCTTGACCCGTGTGTCGCGGGCGTGCTAACGGAGTAGAGAGAGGCACCCTCTCTGCGGACATCTTTTTGAGGTGGGCGAGTCCACTCTAAAGGCTGCCAAGACGGCGTGGGCTCTGACTCGACTACTCCAGGAGCATTCTGTGGATCCAGCGCTTCCCTCGAAAGCGATCGCTGCATCTGTTTGCTTTCACGCATCCCCTTCAGGGACCCTCTCCCCGCTTGAGAGGCAGGCCTTTCTTTGGAATCTTTAGATATGCTCCGGGTTAGCGACGAGTCTTTTCGAGGGCCACCGTGGCTCTGGTTGCTGCTCGGTCGTGAGGATGTACGGCTGGCACGTGGCGCTGCCGTCACCTCAAAGCCCTTCTCATCTAGCTTCAGGGTTGGGCGCCGGGACTCTGCCCGGATGCCCAGCTCTTCCAGCATAGACCCCTCCAAGTACCCAAGCTTCAGCGTTGAATTCAGAAGCATTCCGTCTAGCCTGCGCGTGACTGACTGCGCATGGAAGCACTAACTACGGCCGAAACTGAAAGTACCTTGGGCCACTGGCATCGATGAACGCAGGTGCCCGACATGCCCTTGTATGCAATTATAATTATAATTATTGAGGTTCATCATATGAATAAGATTAAGAATATTAATAAGCGTAATACTATTATGGCAACCCCGAAGAGTACTTCCATTCGAGATTGCACACGTCTCACCACTGGTGGCCGAGCTGTGGCAGCGGCCTCCCTCCAGCATGACCACGAAAGAGCCTGCAACTCTACGGGCCAACGGTTTGCCGCGAAGGGTTTTCAGAATCAGGTTCTGTGGCAACTCCCACTTTATCCGGTGTGGCCAACTTGCGATCACTCAGGAATTTGTCTGCCCAGCAGACCGCATTTTGCGGAGGCTGCAGGCATGACGGAAAGCTAGATGGACTATTGACTATGGTGGACTATTATCTAAGATCTGGCAAGGTCGCAACGGTCGCAGTCCGCAACGGCACATCCGTGCCAATGGAAAAGTAGGGAGCGGCAAAATTCATTCATGTCATTCAGAAGCATTTTTGAGATGGCGGAGCCATCTGAGGGAAGCAAGAGAATGGACAGTGGCTTTCGCCCCTTGCAAGGCGTGGGCCACAGCACAAAACTCGAAGGTGGAACACACGCACGCTTCCTAGGCTACTGTCCTTTCGCAATTGAAAACGACATGGCGAAACAAACCGTGAAACCTTTCTAACGGCCCAAGTGTTTCAGCAGACGTCGAAGCCGCCGCGAAGCCGCCACTATCAGCGGCTGGAAGCCCATGCTACCTTGAGTCAATGCTCTGTGCACGCAGCCACAGAACTTCGGCACCAATACGGATGACAGGCACTACAAGCAAACTGCAAAAAACAGGCTAAAGTTTATGGCTGAAGCAGACTCTTTTTCACGGCACGCGTGCTTTTCATGTTTGGCGCCGTCAGCAATACTCCTGGAATGACAGATCCTTCTGCTCAACTTCCTTCGCTGCAGCAGGCCTGGTGGGAGCAACTCGTCCTTCATCATCTTGGCCTCCAACCGACAAACGTAGGTCTGGATACGCAGGAGCACTGAAGGCACGCTTGCGTCTCTGGGCAAGCAAAGCAACTTGAGGCACGCAAGAACGATGTCAAAGCCCATGGGAGATGTCCTCCACCTGCGCAGCCTGAGACAAGGGCGGGGGAGGCAGGAGCCACCCTGGGCTTGGAGCTGTGTGCAGAACGGGAAGTAGCTGCGGCAGGCAGCGCGCCACGGCGCTCCGAAGCTCCGTCTTTGTCTCACCAGCCTTGGGCCGCTTTGCCTTCTCGCGCTCCATGTACTTCCCTTCCTCGCACTCTTCCGGATCTCTCTCAGCCCCTACCTCGCCCTCACCGCCCTCACCTGCCTCACCTTGCCTGCAGGCCTGCAGGGCCTGGAAGAGGCCGCGGGCCAGCTCCAACTGCAGCGGGTGAAGCTGCTGCAGGAGTCGTTCTTGGATCTTCTGTGCTGTCGCATCGCCCTCGGCACTTGCAACCAGCCGCCTTCCACACCTCACCAAGCGTAGCGCCAGTTCGACGTGCTGCTGCTCGGCACGATTGCACAGGACTTTGGCACTCGGTCTGTCCCTGCCTGAGCACTGCAGCACACACGAAGCCGCAACAACCGGCCAGCACAAAGCACACCAAACAGGTTGCAAAGAGCTGCTCTGCGGGATGTGGCCTTGACAGCCCGCAGTTAGAAACCACTTCTTCGCAAGCGAAGAGGGGTGGTGAGGAAAATCCAGTACGACCGTTGCATCCAGCCACTTGGCATGTCTTGCAGAGTCTCGCAAGGCTCTAGCTCCAAAGTCATGGTCTCCTTTGGGCGGGTAGAACTGCATCGCTAACTTGGCAGTGTCCACGGTGACCCTACGAAGCGATGTGAACAGCTTCGTGAGCTTTTCCTGTGGTGCAGCCTCCGTGCTCGGGTTCCCCGGCCTGCGGGCGTCCGGTTCTTCTGAGCGGGCCTGGAGCAGCCACTGCACTGCGCTGACTGACAGCACCGCGTCGGCAACCCCCTTGCGCAAAGGTAACGGCTGCGACATGTCGGCCAGGATTCGGTCCCCGCGTCGGGCGATCCACCGCACCCCGTCGCTGATGTCAACATGTGCAACTTCGAAGCCTTCACCTGTTGGTACGCTCGACGTACTGGGCACTCGGATTCCGATCAAGGAAGACTCGCGAATCTCAGTGGCCGTCGCCAGCATGTGGGCGCTGGTGTCCAAACTCAGAATGAAAGGAGGCGAGCTCGGCGAGCTTACATGCGCGGCCAGGGCCTGGAAAGTGAGAGAAGAGAGACCACCTCCGGAACCCAAATCCAGCACAATCCCCTGAGCTGGCAGCAGACCTCCTAGAGCTGTGGCCGCGTGAGTCAGCTCGGCCTGGACGCGTGCAGCTTTTGGCACCCGGTGGTATCGTTCTGCTTCATCCTGCACATAATACTCCTGGCAAGAGGGGTCTAGAAGCACCATACGTGCATGGCTCTCAGCTGGATTGGGGCAAGCGTAGTCCCGCGTACAACGCCCGCACGACCCTATATCTCTCAAAATATATGTATATACGAACCTATATTATATGCCAAGGATTCGTTTTCCAAGCTATGCCAAGAATCTCCGGCAGGTGCCGCAGTCTCTGGGTGCAGATGGTTTCGGCGGGCATCGCCACCCGCGCGTCGACCGCGCCGCTTGGCAGAAGGTGACAGCTGGAGCATGGCACAGCGCTCTTTTGGGGCCAACAGACATCCTCTTCGCAACTAGGCTTCTCAATCAAGTCAACCCTTCCGAGCTGTGCCCCTACTCATCCAAAACAGGTGCTTCGGCAGGATTTTGCATCTTTGAGAAGAATCGGAGCACTGGCTTGAACTGATATCGGGGAGAGATGCATGCCAAAGAATCACCTATGCACCATTCCCGGCCGCTCCAAAACATACATACAAATGGATGCGGAAGCATAAGCAAGGGGATTCGTTTGCTTTTTGAGGGGGTGAACACCCTTGGTGCTTGGTTGGGATCGGTACTAACCAAGTACTAGCCGCCGCTAGCAGTTCAGGCCAAGCTGCGTTGCTTGCTTGGCCTTTCGTCCGGTTCGGCTGTCTTGCCAAGAGATCATTGAGGGAGACGGCGCCACTGCGCAGCTGCTTACATTGAGCGGTGAGACTGGCAACATCCACCAATCCGACTTTCTTGCCACTCTTCCAGCCAGAGTCTACCTCGCAGATTGGGATGCTTTCCGCAATGTCCCAGCTTTCCCATCCAAACTTTCTTCTGTTCTCGACCTTGAGGGCCACGTTCTTACGAGGATCACGGGAGAAGCGCTCCCGCTGTCTCGCACGACGCTCCACTTCGTTCCGCCGCTCTTCGAGCTTTGCACGCTCCGCCTCCCGCTCCTTTTTGCTGTTGTCCGACAGGTGCTCTAGCCGGGCATGTTTCGTGAGGTACTCCAACTTGCTGGTCATGTTCGCCACGTCCTAAAGTCACACATGCTGTGCGTTAAGTTATTTATAAAGCTATAAAGGGAATGATTCCTTCCATGACTATTTCAATGACTCAGCGCATCCAGGCCCACGGAGGCTCACGGGGTTGGCTCGCCGGGAGCCTGGATTGAACGGACCCGGGGGCGAACCCTACTAACCCAGTGTGTACAGTGTAATAGCAACCAGTCCTCTTGGAACTTGTCTCGCAAGTTCAGAGCCTCTGCCAGATCACTTGGCCTCTCAGCCTCCACGAAGCTGCCAGCAAGGCCGGCATCCTTCCTGCCAAGCTCAGGCGCGTCTTTCCTTAAAGCACGCTCCAGCTCGGCTGCGCAGCACTCTGCGCGACTGTTCTCCTGTAGGACCCCAGCCGTGGGCGAGTTTCGGCTTTTCGGCCTTGAGGGGCTCAGGTCAACCCATCGCAGACTCTGCCTGAACTCAAAGCCAGAAGATCCTGTGGTGGCTCCAAGCGCCAGTGGCTGCGAGCGCACCCGGTGCAGACAGCCCGAGGCATCTGAGAGCAGTGGGGAGCATGGTCTCAGAACAGCTGAAGTCAGGGGGCGTCGTGTGGCTGGCCCCGGCCGGTGAAATCCGCTCATGAAGTGCCACTAACTGTCAGCTGGTTTGGCCCCAGCTGCAGCGAAGATGGAAGTTACATGAAGCTACTGTTACTGTATACGTTTTCAAGTTTAGGCTTCCGACACGGCAAGAAAGATGCACCTGTGCTACTATTTCAGTTTGACTTCAGAGAGTGCTCCCAGCGACACGAAGGCCTGACTTTCTGCGGGCACCACGCGCATGCTGCAGGAAGCACCTCGGCTGGTGCAATGTCAACTTCGCACAAAGTATTGTTCGGTCCAAGCTGGGTGCATGTGCCTTGGCCGCTACTTTTGCCACGTGGCAAGCAGCGCGCGCTGCCGAGATGGGTTTACGGGTTTCTTCATTGTATTCATGCAGGTGGCACATCGCAGCGATTCGGGCGAGCCAACGGTTGCTGCCAAACCAAGCTTCGCCATGCTAGCGAGCCCCTTCCTGCCAAGGGCCATTACATTAGATTCTGCCACGTTGCCATATTTTGTACGATATGAATATTCCGAAGCTGTTTGGCATGCAAATCGTGGGGGCGCTCGCTGTACACAATCTGTGTCGGCGACCGGGCACATTCTTTATGGACCTGCACCGGCACCCAAAAAGACCTTTGCTCCAGCGCTGAATAGCTCTGAGTAGCTCTGACTGGCTTGACAAGGTCCGGCTGAGACATGCTACGAAGATAAGCACATTCACATGCGCACCTCGAAGAGCAGCCTGAGAGGCTGAGAGGCTAGTAACCTGGGTTGCCTTTGAACACCTTTGAGTACGATTTGTCAAATATGTTTGCGAAAGCCGCGTCGGCACTTTGGCCTCTCCGGCTCTCCGTGGCTCGAAGTCCACTTGTTGGCTGGCAGATCTCAGTGGCAGTTCACCAACTGCTGATTCATGCCCACCCACTGGAAGATCGAGAGCCGGTGCTGTCCTAACTGCTCGAGACCTTGATCAGGCTTGCGACAGCTCATCGCTGCTCGCAGTGGACATGCTCCAGCTTCTGGAGGCTCCGTCAGAGCCTCACAACAGGATCTCACATGCCATGATTGAGATCTCGGTACTTTGTACCCGACAACATGGCATCACCTCTCTTCTGAGCGATTGCTTCATTTCGCACTGTGACTTGTAAGCCAGCTTCTGTTCTCATGTTCGCAGCAAGCTATGGCTGGTTGAACTCAATAAGAATCAAGGTCGACATCCCGGGCAGTGTACTGCGCCTGCATCTGCAGGTCTGCCATCGGAGCCGTTCACCGACCTTGGAGGACAAACCCCTGCAAGAAGCTCTCCCCAAAGCCATGGTGAAGGACATGACAGTGATGGTTTGGGATGTTCCCTCTTATACTAACAGCCCTTAATAGGGAAGACAATAGGGAGTACTATAATCCCTATTAAGGACTTAGTATAGGGGAGAACATCTCAAGTGATGGTGTGAACGACGGCATACGCCTGATGCAAAGTGTGGCCCAGCTGCGTCAGGTCGAAGGCGTCATGGGCATCGCTGCGGACATGGCCAATCAGACCGTGGTGTGGTCGGGGTGTGCCTGCTCGTCGCATGCGAAAGCTACGTAGAAGAATCATAATCTTATGTATGTATGTATATATATATATATATATATATATAAGAAAGTAAGTAAAAGTAGTACTAGTACTATTTATTGCAATAAGAATACGATAATCATAAACGAGCAGTTTGCGCCTGGGTGGCAATAGTCGTCGAGGGCTCGTGTTGCTTCACTCTGGTGCCGCCTAGCAGCTGCTTCATGCTTGCAGACCGAGATCTACCAGCCAGGAAGCTCAACCCACAACTGACCACTTTTCCATGACGGACATGACAGCTACCACTCCGTCATACAGACTTTGCTTCCAAGCATGCAAATGGCAAGCATTCGCTGCCCAGCTGACGCTGGGCTTGGAATCAAAACTGCAACTACAAGGGTCTGAAGCGGTCTGAAGCGAAACCCACACAACTGCTCAAGTGATGAGTTGTATGTAGACTAAATGAGTTCAGCTCCTAGGGTCCAGTCTTGGTCCTTCTTGTGTTGGGATCGATCTTACGCACCTGGGTACGTTGATGGTTTTGGGGCTGTGGGCCTGGTTGCTCTGCTACCTGTTCACACATATTCTTTGTGCCATCTGCTTCGAACAAAACATGTCTCTGCACTCCCGTTGGAACCCAATAATCATCGATTGGACAACAAGGGCCCCTGCATCATGCACATGCAATATGACTACCACACGCGCCTACCTTGTTGAGTTGGCATAGAAGTGTCTGTGATTATGTTTAACCTTGTTTCGTGTTTTCTTTGAATGTGTGCTCCTCAAGAAGCAGGGAGTGCTATGGCGTCATCCGGCCACTGCCCATGCACCCAGCGCAATATACCAGCCAGATGCAGAAGATCAATGCCGCCGGTTTTACAACTTATTCAGCGCTTGACCCGACGTTGTCTGAGCACGCTTCAACTTGCCAACGATGCTCACGCAGAAAGGCATTTCATCTCGAAGCTGAAAACAGTTGAGTTTGCACCCACGAAGAAGCATGCCTCACCTTCGATGATCTAAAGCCAGAGAAAGTTGTAGATCATGGCTAATTTGGCGCGTGTAGGCGACAACTTGTGTCCGGTGAAGAAACCATCCCAAAACAACTGGTCTTCCCACACCTTCGGCCAACACAGCTGCCACCATCGCAATCAACGGTTACCTACGACCGTTCCCAGAAGAAGCCCTGGAACTTCCCCATTTTTTGCCACAAAACTTCTCCGAGACTCTAACGCCTGCAAACCCTGTGTTATGCCTGAAAGCAGGGCCGTCTTGGTGCATCAACAGGGGAGACTAAGGTTAGCTCTAACTGTATAAACTGTATAAACCCTAAACCCTAAACCTGAAGTCACTGAAGACATCTCTGTGCGGGCGCCTCACTGCCCTCTCCATCTCCTCGTGAGCCCGCTGGGCCGCCAGCTGCTCATGGAAGCTCCGATTTCTTCCTGACAAGCCCCGCTTCTCAGGCTTCTTTGCGGCCATCCAACAAAAGGTGTATAGACGGACATACATACAGATTTGTACAATGTGTATGTAAACGTATGTATATACATGTATATATATGTACATACAGAGTTGTATCTATGTATGATATGTACATATATATATATACACATATACATATATATATATATACATATATAAATGTAGATTGTACTACATGATAACAACCTGTCCTGAAACACAAAAGAGCTGGGGCAGCTATGGCTATGATTCCAGCGAGCGGGATCAGTAGGAACTACTGCAATACATGACAACCAAACGCGGTACGCAGCGACAATGCCTCCAACAGGCGCCAATGTGACGAACAAACGGCGCAATCACGTGAGGGTTTACGAAATTAGGGGTACCCTCTTGGGGTCCTTGCTGGGGGTCTGTATTGGGGGTCCGCTATCTTCGTAAACCCCCACATTTCACAATGCTTCCTGTCCGTATCAACCAAGGCGCTCAGCGAATTCACGGGCAGCTCGCTCGAAGAATCGCCTGGGGAATTTTGTTGTCTGCTCCCAGCGGCTCCCGCCCCCAAATTCAAAACTTGCTCTGCTTTGAGAGGACGTGCGTGCACTTGACTGTTGCGACCTGCCTAGCTTGAGTGCTGTGCGGCACTGCGGCGGCAATTCGGGGAATCACGCTCTGCATCAGCATGTTGCCGACGCTTTCACATCATCAGTATGGTTTGTCGAGAATCATCCTACCACACCGAGCCACCGCAGCGTACATTGCCAGGGTGGTGGACTTCTTGGATCAATTCGATGGTCCCGCTTCCCGGCTGCCATCCTCGGCAGCATATGGGGGTTTCCGAATATGGGACTTGATCGAAATTTGTCGGCGGCCCGGGATCTGCGTACCCTGTAAGAAAAGACCGTGAGCGACCTCAAAACGGCCTGAGACTTAGATCCGCTGGCCACACCGCGGGGGATTGCTTCAAGTAGGGTGACTGGGGGCCTTCACGCAAGGAATTCCGATAAATATTTCCTAGACAGCGACCCGAGTTCGGAACCCCCACATGTCAGACCACAAACTTTTCCAAGAGTCTGAAGATCTTGACTTCCTTAGGGCACCATGCACCCGTCCACGAACAGGGACACTGTTCGAAATGTGGAGTTCTCCCTCGCCTCTGCCCTTCCCATTCCTTCTCAAGATGGGAGCTTAGCGTCGGCATCATGCAGCGCTGCTAAGACTTCGGACAATATCTCAGCAGTTCCTCACTCAGGTGCCAGGATGCTTCTTCTCACCGCTGTAAGACCTACAGTTGTGTGTGTTTCAGGCAGGCGCAGCTCTGTGCAGCCCCGGCACTGCCATCCAGCTTCTGCTGGTCTGTTGGGTCAAGCTGGTCTGCTAGCACCTGCAAGTGACAGTGAGAGGACAGTCCCGCCAGCCACATGATGCAAGTGCATAGTAATTGAAGCTCGTAGACCCTACACCCTAAACCCTTAACCCTGTTTTTGCAATCGGACTGCTGACAAACCCTATTCCCTTTCCCCAAACCCTTTTTAACTGGACTGCGGCTACACCCTAAACCCTAAACCCCAAACAACAACCAAGGAGCCAATCTCAACTGCAAGCGCATGTCCCGAAGGAAGAGCTCATTAACAATGTGCTGCGTTCCCACGTGGTGGAAGGGGTGGAAAGAGCGGAAGTCCACGATCTTGCAGCCCACCTCGCAAGTAATTTAGGGTTTGGGGTTTTGGGGTTTTGGGGTTTTGGGGTTTTAGGGTTTTAGGGTTTTGGGGTTTTAGGGTTTTAGGGTTTTAAGGTTTTAGGGTTTTAGGGTTTTAGGGTTTTCGGGTTTTAGGGTTTTCGGGTTTTAGGGTTTTCGGGTTTTAGGGTTTTAGGGTTTTCGGGTTTTAGGGTTTTCGGATTTTAGGGTTTTAGGGTTCACTCTACGACTTCACGATCATAAGGGGCCCCTGATGAGCAGAGCCCAAGATGAACCGGATCCCCAAAATATTGTACCCCCCCCCCGTGTGCAGCTTAAATA